ATTCGTCGCAGTAGGTCGTTTTCTCCCCTCCTGAAGCTCGGAATCCGTTTCTCTCGCCAGACCCGTATTTGTCGCAACTCCGTTTATTGTAGCCGGTAGACTAGGCGAAATTCGCGTGTCTAGACGCTGCAATAAACCATTGTCCTTGTCGGTGTACTGCCCCGTCTGCGACACAACTTCCCTTGATCAGGGGGAACCTGTGCCGCCTGAAGTACAGTGTCGGCTGCTGCTGTTGCTCCGAAATTTTCGGCCGACATCAGTGCAGGCGCAGAATTGACCCTAACGCGAACAGTCTAGTCGTAGGAGGCCTGTTCCGAACTTTTTGGTGGTTCGAAAATTAACTTTCGTCCCACACTGTGCCGCTCCTGCCGAAAACGCCAACGACGCACCCTCCTGCAGCCACACCGGCCACACCCCGGCTGGACGACGGTAGACCCCCGCTTTCTTCGGGCAGTCGTCACGTTGTCTCTCCGCGCCGTTGCATTTTCTGACGCAAATCACCATGCGCCTGGCTGCTCGAACAACAGTCGTCACCCACGTGCTGCGACTCCGAAATCTTCGCGCACAGTGACGACGCGCCACTTGCCGAAGACCTTCCAGCAGACTCATGTGCATCGCGACGAAGATACGGTCAATCTTGACGTTCGAGGGCAAGGATCCGTCAGTGCAGCAGGAGCGCCCGTAAAAACATGGCCGCTAGGAGCAACTATCCGTTCTCCTGGCCGGCTACTACGCTGCTCTTGTCACTACGGCATCCTTCCCTGTCCCCCCCCCGAGGGGTAATACACTCTAAAAAACGGGGAACCTAGGAACTTAGGCTCTGATACCAAGTGTTATGAGTTTTACTAGACAGAGCGCATGGAAAACTTTATAAAGAAGACGTGATTACAGAATGATGAAACAATGAAGGAAACGAGCATTTATAGGGCGAAAACGTGCTAGGCGAGGACCTCGTGATGTGCGTGGCTCGGGAATGTCGCAATTGGTGCGGGGCGACTCGGGGCTGGTTCGGTGCGAAAGTGTAGGCCGAGCCACACTGACGCGAACTGCTCGGGGCTGTCCTCGCTAAGGACAGTTCTACAGTAATGAATTGCACATTCATTACACCTATCAATCACGGTGCCATTGCCCGAAGAGTCCACGCCTGGTCCGGAAACAAGCTCCCACATTCTGAAAATTTCTCACTCCGTGATTTTTGCGGATGATGGTGTCGTCGTGTTGCCGCATGAGCAGTTTGGGCCTTCTGCACAAGCACTGCGGGATGGGTTTTCCTCGAAGGGGTCAACCCTCCCGCGGCCTCGGCGAAGTTTGTTGCTAACGACAAAACGGGTTTGCCAACAGCCCATGTTTTTTTCCGTTCACCATGCCCAGTCTGCCCGGGGTGCTCAAAATGTTTCATCTCAACCACTCAAAAGTCTTCGGCCTTTTGGTTCACCCTTTCTTCTTGTTTGGTATGTTTTTGAGGTGAGTTATTTCATCGCACAATTATCCAAAATCGGGCGTTCATCTCTGCCCGTTATTGGTAGTGCGTCCCCTTATTCTACCTCGGTTGGGCGGGTAGGCTTCGCACAAGCGGTGCCTCCAATTTGTCACCAAATATGCACGATTGTACATATAAGGTGCCAGTAATAAAGAAGTGTAGTAGTGGTGTAGCTATGTTGTACTTGCAGGTTCGAGGATGAGTAGGTGGGGGCTGGGAAATTGACGCGAAGTTGGTAGGAGAGCACCAAGGGGAGGAATCCACGCAACCAATGGGGACAAACCAACCCAGGCTCGAGCCGCACATTGAGAAATGCACGGTTCGAGCCAGGGTCAGGTAAGTTCACTCTCACACACACACACAATGCTTTCTGTTTGTTATCCTTGTCAGAATATTATGCTCTAGCCTGTAGTGGGGTGCTCTATAGCGAGTACAACCCTTCTAGGGTTTGCTATTTGTATCCCCATTCTTGCTAGTGCAAACCCTCCTTTGCTCATTTCTCTCTTGCCTAGCTAGGGTTTACCTAGCTATGGCTCCTACTTGTGCCTACTATTTTGACATGGTATCAGAGCGGTTACGCTCCTGGCCTGTGGGCCCGCCTGCTTCCGCTGCCTTCCTGTGTGTCGCGCGTCCCGTGGCGCGCGATGTTCGTTTTTTCTTCCCGCCGCGCGCTCGGGGCGCGCGGCGGTTTTCTGCCCGCCGTGCGCCCCGAGGCGCGCGGCGGTTTCCCACCGTCGAAGCGCCCCCCGTCGCCCGTCGAAGCGCTCCCCCCCGTCGCCCGTCGAAGCGCCCCCGTCGCCCGTCGAAACGCCCCCGTCGCCCGTCGAAGCGCCCCTGGGACCCGCGAACGGCCCGTACGGGCTGCGCCAGGCCCGCGCGCGGCCCGTACGGGCTGCGCCAGGCCCGCGCGCGGCCCGTACAGCCCGCGCGCGGCCCGTACAGCCCGCGCGCGGCCCGTACGGCCTGCGCCAGGCCCGCGCGCGGCCCGGGCAGCCCGCGCGCGCCTCGTCCGGCCTGCGGCAGGCCCGTGCGCGCGCCTCGTCCGTCCCCCGAGCTTCTGCCGGCGCCCCACCCCCGCTACTGCCCGCGTTCCTGTGTTAGGGTTTGGGGGTGGAGGGTATGGGGGTGCCGTGAGTGTGAGCCGTCCCCTGCTCCTCCTCCTCCTCCGTCTCCCACTGCTGCAGCTGCCGCTGAGGGGGGTGGGTGTGTGGGGAGCCGAAGGAGTGATTGTTATCCTTTCGTATAGTGGACTGTTGTTACCTAAGCCTTGCAGACAGGTGGCACACCACTCAGGGAGGACCTTATTCTACCTCGGTTGGGCGGGTAGGCTTCGCACAAGCGGGCGGAACAGAACAGGGCGCACGAGGGCGCGGGCAGAGGAGAGCGCACGAGGGCGCGGGCAGAGTAGAGCGCACGAGGGCGCAGGCAGCAGCAGGGCGCACGAGGGCGCGGGCAGCAGCAGGGCGCACGAGGGCGCGGGTAGCACTAGAGCGCACGAGGGCGCGGGTGAGTAGAGCGCACGAGGGCGCGGGCAGCAGCAGGGCGCACGAGGGCGCGGGCAGCAGCAGAGCGCACGAGGGCGCGGGTAGTAGTAGAGCGCACGAGGGCGCGGGTGAGTAGAGCGCACGAGGGCGCGGGCAGCAGCAGGGCGCACGAGGGCGCGGGCAGCAGCAGAGCGCACGAGGGCGCGGGTAGTAGTAGAGCGCACAATGTCAAGATAGTTAGGCAAAACGAGAAACAGGAAAGAGAGGGTTGGACTAGCAGCAGTTGAGATACAAATAGCAAACCCTAGATTGGGCTGTACTCGCTATAGAGTACCCCACTGCAGGCTAGACAAATACAACATTCTGACACACAAGGGCGCGGGTGAGACAGAGCGCACGAGGGCGCAGAGAGCACGGGCAGCTGCTGCAGAGGTCCAGAGGCGGCTGCTCCAGGGGCCAGGGGCGGCTGCTGCAGTGGCGGCTGCTCCAGGGGCCAGGGGCGGCTGCTGCAGTGGCGGCTGCTCCAGGAGCCCGGGACGGCTGCTGCAAGGGCGGCTGCTCCAGAGGCTGCTGCTGCAGTGGCGGGCGGCTCCAGGGGCTGCTGCTGCAGTGGCGGGCGGCTCCAGGGGCTGCTGCTGCAGTTGCGGGCGGCTCCAGGGGCTGCTGCTGCAGTGGCGGGCGGCTCCAGGGGCTGCTGCTGCAGTTGCGGGCGGCTCCAGGGGCTGCTGCTGCAGGTGCGGGCGGCTCCAGGGGCTGCTGCTGCAGTTGCGGGCGGCTCCAGGGGCTGCTGCTGCAGTGGCGGTGTCGCTGGCGCAGGGGCGGCTCGCTCGTTGCTGCAGGGGCGGCGTCGCGAGCTGCTGCAGGGGCAGCGTCGCGAGCGACGGGCGACGGGGGGAGCAGCGGGCGGGCCCCCTGAAGGCGCCGCGACGAGCAGGGACGGCGCCCAGGGGGCGCCGCGACGTGCAGGGGCGACGCCCCGCAGGTCCCGCAGGGGCGTCGCGACGAGCAGGGCGACGCCGCGCGGGTCCCGCAGGGGCGTCGCGACGAGCAGGGCGACGCCGCGCGGGTCCCGCAGGGGCGTCGCGACGAGCAGGGCGACGCCGCGCGGGTCCCGCAGGGGCGTCGCGACGAGCAGGGGCGACGCCGCGGGCTGCTGCAGGGGCGGGTCGCGCGCTCCACGACGACGCCGCGACGGGCGACGAAGGGGGGGGGCAGCGCGAAGGCCACCCGGGGGCGCCGCGACGGGCGACGGAGGGCAGCGCGCAGGTCCCCCGGGGGCGCCGCGACGGGCAATGGGGAGAGCAGCGCGCAGGCCCCCTGGAGGGCGCCTCGACGGACGGTGAAACCGCTACGCGCCCCGAGCGCGCGGCGGGCAGAAAAAGCCGCCACGCGCTCGGAGCGCGTGGCGGGAAGAAAAATACAGCGCCGCGCACTTCGGAGCGCGCGGCGGACAGTACGACAGCGGAAGCAGTTGGTGGGCCCGTTGAGCTAGGCGGCAGGAACGTGCTCGCTCTAGATACCATGTTAGAAACAATAGGAGTGGGGCCTAGGCTTAGTAGCCTAGGCCACACTAAGAGGTAGGAGGTTGTGCCCTAGAGCTAGGGTTTGGGGTATACGAAGGAGAATTGGAGAAGAGAGAATGATCATTGAACTAGCAAGCAGCAGAACACAAATAGCAAACCCTAAGGGGTTGTACTCACTATTGAGCACCCCACTGCAGGCTAGACAAATAACATAATCTGACAGGAGGACCTTTAAGGTGAGAGTTACATCGCTTTCATAACAATCAGAAAGGTGCGCGTACAAGCATGGATGTGTACGAGCTGCGCTACGGCAGGAATTACGGTCGCCGTGAGGAGGATCGCTCGAGGTGCGATCGCTCACGTGAACGCGGGCGGTCGCTGGAGAGGTCGCCGCGGCGGCCTGAGCGATCGGCGCGATGGCCGGCCTTTCGCGCGGATCAGGTCCCCCTTGCGCCAGATCGCCAGGAGGGAAGATCTGCACGAGAAGGAGGAGGCGGATCTGGATCTGCCACGATGGGAAGCAACCCATGGCGGACGGACGGACGCCGCGGAGCCGATGGCGGTCATGGGCACCGCAAGGAGACGGGAGCTTACCGCTCGCCGGAAGAAGGTTATCGCCGACGCGAAGATAGAAGCCGCGGGCGAGGCCTGGAGGAGATCTTCTCGGGTCGCCAGGGCGATCTTGATGTGGATGGAGAAGACGAGGTCGACTCGGCGAATCGAGTGCGGGAGACGACGCGTGACGGCGAGACCAAGGGCGATGACGAATCCCAGGAACAAGGCGCAGGCGAGCAGCGCGACATGCCCGCTGGAGTTCATGACGGCGATCCCGCGCAGACGGGCGTGGCGGCGGAGCCAAGCACGGCGGAGACGAACGGAAAAGGCGGTACTCGAGACCTACCGTGCGACGGGGAGAAAGGCGACGGCGGGGGGCGTGGCGGTGGCGCGCGCTCTCCAGATCCGCGTCGGCAGCGCGACGAGGGACATGGAGATGGCGCACGTTCGCCTGATCCCCGCCTGAGTCGAGACGGAGGATGCGGCGGCGGCGCGCGCTCTCCAGAGCCTCGGCTGAATCGTGGTGGGGGACGCGACGGAGGCACGCGCTCGCCAGATCCGCGGATGTATTGGGAAGGGGGGCGCAGCGGTGGTGCGCGCTCGCCAGATCGGCGGCAGAATCGTGGCGGGGAAAGCGATGGCGGTGCGCGCTCGCCAGACACACGACGTCCGCACGGGGACGAGAGGCACGGAAGTGGCTATCGCTCGCCAGTACGGCAGCAGCTGCGTGAAGAAAGGCACAGAGGCGGCTACCGCTCGCCTGAGCCACGGCAGCAGCAAGATAATGGACACGGGGGAACTGGGCGCTCACCGGATCAGCGGAGGTATCACAACTGGAGAAGCGAAGGGGAATGCCTCTCTCCAGGACCTCGTTATCCCCGTGATGAGAGACGCAGAGGCGGCGACCGCTCGCCTGACCTGCAACGGTACCATGGAGAGAGATGGGGAAGCGAGACGCGCTCGCCCGACTGGCACAGGCAACCTGGAGAAAGCCGGGGAGGCGGATACGGGTCACAGCCTCGGCAACAGAGCAGGGATGGGGGGCGCGGCGGTAGGCATCACTCACCTGAGCTGTACTGGCAGCATGATGGAAGACGTGCCAGTGAGGAAGGCCGGGGTCAACGCGACAGCAGGGAGGGAGGTAGCGGGCTGATGCACAGCCTGGATCGGGCTAGAGAGGCAAGGGAGGGAATACTACGAGCGAGAGAGAGAGGAGCATCAGGGAGATCTGCAGAAGGGCCGAGCGAGGCGTGGGGAGAAGGCAAGGGAAGCACGGCAATGATCACGAGGGTGGAAGTGCCAGCACGCTTCTCAGGAGACCAGTGGACGGGCCCCACGCTGAAGAACTACTTGATGCAGGTTGGCAACGTGCGGTACAGATGCGAAAGGAGCGGCATGGACTCAGTGGACTTCTTCCTGAGTCTGCCGAGCACATTGGAAGGGGAGGCGGAGACGTTATACAGGATGAGGATGGATGAGCTGCTGGACCGGGCAGGAAGGTACGGGGAAGACCCTACCGAAGCATTCCTGAGGCGGCTAAAGCGGCAGTTTCCAGGGCATACTGCGGAGAAAATCAGGGAGTTCCAGGATTTCAGGAAAGGGCGGGGTGAGTCACTACTCACCTACTATAACCGGTTGGTCAATTTGGCGGAAGATGTGGCCTGCGCAGACACGGCCCTGCTCGTAAGTAAGTTCCTGGATGGGCTGGAGGGAACTCTGGGAAGCGGACTGCGGATGAAAGTGTATGAGATGGGAGCTGACACAGCGCTTGAGGAGGTGTTTGAGCTGGCAGAGAAGATGGAACTGGCGCAGAGGAAATATGAAGCATACAGGCCCAGGCAGGCGGAGCGAGGCAGGGGACCTACATGGGCTGCTGCCATGATACCGGAAGAGAGGGATAGGGCAGCGGGGAGAGGAGAGACCAGGCCCGACACACGGACGTGCCACAGGTGCGGGTAGCCAGGACACTTGCGTAGAGACTGCAAGAACTGTGACTCCTGTGGCAAGCCAGGGCATCGACGGCGGGAATGTCCAACGGCGCCAAAGTGTGAAATCTGCGGAAAAGGAGGGCATGCGGCAAAGGAGTGTTATCAGCGAGAGGGAGCGGCGAAGAAGTCACCAGAAGATCTGGAGAAACAGATCAGCAGGCTGCAAGCCCAGTTACAGGCAATGGGGCCACGACGGGAAGCGGAGGCAGGGATGTACGCCAAGGAAGAAAAGGAAGAAGATGTGGAGCAGGATGAGGAAGCCGCGTTCATGGTTTGGGCAGGAAGAGGAGAGGATGAAATGGAGCATGAGGAGCAGCCCGCATACATGGCATGGCGAGGAAGGGAGGAGATGGGATTGCGCAGCGGAGGGAAGGACGCACGGAAGGAGCATCCGAGAAAGGAAAGGGAAAGAGGACAGAAGCCGGAGGAAAAGGAGGAAAGATGCACAGCGGCACGACACCCCCAGGAGAGACTGGCTTGTCAGACTTCCGTGCTGCTGATCCAAGGGGGTGCGCTGTCAGTGGAAGGGGAGAAGGCTAAGACGGCTATTATAGACACTGGAGCGCAGAGCGTGATACTAGGAAAGGGAATGGCTGAGAGGCTGGGACTATGGGCACCAGACAGATATGTGGTGAAGGGGATGCTGGTGATGACAGCAGAGGGGGGAGAGTCGAAGTGGATGCCCTGCACAAGGACTCCAATAGAATTGACGGTGCTGAAGGGGGAGAAGCACGAGACACCAGTTAGGATCAGGTGCGGGATCTCAGATTTAGAGGATTTTGACGTCCTTGTGGGCACAGAGATGATCTTTGCGTTGGGCATGACCATCTGCTTCTGGAAGGAGACAGTGGAGTTCAGAACCAGGTGGTGGAGGAAGGGTGAGCCATTGGGGCAGCTGCCGGTGCAGTTTGTCAGGACCGAGCCAAAGAGGGCCTACAGTGCAGATCTGAAGCAGATGACAACGAAGCAGGGGGCACAGAAGGGCGCGGCGGGCATGGGACAAGGTGGGGAGCCCAGGATACGGTTCATGGACGAGCCCAGCCAGCAGACTGATTGGCAGCAACCCATTCGGCTGGTGGAGCTGTTCGGAGGAATAGGGGCGGGACTGGCAGCCGTGGTGAAGAATGGAATTGCAGTGAAGCAATGGATTTATGTGGAGGAGACACCAGCAGTGAGGAAGATGGCAGAGCATCAAGCGTGGGAGTTACACAGAGAGTTCCAGGAACTGCTGAAGGGAGAGGTGATCAAGGCAGCGATGAGCAGAGGAGTGAACGATGTAAGGGCCATAACGGAAGCTGAGGTAGCAAGCTGGGGGCACGTGGACCTGCTGGTGGCAGGGTGGGAATGCCAAGGGGTATCATGGGCAGGGAAGGGCAAGGGTGAGCAAGACCTACGAACACAGCTGATGGAGGACCTGTTCAGAGTCATGGAGTGGATACAGGCCAGGCAAGGCAAAGTAGCGTACCTGCTGGAGCACTTAGATATGGAAGGAGACGTGAGAGAACCGATAAGATTGGTAAGGGAGAGAGTGAACAGACAGGTGGGGAAAGGAGTGAGCAGTGATGCAGCGCGGATGGGAGCATATGCGCACAGGCTCAGGATGTACTGGCAAAACGTGGTGCCAGCAGAAGTCCTGCAGAAGGAAATAGAAGGGGTGCAGAGAGCTGGGGGACGGAAGCTGAGCGACATATTGGAGCCAGGAAGAACGCCAGCACCAGTGACTAAGAAAGGTTACAGCAGGCATTATCCGTGCAACCAAGTGGGGCAGGAAAGGCAGGCACTGCCTACCCTGGTGTCATATGAGGGGGCAGCAGGCTATCAGATGGATGGGAAGCAGCCAGGCCCAGGACTGGTGTATGACCACAGGAAGGGACAGTGGGAGGAGCCTACGGCCTTGGAGAGGGAACTGGCCATGGGATACGCGGAGAACGCTACAGCAGCCCCTGGCGTGAGTGAGAAGGAACGGAGGCGGGCATTGGGAAATGCCATGGATGGGTACATGATGAGGTGGTTGGTGCAGCGGATGTGGAAGGAGACAGTGCTGCAGTGGGGATTAAAGGAGGGAGAAAGTCCAGTGGAGACGGTGAGGCAGGGGGTGTGGGCCTGCCTGCCGAAAGAGGAGCCAGAGTGGAAGATAGGAGAGAGCATGAGCGAAGGAGGGAAGGCAGCGATGCGGGCACTGCTGGCAAAGCATCGGAAGGGCTTCGCCTTCACACTGCTGGAGTTGGGGAAGTGCAAGATCAAAGAGATGGCGCTGAAATTGAGTAGTGACGAGCCTGTATTCCACCGCAGGAGGAAGATGCCGCCAGGGGATGAAGGATCTGCAGGGAGAAGATAAAGGAGCTACTGGAAGCCAGATTGATCAGGAGGTCAGAGTCCGAATACGCCACCCCAACCGTGGTGGCAGCCAAGAAGGACCTGACAGGCGAGGTGCTGAGCAGGAGGATGTGCGGGGACTACAGGGATCTCAACAAAATTACAGTGCCAGATAGATACCCAATGCCGATGGCGGAAGAGCTCTTTGACAAATTGGCGGACGGGTGTTCTTCACGACGCTGGACCTGCGACAGGGATTCAATCAAATCAAGATCAGAGAGGAGGATGTGAAGAAAACGGCTTTTCACGGACCGGATGGGCTGTACGAGTGGCTGTACATGCCCTTCGGACTGAGGAACACCTCGGCGGTGTTTCAGAGAGTCATGGACGCGGTGCTGCGGGGAATAGAACACGCGGCGTGCTATATAGACGATGTAGTTATCTTCAGCTTGACCGAGCAGCAGCACCTGGAGGACGTGGAGAAGACGCTGACCGCCATAGAAGAGGCAGGGCTCACCTGCCATCCCAACAAGTGCAGGTGGGGGGAGCGGACGGTGCAGTACCTGGGGTATGAGGTCACAGGGGGACAGATTGGTATCCAGCAAGCAAAGGTGCGAGTGCTGGACAGGCTAAGGGAACCGAGAGACAAGTCAGGGCTGCGTGCAGTCTTGGGCTTCCTCAGCTACTACAGGCGCTTCGTGCCAAACTTCAGCAAACGAGAGACAGTGCTAAATGGGATGCTGTGGGAGGAAAAGGCATGGGAGTGGGGAGAAGAGCAGAGACAGGCGCTGCAGGACCTCGTGACAGCCGTGAAGACAGCGACAGTGCTGCGACTGCCAGCAGCATACCAGCCCTTCATCCTCTACACCGACTGGAGCAGCCAGGGGATGGGGGCAATATTATGCCAAGAGGTGGAGGGAGTAGAGAAGGTGTTGGCCTACGCCAGCAGGAGCTGCAATCCAGCGGAAGCACAATACAGCTCATACATCGGGGAGGGGCTGGCAGCAGTGTGGGCGGTCGGGCATTTCCGGATATACTTGCAGGGCCGAGAATTCACCCTGGTCACTGACCACCAGCCACTCACCTGGCTGATGACCACACCAGGGCTGACAGGGAGGAACGCGCGATGGGCAGTAAAGCTGCAGGAATATGATTTCAAGATCAGGCACAGGCCGGGGAAGACACTGCAGCACGTTGACGGCCTCTCCCGCAATCCACCGCCACTGGAAACGGAACCGGGGACGGAAGAGAGAGAGCAAGAGCCGGCGCGAACGCTGATTCTACTGGCAAGAGAGATGGAGCAGACAGGGGCGAAGGGGTGTAAGGGGCCAGCCGACATCTGGCTGGATGCAAAGACGATGCAATGGGTGAAGGGAGAAACAGAGGAGGATGAAACAGTGCCTGAGAGAGTAAGGGCGCGAGGGCATCATTACAGGTGGTATCAGCAGCAGCTGCAGATCAAGACGGAGGATGGGTGGAAGCTGGTGCCAGCGCCCGAGGACCGCGAAGCAGTGATTAAGGAAGTACACACCAAGCTGGGACATTTCGGGCACGAGAGGACCGTGCATCTGCTGAAGACAGGCTGGTGGTGGGAAGGGATGCGCAGGCAGGTGAAAGAGTGGGTGGAGGGGTGTGAGGTATGTCAGAGGAGCAAAGCCAACCTGACGCAGGCCAAAGCAGAGCTGCACTCACTGCCCATCTGCGGGCTGGGGTTTCGCTGGTCTCTAGACCTCGCAGGAGAGTTGTCGCTGAGCGGGAGCGGGAACCAGTATATAGTGTTCATGGTGGAGCATGTGAGTAAGTGGCTGGAGGTGAGAGCCATACCGAGCAAGAGCGCGAGGCACATTGCAGCAGCCTTCAAAGCGCAGGTGGTGTGCCGATCCGGAGCGTGCGAGGATGTGCTTACAGATCAAGGAACGGAGTTCCAAGGAGAGTTCAAGAAGCTGCTGGAGGAGTCTGGCATCACGCACCGCAAGACCTCCCGCTACCACCCGCAGAGCGACGGGCTGACTGAGCGAGCCGTGCAGACCTTTAAGCGGGGACTGCGGGCCTATGGGGAGCAGAGGAAGAGAGACTGGGATGAGGAGCTGGACTGGATAGCCGCGGGGTACAGGTTTGGGAAACAGGCAGCCCTGAAGGATCATTCGCCGTACAGCCTACTTTACGGATGAGAGCCCATACTGCCAGTGGGGGCACCACGGGTGCTGACAGACACAGTGACGGCGGGCACAATCAAAAACTGGGTAGCCCTGTCTGAGGTGAGAGCGCGCTACATGCGCTACATGATGCCTGCAGCCTTGGAGAACCTGCACACCGCACAGCTGAGGGATGCCAAGAGGTATGAACAGAGACAGCGCAAGGGAGAAGGACGAGCGACCAGGGGAGTCAGTGAAGGGCAGGAGTTGTATCTTAAGAGAGCAAAGCAGGACACCTTAGATGTGGGGCTGGGGACGGTCCGCTGGAAGGTCAAGGAGGCGCGCCCTTCGGGGGTGCTTGTCTTGGAGAATGACACGGGAGCGCAGTTAAAGGAGCATCAAACGAACACAGCAGTGATCAAGGGAAGCGGGCCTCAGCGTAACGGTCCTGTGACCCGCGCCCAAGCTGCGCGAGCACGGGCACAGGAGGGGGCAGAGGGTGGCTGAGGCAGCAGAAGGAGCTAAGTGAAGATGAACATGAAGACGAAGGCAGAGAAGGGATAGCGGTATCTCCGACAGCTGTCACCAAATATGCACGATTGTGCATATAAGGTGCCAGTAATAAAGAAGTGTAGTAGTGGTGTAGCTATGTTGTACTTGCAGGTTCGAGGATGAGTAGGTGGGGGCTGGGAAATTGACGCGAAGTTGGTAGGAGAGCACCAAGGGGAGGAATCCATGCAACCAATGGGGACAAACCAACCCAGGCTCGAGCCGCACATTGAGAAATGCACGGTTCGAGCCAGGGTCAGGTAAGTTCACTCTCACACACACACACAATGCTTTCTGTTTGTTATCCTTTCGTATAGTGGATTGTTGTTACCTAAGCCTTGCAAACAGGTGGCACACCACTCAGGGAGGACCTTATTCTACCTCGGTTGGGCGGGTAGGCTTCGCACAAGCGGTGCCTCCAATTTGCCCGTAACAGAAGTTTCGAAGTAATGTCCGAACGCACTAACTGTGATGCGTTCTTGAACCCTTGGGCGCACAAGAAACGCTACCAGGTTCGGTACACAATAACGAGTTGGGAGGCTTGACGTGGGCTTTAAGCTCTTTCATGCGTTTTCTTAGAATATTCCTCAGGGGGCCCAAGCACCCCGAATGCGGCAACAGAACGATACCGATGGTGTGGAAACTTTTTGCCGTGCCTCGCGACCTCTTTTCGTCTATCGTCTAGATACGTTTTCCTGGTTTCCAAGAAGTTGTAAATCGCCTTCGTAAGGTCTAAGGTTTACAACAGGTTCAAGTACTTGGTATCGTTCTGTTGCCGCATTCGGGGTGCTTGGGCCCCCTGAGGAATATTCTAGGAAGGCAAATGACAGAGCTTAAAGCCCATGTCGAGCCTCCCAAATCGTTATTATGTACCGAACCTGATAACATATCTTGTGCGCCCAAGGGTTCAAGAACGCACCACAGCTAGTGCGTTTAAACATTACTTCGAAACTTCTGTTACGGGCAATTTGGAGCCACCGCTCGTGCGGAGCCTATCCGCCCATCCGAGGTGGAATAAGGGGACGCACAACCAATAACGGGCAGAGCTGAATGCCCAATTTTGGGAAATTGTGTGATGAAATAGCTCACCTCAAACCCAATGGGCGAAGATTTGTGAGTGGTTGAGATGAAACATTTTGAGCACCCCGGGCAGATTGGGCATGGTGAACGGAAAAAAAACATGGGCTGGTGGCCAACCCGTTTTGTCGTTAGCAACAAACTTCGCCGAGGCCGCGGGAGGGTTGACCCCTTCGAGGAAAACCCATCCCGCAGTGCTTGTGCAGAAGGCCCGAACTGCTCATGCGGCAAGAGAACGATACCCTTTAAAATAGGCCGGTCCGCCCTCGTTCCAAGCCCCGTCTGCGGATTAGTGCGTCTTGTCCGCAGCGTGCCAAGGCGAACCAGCTCGCATGTTCCAGGCCAAGCCGCTTTTGCTGGTTTGCCTTTTTCCCGGTGCCGCCCTCCTTCCAAACCTACAGCCTCACCGAACCGCAGTAGCGTCTCGTTCCCATTCTAGCTTGGATATTTAGGGTCGTGGAGCAACCTTCGCGGTCGATGTAGCCGAAATTTAGCAGTTCTCCAGTCGGACTGATGGCGGAGATCGCTTCTGTGGTTCGACAGCACTCCCGCGTTTCGCGGCAGGGCCGTAAGCCCCCTCAGTTGTTGCCTAGTCAGTCATTCCATCGCGGCCGGTCGCACGACGGCTCAGAAACACCCGGCGATCGACGTCGCAGAATCGGTCGCAGCCCGTACGGCGACCGGTCGCCTGGTTTCGAACCGCCGTCTCCTTCCAATCAATCGTATCGCTCAGGGTATTCGCCGAGAGTCGTCGACGGACGGCCGCCGCGTAATGCGGAATACCGCGACGCGCAGCGGCAGCGGAGGGAGAGAGCCGGCCCGCACGATTGGACATCCGCGGATGAGTCCGAAGGAACGTCTGCGGAGAGTAAAGTATGGCGATGGCTGGGAGGCAGCAGCGCCGACGACGGCGCGTACGGGGCGGGCGCGGCGGAGGCAGAAAGACCATTCTGGTACCGCCTGCTGGGGTGGGAGCGGCGCGCCGCGCCGGCTGCGGCGCCGGCGGCAGCAGCGGCTGCACAGGATAACGGCGGCGCGGAGCCGGGCAGTGGCGGCGGCGCGGAAGGCGTTATGGCGCCGGCGCTGCTGTCCATGTCGCGATGGCTGCCGCACGGCACGGGCCGCGAGAGTAGTAATATCGAGTTGGAGCCTATAGCGGAGCAGTGGACGGAGGAGTGCAACGGGCAGCGCAGCAGCATGGCGCGCGGATGGAACAGGGAGTTGCGCGCTGATGCTGGCTCTGGCACTCCAGCGTACGTACCGCAGCACGAGTAGTGTTGGCTCGGGCGGTGGTTAGGGTGGTGGCTCGGGTGGTGGCTTGGGGTGGTGGCTCGGGTGGTGGCTCGGGTGGTGGCTCGGGTGGTGGCTTGGGTGGTGGTTAGTTACGAGTATGGCTGCTCGCTCTCTCCTCCTCCACCTGCCACTCTTCCTTTTCCGCACGCGCCATTCCTCTTCTCCGTTGCCCCTCCCCTTCCCATCCCTTTCATCCCAACCCCTTTCCCTTAAGCTGCGTCCCTCCCCCCTCCACTCCCCTCCCCATCCCTCTCCCTCCACGCAGCTCCCACAGCCGCCATGGCTCCGCGTTTGATGCGGCAGAGGTGGAGGCCAGGCTCATGAATGAGCCACTCATTGCCGACCCTGCCGTCGCTGCTGCCGCGGCTGCTGCCGCCGAGCCTCCGCCGGGCCTACCGAGCTGGCTTCGGGAGGTGGACGTAGGCTCGGTGAGCACAGGCTTGACGCCGCACGTCCGGTTCGACGACTCTGGCTCCAGTCCGTCCCAGGACATGGACGGCGCCGTACCTGTGCACGAGGCTCGGGCCGAGCCTCCTCTGGGTTTGTCTCATCGATCGAAGCTCTCGATTGCGCTCGACGCCGCAGGGGAGCACGACGAGGATGGCATGGGGGCTGATGACGTGGACAGAGACAGGCCAATCGGATTCCATAAAATTCCCGATGAGTTGAGGGCGAGTCGTGTGGAAGCGGCGTTTGCAGCAGCAGATATGAACGGGGAGCGGCGAGGGAGGGGGGCGTTTCGAGCGAGTGGGAGCAGCGGGAGCAGTGCGGGGAGCGGGCGTGGCAAGGGGTGGGAGGGGGGGGAGGGAGATGGGGAGGAGCAGGACGAAGATGAGCAGTATCTGTTGGACAAGGAGGTTGTGCAAGGTGGGATGCGGTGCAAGGTGGTGCACGAGGCGTTTTCACACCTGAAGTGGCTTAGAAAACTCTGCAAAATCTCCACTTCTTATCCCCTCCACTCCTCAAAAATAAGCACATCTATACCCTCCTCTTCCCCACCGCCCCTCCCCTTTCTCCCTGTCACCTCTCCTCTTTCACTCCCCCCTCCCTCCCCCCAGCCATGTACGATTCGGTAACGCACATTCAGTGGCTCACGGAGAACTTCAAGAACCTGCTCGCCTTCTCTCTTCCCCCTTTCTAACCCTCATTCCCCTCCTCCTCCCCTCCCCTACCCCCCTCCCCCCCACACAGCCATGTACGACTCAGTGACGCACATGCAGTGGCTCACAGAGAACTTCAAGAACCTGCTCGCCTTCTCGCTGTACACGTGCCTCTACCTCACCGTGCTCTACCTGCAAGCCGACTCCTCCCGCAACTACGAGGTCGCCACCTCGCACAACATCCTGCTGCCACCCGTGAGTGCTCGATCACGAGGGTGTGTGGGGGGGTATGGGCCCTGTGTGGGGTATGGGAGCATGAAGGGGCGTTTTTTGAGGCACCTCAAAAGGCATGGTGCAGGCATGGGCGTGGGGGTGGGGCATGGGCGTGTGGTGCAGTGACCAACCCAACATGCTGCGACTTGAGCCGTCCTAAACCTCGTCTGTGCGTGCCTCCCCCGTGTGATGGCTGGCTGCAGGGTGTGTCGGGCGATGTGACCAACACGCTGAGTGGACCAGACGACTTTTACACCTGGCTTAACGACACCATTCTCCAAGTGAGTGCTCTCCCTCGCCTCTTCCGCTCTCCTTTGTCGCCCGCGCCGCAACACTCCCAAGTGGTGCGGAAGGAAGGAAGCTCCCCTGCAGCAGCGGAATGTCCAGCGCTCTTCTCTCCTCGTAGCCGCACCATCTTCCCCTCCCCTAAACCCCTTCCCACCTTCTTCCTCCACCTCCACCTCCCCATTCCCGGTGACCCCCCCCCCAGGTGGTATGGAAGGACCCTCTCTGCGGCAATGGTGTGTGCGAGCGCCCTTTGGAGTTCCCTGCCTTTGGACAACACATCATGTCTTAAAGCCCACTGCCTACTGCCCACTGCCCTATGCACCCCCCCTTTCAGGTGGTATGGAAGGACCCTCCCTGCGGCAATGGAGTGTGCGAGCGCCCCTTGGAGTTCCCAGCCTTCGGTCGCTTTGGCTGTGAGGCGGACTGCGGGGTGCTGCCCAACCTGCGCCCGCTCACGCTGCGCCTCTTACTCTTCCCTCCTTCAGGTGGTATGGAAAGACCCCCCCTGCGGAAACGGCGTGTGCGAGCGCCCCTTGGAGTTCCCAGCGTTCGGCCGTTTTGGCTGTGAGGCGGACTGCGGTGTGCTGCCCAACCTGCGCCCGCTCACGCTGCGCCTCTCCTCCTCCTTCGCCTCTCTGGAATACGCCCAAGCCTCCTCCTGGAACCTCTGCCCCCAGGGCCTGCCCTCCCTGTGCTGGTGAGTGCAAGGGCCTGCCCTCCCTGTGCTGGTGAGTGCAAGGGCCTGCCCTCCCTCTGCTGGTGAGTGCAAGGGGGCTCCCACAGGGCCCCACCCTCTCCTCACCCTCTCTCTCCCCACCCTCTCCCCATCCTCTGCCCACCCTCTCTCTCTCCACCCTCTCCCCACCCTCTCCCCACCGCTCCAAACCCATCGTTGTTCCTCTCCCAAACTCTCCACACCCCTTCTCCTTCCATGCTGCAGGTACGAGGCGCCTCAGGTGTTTTCTCAGGTGGCAGCAGAGTGGGAGCAAACAGTGTGGGTGCCGGAGGGCGACTGGGAGGTGGTGCTATCAGCGCCCTTTGGGGGGGTCACTGGTTTCGTCTATCCTGCTGCTCAATCCTCTCAATCTGCTGACCTGCCCGTCGACTCGTCTGGTTACTTTGGCTTGTCTGACTCCTCCTTCTCCTCCTCCTCCTCCTCCTCCTCCTCCTCCTCCTCCTCCTCCTCCTCCTCCTCCTCCTCCTCCTCCTCCTCCTCCTCCTCCTCCTCCTCCTCCTCCTCCTCCTCCTCCTCCTCCTCCTCCTCCTCCTCCTCCTCCTCCTCCTCCTCCTCCTCCTCCTCCTCCACCTCCCCCTCCTCCTCCTCTCAGCCCATAGCCCAGTGGGGCGGCTGTCAGGAGGCCACCACGTCGCCTCTCACACGCTGCCGATCCGTGAGTCCCTCCCTCTGCTGTCTCCTTGTTCCGGCGCCCAACCCCTGACTTGCCCCAACCCCCTCTTTCCCCCAACTCTCTCCCACCACCCCCCCGAAGCAATGCCATGTATTTCCACGCGCTTTCGAATTCGTCCCAACTTGCTCCCACCATCCCCTGCAGGCATGTGCCGCGCCGTGCTGGTTTGCGACGTGCCTCTTGAGTCGACTCAAAAATGTGCCGCGCCGTGCTGGTTTGCAACGTGCCTCAGAAAGCGAGGTGACTTTTGAGTCGGCTCAAAAGTCACCAGGCACGTGCCATGCTGTGCCGTGTTGGTTTTTTACATGCCTCAGCTCAGAAATCACTCCAACTCCTCCCAACCCTCTCCCACCATGCCCTGTAGGCGTGTGCCGTGTTGGCACGCTGTGTGCTCGAGGCATGCCCCGACCCGCTCTCCCCGCGTGTGCTCGCCGCCGTCTTTGTCGACTGCGCTGCTGCCTGCAACGACCCGCCACACACGCCGCCCGTCCCCGCCCACAACCTCACCTGCACACAGGTACTCCCCCCCATGCGCCACCCATCAGCAAGGCCATCACCCCATCCTCTGTGCTCTGGTCTGAGCCCTGAAACACACTGTGTTGCCGCCTGCTACGTCCCGCCTGTCACACACGCTGCCCTTCCACGCCCACAACGCCCTTCCTGTTGCTAGAACGATCTGCAACACTGCCTGCCTGCAGCCACCCGTCTGTCCATTTTGCAGTTCCCCGCGGCTTGTATCCTCCCTGTATGTGACTTCTGTGCGCTTGTGCGCAGAGGGGCACAGCAGCGCACTGCGGAACAAGAGCACCGTCTTGAGAGCCATCTGGCTATCCATGTGCTGTCCTCCCTCCCGCCCTCCTGCATCACACCAGGCCCTGGGAGCACTGCCAGCAGACTTCTCAACCTACCTCTGTGCAGGCGCCTCTGCTGCTGCTACAGCCGCATCGGCTGCTACAGCCTCCAGAAGACTAGCCAAGGTGAGCACAAGGCATTTGCCTCCGCTTCTTCACCGCACTCAGCTGATTGTGCGGCGCAAGCCACCCATTCGCCTCGTGTCCTCTCCTGTCCCGTGACGACTCATTCAAACGATTTTTCCTTTTAATAATCCCTCACTCACCTGCCCCCTCTGGCACCACACACCTGCCAAGTGCCCTCTCCCGCCGCCATGCACCTCCTCCCATCTCTCTTCTTCTCCCTCTTCGTCGCCTCCCTTGCTCCCCCATTCGCCCATGGCAATCCTCCCGCCCTGTGCTGAACCCCAGGAGGCACCATTTCCCTACAATCACTACAACCACTACCATCCGCATGGGTCGGCAGGGCAGCAGGGCAGGCGCCGCAGAGTGCCACAGCAGCAGGGTGCTGTGCTGCCGCCCTTGCACATGCTGCAGGAGCAGGGTTCTGCCCTGCCTGCACCCGCTGCTGCTGCTGCTTATTATGCTGCTTCTGCTTCTGCTGCTGCTGCTGCTGCTGCTGCCGCCACCCCTGCCGTCACCCCCACTGCTGGTGCGCTTCGATTCTTTGCTCCTCTGCCTTCACCTCATTCCCCCTTCGTCTCCCTTCTCTCCTCGTTCCCCCCCTCCCTCCTCTTGCTCCCTCGCACGCTTCCCAGGCATGTGTCCTACCTTTCTTTTTTTAGTCAGCTAGAGAGGAACCTCTCCGAAAGGGAGGGAACCTACCTTTCCCTTCTCACGTCCTCCAGCCCCTCTCCGCCCAACCTCTCTCCTCTGCTTTTCCCCCTCCCTTCCCTCTCCTCCCTTTCCACCACACCTTCCCCCAATACCCTCCCCTCCCCTTCCCCCTCTCCTCTTCTTCTCTCGCGTGCAGGCCTCGCAGACGACACCCTTTGGGAGGCCCTCGGTTCCTCCGACCAGCAGCGAATCCAAAACTGCCACGTGGCAGTCGCCCGTGCCCTCTACACAGCTGTCAAGGACAGCTGTCTCGTCTCTGCCGCCCCGTTCCAGCCATCCCTCGCCTCTGCCGCCCAATCCTCTGCGCCCGCCCTACTCGGCCCTGCCGCCCGGCTGCGTCTCGTGGCGTTTCTGTGCTCGCTGGTGGGCGGCGAGCGGGCGGCACAGCGCGTGAAGGGCTGCAACTACACACACCACGCGTCCGGGCGGCAGCTGGTGACGCTGCAGCTGCTCAGCACTGACGTGCCATGGGCGCACGCCAAGTGAGTGGGGGGGATTGTTTGGATGGGGGATGATGGATGTGGAATGGGGATTAGGGAATGGAGATGGAGAATGGGGAATGGGGGCTGGGAATGGGGAATGGGGGTTGGCGAATGGGGAATGGGGGTTGGCGAATGGGGAATGGGGGTAGGCGAATGGGGAATGGGGGTTGGCGAATGGGGAATGGGGGTTGGGGATGGGGGAAGGGGGTTGGCGGATGGAAGACGAGGCAGCACGCATGTCGCCACACGTCTTTTCCATCTCGTCCCCTCCCCCACACCTCCTCTCCCCCCCCCCCCCCCCCCCCCCCCCTCCCCCACTCCCGTGCCTCCTCCCTCCAGCGGCGTCCCAACGCCCCTCTCCCACACGCAGCAGGCGCGCTTCACAGCCATGCTGCTCGCTGCACTCGACTCTCTCCTCGCCCTCCCCCCCTCGCGCCTGGCGGCCCTCTCGCGCCTCCTCCACGCCCTCGACCCAGCGGTGGTGCTCCCCTCCCTGCCGCCCTGTGGGAACGCTGTGGGGCCCACGCTGCTGTGGGCGCCGGGGGTGGTGCTGAACACAACGGTGGTGGTGGGGGACAAGGTCACGTGGCTGTGGGCCGATGGGCTGCCTCACGCCCTCACATGTACGTGCCTGTTTGCTATGGGTGCTTGCTTGCGGTGGGGGTGTGAGGGACAGGTGGGGGTGTGAGGGACAGGTGGGGGTGTGAGGGACAGGTGGGGGTGTGAGGGACAGGTGGGGGTGTGAGGGACAGGTGGGGGTGTGAGGGACAGGTGGGGGTGTGAGGGACAGGTGGGGGTGTGAGGGACAGGTGGGGGTGTGAGAAGCTTGTCTATACGCGGGTATAGAGTGCACAAGTGACAGCGCGGGTATAGAGTGCACAAGTGACAACGCGGGTATAGAGTGCACAAGTGACAACGCGGGTATAGAGTGCACAAGTGACAACGCGGGTATAGAGTGCACAAGTGACAACGCGGGTATAGAGTGCACAAGTGACAACGCGGGTATAGAGTGCACAAGTGACAACGCGGGTATAGAGTGCACAAGTGACAACGCGGGTATAGAGTGCACAAGTGACAACGCGGGTATAGAGTGCACAAGTGACAACGCGGGTATAGAGTGCACAAGTGACAACGCGGGTATAGAGTGCACAAGTGACAACGCGGGTATAGAGTGCACAAGTGACAACGCGGGTATAGAGTGCACAAGTGACAACGCGGGTATAGAGTGCACAAGTGACAACGCGGGTATAGAGTGCACAAGTGACAACGCGGGTATAGAGTGCACAAGTGACAACGCGGGTATAGAGTGCACAAGTGACAACGCGGGTATAGAGTGCACAAGTGACAACGCGGGTATAGAGTGCACAAGTGACAACGCGGGTATAGAGTGCACAAGTGACAACGCGGGTATAGAGTGCACAAGTGACAACGCGGGTATAGAGTGCACAAGTGACAACGCGGGTATAGAGTGCACAAGTGACAACGCGGGTATAGAGTGCACAAGTGACAACGCGGGTATAGAGTGCACAAGTGACAACGCGGGTATAGAGTGCACAAGTGACAACGCGGGTATAGAGTGCACAAGTGACAACGCGGGTATAGAGTGCACAAGTGACAACGCGGGTATAGAGTGCACAAGTGACAACGCGGGTATAGAGTGCACAAGTGACAACGCGGGTATAGAGTGCACAAGTGACAACGCGGGTATAGAGTGCACAAGTGACAACGCGGGTATAGAGTGCACAAGTGACAACGCGGGTATAGAGTGCACAAGTGACAACGCGGGTATAGAGTGCACAAGTGACAACGCGGGTATAGAGTGCACAAGTGACAACGCGGGTATAGAGTGCACAAGTGACAACGCGGGTATAGAGTGCACAAGTGACAACGCGGGTATAGAGTGCACAAGTGACAAAGCGGGTATAGAGTGCACAAGTGACAACGAGGGTGCATCCGCCCCACCCCTCTCTTTCCTCATCCTCTCCCTTCTCCCCTCTTCCGCTCCCTCCATTCCCCCCAGTGACCCACCCAAGCGCGCCCCAGCCAGCCCCATGGCACGGCATTGGCACGGGGCAGGGCAGCTGGTGGTGGCAGCAGGTTCAGAGTGTGCGAGTGACAGCATGAGTGGGTGCATTACGCTCACCCCTCTCTTTCCCCATCCCTTCCCCACCTCCCATCCCTCGCCTTCCCTCCCCCCATCCTGCAGTGACCGACCTGACCTCGCCTCAACCGCCCCCATGGCACGGCTTTGGCACGGGGCAGCTGGTGGTGGCAGCGGGTACAGAGTGTGCGAGTGACAACGTGGGGGCGCTGCCTGCTGCTGCCGATGACTCAGACCGTGCCACTGCTGCTGTGCACCTGCTATGGGCCGCACACGTCCCCCTGCCCTGCTCCCTCTGTAAGCTCCGCTCGCTAGCCCCCGCAATGCTCGCACTCCCACCCACTGCTCCTCATTCCAAGCTCACCCAATATCTACCCTGCCCCTGCCCCCGTCTGTCCCTGTGTGTTTGCTGCGTGCTGCAGACATCTCGCCTCACTTCCCGCCCCTTGAGCTCCACTCCTTTCTCCTTTCTCTCCCACGCTCACAGCCATCCCTGGCGACCCGGAGGTCTTCTCAGTGTCTGCAGTGGTGCTCGCCCCCGGCACCTACCACTACCACTGCACACGCACCGGCCGCCTCATGCCCGGCCTCCTCTCCGTGCTGCCCGCCCCTGCCGCCTCTGCTGCCTCTGCCGCTTCCTCTCCCTCCTCCCCGGCTGCTTCCTCCTCCTCCCAATCGCCCTCTAGCGCCACCCTTGCTGTCGTGGCAGCATCTGTGGGTGCAGCAGACTCATCAGCCCTCACAGCAGCAGCAGCAGCTGCAGTCGCCCCTACCCCATCTGCTACCTCTGCACCACCTGCTGCTGCTGTGTCGCCAGCAGCGGCAGTAATCTCAGCGCCCCTGGCAGTGCAGTGTGCGCCGGGCTGTGCGCTGAGCATGCTGGGGGACGGGCTGTGCCACAGCGCGTGCCACGTGGACGCGTGTGCCTTTGACGGGGGGGACTGTGCGTGTGCACGCCCCCCTCGCTCGCTCCCTGCTGCCGTCGCCTCTGCTCCCTCCTCCTGCTCGTGCCCCCTGCGGCAGATGCGCTCCAACCAAGGCTGTGAGTGCTTCGCCCACTACCACACCACACATCCACATCTCATTTTCCCCCTCCCCTTGCCTGCTGTTGTGGCCTCCGCTCCCTCCTCCTGCTCGAGGTGACTTTTGAGTCGACTCAAAAGTCACCTTGTTGTGGCCTCTCCTCCCTCCTCCTGCTCGTGCCCCCTGCGGCAGATGCGCTCCAACCAGGGCTGTGAGTGCTACACCACGCCACACATCACCACCACATCAGGGGCCCACGAACACCCACTAGTACCCATCAGCACCCACTTGCACCTCACCATGCTGCATTTGTGCTCATGCCACACCTGTGCCTGCTCACACCCCTAACACATCCCCATCTCCCCCCCATGCATTCCCCCGTGCCCTGCCAGCGTGCTGTCTTATGAAGGACGTCGGCCCCCGCCTCCGCTTCCCCTTCTCCGTCCGCGCCACTACCGCCGGCACCAACACTGCCACTGCCGCTGCTGCACCCACCAACGCCACCGCACCTAGCAACACCACGGCGAGTAACACAATGAACAGCACAGCGGGCGGCGTGGCAGCGTCGTCGCCGCTGGGTGCGCTGGTGGCGGAGAGGCAGCAGGTGGCGCAGGCGCGGTACGTGGCAGCGCAGCGCAACCGCCTGCTCATCGGCCTCTTCCTTGAGCAGACTCGGGCCGATGGCGGCCCCTGCAGGCCTTCCAGGTGAGCCCTCTCCAGGTGAGATGAATCATTGTGTGTTGTGATGGCGCTCACAGAAGGCGTGTGGTGCGCTCACAGAAGGCGTGTGGTGCGCTCACAGATGGTGCTAACTCACAGGCAGCGCAGGCGTGGTACATGGCGGCGGAGAGCGACCGGCTTCTCATCGGTCTCTTCCTTGAGCAGACTCGTGCTGATGGCCACCGGTGCCGCCCCTGCAGGTGAGAGAGAAGCAGATGTGCGGAAAGAAGCAGGTGATGGTACATGGTGGCGGAGCGGAACAGGGTTGCACTCTGATGGTTGTGGTGCGCTTCTGCTGCACAGTCTTCTTCCTCCAGCACACTCGCGCTGGTGGCGGCCTCTTCTGCCACTCCAGGAGCATTGATTAACTGACTGCGCTTTGTTGTGGTTTTGATGCCTCCAATCCAAACCATTCCGTGCATGCTCACCCCCTCTCCTCACCACCCACTCATCTGTCACCGTCCTTGTCGCTTCTCCCCCATCTACCCTCTCCCCCTTCCCTCCCCACCCCTGCCCCTGCCCACCTTCTCCACATCCCGTCCTGTCCCCTTCCCCCCAGGTTCCTGAGCCTCTTCCCCTACTGTGCCAACAGCACATCACGCCAGCCATTCGGGATCAACCCAGCCTTCCTCCCCTCCTCCTCGCTCTATGACCCTGACGCTGCTGCCGTCCTCGCTGCAGCCACCAACCAATCTCTGCCACCCCTTGACGGCCAATCTGACTCCTCCATTCCGGGCGGCAGCAGCAGTGCTGTCAGCCAATCAGACTCCTCCGTCCCAGGCAGTAGCGGCAGTGCTGTCAGCCAATCACCAACCTCCGGCACTGTAGCGCTGCTGACTCCTACTGAGCTGCGAGCGTTTCAGAACCACAGTGTGCCGTACGGATTCGCGCCCGTGCAGCCGGACAAGGCGGCGTTCCCCGTCCTGTTTGACGTGAACCTCGACAGCCGGGCGGCTGCCGCCCGGCTACAGTACCTCGTGGACGGCTTCTTTATCGACAATGCCACCCGCACCATCACCGCCCAGATGCTCACTTACAACGGTACGATCATCACCCTCGGCCTTTGTGCCTTTGCCACGTCATCATGCTGACGTGGCACGTCACCAGACTGGCACCTGTTTATTCTTCCCCCGGCTGACCTCTTCCCCCTCCCTGTTGCTGCCATCATGCCATGCCATGTGCATGCAGGGGAGAGCCATCTCTTTGTGCTCATTCGAGTGCGCTTCATCTGCCAGGTGCGCCCTCCCCTCTCCTTCTCCCCTCTGTTGGGCTGCTGTACGTCTGCGCGCTCCCTATCCCTGACACACGCACATTCTCCCACCCACCCATCCACCCCATCACTCACTCACACTCGTACATACCCGCACACAACTCCCCTTTGTTTATCCTTTTCCAGGTGGGGGGGCAGATAGCAGTGAAGTACGAGATAGAACCCGTCAACGTGGAGGTGTTTACAAAGTCAAGCAATCACTCACTCACTCACTCCCTCACTCACTGACTCCCCCGCTCCCTCACTCCCTCACGCACCACCAGGTGGGGGGGCAGATAGCAGTGAAGTACGAGATAGAACCAGTCAACGTGGAGGTTTTTCGCACGGAGGGCGACTGGGTGCAGCTGGGGATCACGCTCGTGTATGTCATTGCTGTCATGTGGAACTTGCTGGAAGAGGCACGAGAGGCCTTCTCACTCTGGCTTCAGACGGGCAGGGTGAGCCTTAAAGCCCGAGTGGGTGTACATGGATGGGCAAGGTGAAAAGGGTGGGCATGAGGGCTCTGCTCTCCTCTCCTCTCCTGTGCTGGGTTGGGTTCTTCTCGTCTTCCCTGCCTGCGATCGGCGCTCACATGCCTTGCTGCCTGCTTGCTGTGCGTGTACCTTACGTACCGTGTGCTTACGCCCCTTATGGCATGGCATGGCATGGCATGGCATGGCATGGCATGGCATGGCATGGCATGGCATGGCATGGCATGGCATGGCATGGCATGGCAGGTGTGGGCATACTTCCGGTCGCTCTGGAACTGGCTGGACGTGCTCTCCCTCACCATCCAGTTCTCCGGCATCATCATGTGGTGAGTGAGCGCCACGTCAGCATGAATGAGTGAGCGCCACGTCAGCAATTGGGTGAGGGCCACGTCAGCAATTGGTGAGCGCCACATCAGCAATTGGTGAGGGCCACGTCAGCAATTGGGTGAGGGCCACGTCAGCAATTGGTGAGCGCCACATCAGCAATTGGTGAGGGCCACGTCAGCATATCCGCATCTCATGGGTCTTGCGAGCATCACGCTTTATGCATCGTTGTGCCGCTGCATATAGCACCCTGTATGCATGCATGTCCATGCCTGCTCCTTGCACAGCGTGCCACCTGTCATGCCCCACACCCATGCCCCATGCCTCATGCACCCTCCACACCCCGCGTGCCCCGTGTCGATGTGCATGCCCCACACGGCAGGTTCATATCATAATAGCAGTGCAGCTGTCGGGGCCCTTCTCAGTGCAGGCGCGCTACAACGTCTACGCCTCCCCATGCACCACTCCCCATGCCCTCCATGCCCTCCATGCCCTCCATGCCCTCCATGCCCTCCATGCCCCCATGCCCCCATGCCTCCATGCCTCCATGCCCCCATGCCCCCATCCCCCCCATGCCCCCATGCCCCACATCCTGTGCCCCATGCCCCACACCCCGGCCCCATGCCCCACACGGCAGGTTCATCATAGCGGTGCAGCTGTCGGGGCCGTTCTCAGTGCAGGCGCGCTACAACATCTACGCTTCCCTGGGCGACACGCCCTACCCCTGGCAGGTGGGTGCCAGACACGCCCTACCCCTGGCAGGTGGGTGCCAGACACGCCCTACCCCTGGCAGGTGGGCCACTGTACCTGCACAGCACCTGCTGCCCTCTACCTTCCCTCTATCTGTGTTCTGGATACAATTACCAAACAGCAAGCGATGTCTATCCCTTTCCTTTCACTTTCTGCTGCTCGCCTTTCCTTGCCCGCCTATCCCTACCCTTCCCGTCCCTTCCTTCCCCTCACAGATGGTGCATCCCCCAGCGCAGTACTTAGCAGCAACGAGCATGTACCACCAGATAGAGCACATCGTCTCTCTCCTTGCCCAGATACAGCAACTTCCCTTGCCCTCCCATCCCATCCCATCCCATCCCATCCCATCCCATCCCTTGCCTTGCACAATGTTCCTTCACTTCCCTCCCCTCACAGGTGGTGTACCCCCCAGCACAATACCTAGCAGCAATGAGTGTATACAATCAGATAGAGCACATCGTCTCCTGGCGATCCATCTGCGTCGCCCTGCAGGGCATCAAGTGAGTCCCATAGAGCACCAGGGTCGTGCCATAGGTTCGATACTTGGCTGCAGCTTAGGATCCGAACACCACAGCGTGTACAATCAGATAGAACACATCGTCTCCTGGCGATTCATCTGCGTTGCCCTGCAGGGCATCAAGTGAGCCCCCCTGCCGCCCTTGTCCTCCTCTAACTGATCTCCGAAGTCAAATCAATCCACCACTAAAAAGGCTTGCTTCAAATCCGATCCTTCGCACTTTTGGTCGCCCTGCAGGGCATCAAGTGAGCCTCTCGCCCTCCTCGCTCTCTAACTTAGCTCTAGTTTCAGGTTCCTTGCTAAGCTGGAAGGTCCGCTGCCCGTTACTCTCTTGCCTGCGCTTTCTCAAGTGGTTCTCCACCCGCCCCATTTCTTACCCCCTCTCTTCTCCAGCGTCTTCCTAATGACCCTGCGACTCCTCAAGCTGATGGACTTCCAGCCGGGCGTCTCCATCCTCACTCTCCTTTCACTCTGATCTCCGCTCTCTCCCCTCCCCAACCCCACTTTTCCCACGTTCCCCCCATCAGCGTCTTCTTAATGACTCTCCGACTCCTCAAGCTGATGGACTTCCAGCCGCGCATCTCCATTCTCACGCGCACCATGGCAGCAGCGCTGCCCTCCCTCGGCCACTTCCTCCTCCTCTGGGCCATTGTCTTCGTCGGCCTCTCTGTCTACGCATACGCGGTCTTCGGCCGCACTCTAGACCAATTCAACACGCTCGCCATGTCACTGGTTTCCTGCTTTTTAATCTTAATTAATGATAACTCCACGGGGTATTATTTTATTCAGCTGGAGGGGTGGCCGCTGGCTGCGGCGATGGTGTTCTGGATCGCGTTTGTGGCGGTGATGGTGTTTGTGCTGCTCAACGTGCTCATTGCCATTGTGGTGGATGCCATGATGGAAGTGCAGGTGAGCATTTGGCTGATTGCCACTGTGCGAGGTGTGCAATGTGTGAGCAACTAGGTGACTTGTGAGTGGACTCAAAAGTGTTTGTGCTGCTCAACGTGCTCATTGCCATCATGGTTGATGCCATGATGGAAGTACAGATGAGCCATTGATTGATCCTGCGATGTGCAATGAGCGCCAAGTCGGTTTGTGAGAATCCTCAGAAGCCAACTTGTCAGACATCTGCCGTTTGCTCCACAGCGATGTCATCCGCTGTCCGCTCACCTCCGCCACCTCCGCCATAGTTGCTCCACAGCTATGGCGGAAGTGCAAGCCAACTTGTCAGACATCCGCTGTCCGCTCACCTCCGCCATCCCAATGCCTTGCACTTCCTCTTACCCATCGCGGTACCCTCCGCCATCCTTCTACCATTGCCATTCCCACTCCCACAGAAAGAGACAGAGGACCGGCCGTCCGTCCTTCTTCCTGGGCAGGTGGCGTGTGCTCCGCAGCTGCAGCTCTTCTCTCCGCAGCTGCATCAGCCGCCACTCTTCTCTCTCACCCCTCTCTTCCATGCCAATGCCATTGCTTTCCGTGTTGCCCTACCCGTCTGTCACGCCTCTTCTGTTCCAGAAAGAGTCAGAGGATTCGCCGTCCTTTTTCGTGGACATGTGGCGTGTGCTGCGCAGCTACGCCATCCGCTGCTCGACGCGCTACTGGAAGCCTGGGCGCCTGCAGAGGCACCTGCTTGCGCTGGGGGCGGAGGATGACACCAAGCAGGTACCTTCCTTTTCCTTCAGAAGGTTCCTTCCCTTCCCTTCAGCAGGTGCTCTCGGTGCTGCTGCTGATGCGGTGAGCTCGAAATAAAAGCGGTGCGGTGTTTTATCATGCTTTGAGGCACCTCAAAATCCGTGGCGCCCTGTGCGCGCGCTACTTGAAGCTCGGTTGCTTGCAGAGGCACCTGCGTGCGCAGGAGGTGTAGGGCAAAACCATGCAGGTATGGTGTTCCGTTCAACAAGTGCTCTTGGTTGGTGTCGGTGCCGGTGCCGGTGCTGCTGCTGGTGCTGGTGGCAGTGCTGGTGCTGGTGCCGGTGGCAGTGCTGGTGCCGGTGGCAGTGCTGGTGCTGGTGCCGGTGGAAGTGCTGGTGCTGGTGCTGGTGGCAGTGCTGGTGCTGGTGCTGGTGGCAGTGCTGGTGCTGGTGCCGGTGTTGGTGGTGCCTCCTTCCTCTCCCGCCTGTTCCTCCCCCCCGCAACTCTTCACCTTTGCCCACTCTGTGCTGGTGATCGGCAGGAGCTTTGAGACATCTCAAAACTCAACTTTTATCACTTCAGCAAGCTCGGCAGCTGCTTCAGCTTAAGCTGCAGCTTCAGAGCTCAAATTCGCCTTTGAGTCAACCAAACAACTGCTCTTTCTTTCTTGCCTGTTTCCCCCACCACAGGTCTCCTCCTTGGCCTCTATAAGGGTCATGCGAGGCAGCTTCAGCGATCTAGACAGCTGCTGCTCAGTCAAGCCAAGCATTGATCCGCTACTGCTGAGACAACTCACCTCAACAATGGCTTCCCCGGCCTGCCTGTCCCCCCCTCCCCAACAGATCTCCTCCTTGGCCCACTCTATAAGGGTCATTACAGGCAGCTTCAGCGATCTCGACAGCTGCTTCAGCTTCACATTACAATCTCTCTCCTCGCTTGCCTGTTCTTTCCTCCCCTTCTCCTCCCCCCAACAGCTCTCCTCCTTGGCCCACTCTATAAGGGTACTCCGGGGCAGCTTCAGCGATCTAGACAGCTGCTTCAGCTTCCCAACCGCCTGCCCGCAGCCGGACCTTAGCCGCCCGCGCCGGGTCTTCCGAGTCAACGGCCGAAGCTACAACGCCGATAACCTATCGGCTGTGCTCGAGCGCCGATTACAGCGCTGCCCTGCGGGTTCTCTTTCCCGCCGATTCTCACTGCTCAAGGGCGATTCGGTGCGTGGGGAAGGGAGGTGGGGGTGGGGGTGTTATGCGCCTCAAAACTAGATCGATAACCTATCAAGGGTGATCGAGCGCTGCCTGGAGCACTGCCCCGTGAGTTAGTCTTTCCCGCCGATTCTCGCTGCTCAAGGGCCGCTCGGTGCGTGGGGAAGGGGGGTGGGGGTGATGGGTGAGTGACTTGTGAGGCGCTTCGGTAACCTGTCCTAGGTGCTCATTTCTCTATGGCCCTTTACCATCCTTTTTTTCCGTCTCGGTTCCGTCTTCTTTCTTGCAATGGCAAGAAAGGGCAGAACCCGAGCCAGGCATCAAACCTGACAGGCACGACAGGATGATGGACATGATTCTCGCGCACTAGGGGGGAAGAGTTCTGAGTCAACTCTAATCTCTTTTGAGTTCTTCTTTCTCGCAATGACAGATCCAGGAAACTCTTCTAGATTCTTCCTCCTTGCAAAGACAGATTCGGCAAACTCTTCTGGATCCATCTTTCTTGCATGGCAGGAGAAGGTGGAGCAAGAGCCAGGCATCAAGCCCGACAGAATGACGGACCTCATTCTTGCGCAGTTTGGGGAAGAGATGGGGACGGCAGGGCGCGCTCCGGGGCAAGGCACTGACGAGGATGCAGACCTCGAGGTCATGAAGGTGCGCTTACTGTACTGCACGGCTCTCTGTTTGTTCTATGTTTTAGCTTACCTATAATGAATAAATGCTCTTCAATTGGGAGAGCGCAGTATGCAACTCTTTCCTACCCTCTGGCTTGTATTTGTCTTCTCGGGTACCCCAGGAGGAGGTTCTCCGAATCGAGAAAAGCATGGCAGAATCAGCTCAAGGGCTGGGGGAGCTTCAGGGGGAAGTGCAGATGCAGCGCCGTGCCCTTCGCAATCTGCAGCGGCAGCTGACCAATCGCGACCTCCGGTTGGAAGAGCAGACCGCGGAGTTGCAGCGCCAGCTGGCTCAGCAGCACCAGCTCCTGCTTCGTCTGGTGAACTCGAGAAGTTAGGGGGTGGAGTCGTTCGCTGTTTATTCAGGAGGCTTGTTAGTCAACTCAAAAGTCACACGGAGTTGCAACAGCATCAGCTCCTGCTTCGTCTGGTGAACTCGAGGAGCAAGTGTTGTCTTGTATTTATTGTGGAGCCTTGTTTGTCTTGCGTGGTGCTAACATGTTTAGCCTCTTCAGGAGAAAATGAAATTGCGATTGGTTGCAGGTGAACTGCTGACGGGGCCACTGCCTCGGCATTCTTGGAATGCTCGTGAATCGTGGTCACGAATTTGCTCAGTTTTTCTCTGTTTTGGGTTTCATTATACCTGAGCAAAACACTACCATTCATAATCAACCTCGCTAGGGCTATACCAGTTAATGTTCCGAACTTGTGCTTCACTATAGCATATTCACATGCATAAAATTTGTAACGAAACTGACTTGCAACTGTTGCCGTTAAAACTAACGCCTTCGTGGACGGCGGCCGACATCCTCCTGTCTCAGAACCGGCCATCGCTGCAATTCATGGTCGCAATGGTTCCAAAACACCTGAACATGAACAGCACCATGCGGTTCGCAACCAGGTCCCTCCACTTCATCCTCCCTCCGCAATCAGCGTAACCAGCGTTTGATCGCATGCGGCTCAGTAAGTTTCAAAGTGTCGGAGAGCGGTTCATGTTTTATCCAAATAGGTTAGGTACTGCAATTAGGCGAAGTGAACCTTCGTGGCACTTCGTGGTGCGAGGTTGAAGGGTACGCTGCGAACTCTGCTGACGACGCCAACGAATTTCGTGAGCACACCAGCTGAAGGGACGCCTCAACCTGCGGTGACACCAACCTGACTAGGCTTGCGACCATGTGCGAGCGCAGGGCAAAGAGGGAATGCCTGACCGCACGACACGACGAGATTCTATGCGCGGGAAACACGCGGAGCGAAGGGGATGGCTGGCTGCATTCCCCCGAACACCTGCAGGACCCTTCCGCAGCGTAGCGGATACAGTACAGCACACCTGCTCTGCTCCCCCGACCCGAGTCCCGCCCGAGCAGCTGAGCACGAGAAAGAGGCAGGGTGGATGTAGGGTTGAACTTGATTGACGACTGGCGTTGCTGTGTTGTACAGCACTCGCCTCGCCAGTTCCATTCCATTCCATCCCCTGCTAGAGAGTTTCTGGACGCCTCTGCGGGGCACAACCATCACCTCGCCGCCACCACATCCTTCTCTCTGGCCTAGACCCACAGCAGAAATCTTCTCGTCGTCAGATTTCAGTTTTCCCATCCACGTCATACCTTGGGCCTCGCCGTTCTGTCCTAGAACCACAGTTTCGCAGGCTCTGGTAACTGAACGATAATCCACCCTTATAGAAAGTCCGATTTCTCGTGACGTAAGTAGATGCGTCTGTTTGCTCCACCCAGTTAAGATTGATTAGGGCGCTTACCCTATATAGTCGAGGTTTGTTATTGGTTCCAAGTGACACCGTGTGGTCTTTAGCCGAGCTTCCCAACCATTCCGTACGGGTAGTATCGCATCTGCTGCGCGAATCCCGGAAGCACGCAGGCACTTCGCATTGCAGCCATGGCGCGCTCCCTCCTCGCCATACTCGTATGCCTCGCCCTCGCGACCTCCGCCCTCGCCCGCACGTACGACCGCCCCCACTTGCACCGCATGCACGCCCGCCGCGGTCTGCGCCACGTGCGTGACCCCGCGGCTGGCTCGCGACGCCGCCTCTTCTCCTCCGCGTTCGGCGACGAAGCTTCCTCCAGCGACCCCAACGGCGACTACATCGGATTCGACGATTTCGTTAGCGGGCCGGTTGCTCCCGCTTCCGCGCAGCTGAAGGCCTTGATGGCGATTAAAGCCGCCTGGAAGAGCGACTTCTACGCAGCTTCCACTTGGCAGGAGGGCAGTACGGACACAACCGCGTGGGAGGGCCTCGAGATTGACGACGCAGGTAACGTCGTCAGCATGCGGTTGGTCTCCGCGGGCGTCGAAGGACCGCTGCCGGCGGCGCTCGCTGCGCTGACGGCCCTCACGTCGCTTGATCTCCGTCAGAATAAGCTGACCGGCGAGATTCCTCGCGGTGTTTTCGCCAAAATGCCGAACCTGAAGGAGTTCTATATCGCGGATAACCAGCTTTCCGGGCTTGTTCCGTGGAGGCAATTCTTCGGGCAGGCTGATTCCCCGCTGCAAATGTTTGAAATCGACGGCAACGCTTTCACCGGTGGCATTCCCAACACCCTTTTCCAAAACGCGCCGAACATCCAAACCTTCACAGCCAGCGGCAACAAGTTCACCGGGCAGATGCCAACCGGTTTGTCAGGCTGCCCGCTTCTTTCGGTCATCGATTTGTCGGACAACCAGCTGACCGGCCCAATTCCGTCCGCGTTTGGCCGGATGGACGGGCTGGAGGTGTTCGACGTCAGCAACAACCTGTTGACCGGTTACCTGCCGGCGACCTTCGGATTCTCCGCGACGCTCATGAATCTCGATGTTAGCAACAACAAGCTGAGCGGTAACCTCCCCGCATCGCTGGCCAATCTCGGCCAATCGCTGCGGGCCTTTAAAGTGGCGAACAACTACTTCACTGGAATTTTGCCGAAGTTCCCAAACCTCGGGAGGGGCTGCGGACCCAAGGGATCCGACGCTGTTTCCTGTTACAGGTTCTCGAGCATCATTGATTTGAGCAACAACTACTTTTATGGAAAGGATGAGATGACCATCCAGGCGGCCAATTGGACGGGCACACCAAAGACCGACGTAATCTGCCCGGGAAAAGACTTTCCGAATGAAATTTCTGTCCAAGGAAATTGCTTGGTGTCCAGTGCGACCTGCACAGCCAAGTCGCAGAGGGCTGCAGCGCAATGCACTGCGTTCTGCGGCACAGGGGCAGGTTCTCCTCAGTGCGGAGGCGGTGGTGTTTGCTTTTGGGATGCAGCTTCTGGAAAGGCGGGATGCCGGTGCAAGGAGGGATTTGTGGCTTCTGCTGATGGCATGACTTGCACCAAGCCTGCCACGGCATGAGGTGTGGGCTGCGGAGTTCCCAAGTGATGCAGTTTAGCAATATGCTGGCTTGCCAATTCTGCTTGTGAGTGAGATGTATTCTGTGCGTTGTTTGTAGGGTTATCTGTCTGTCTTCTTTCAAGAAGCTGCTGCGGCGTTGGACTGCGGGTGTGGTCAGTCTTGTATGGTGGTTAGCCTGGGGGTGCTGATTTCTTGATGGACGTCTGTCAAGATTCTCACATTGTGTATGCTTTCTCTGTATCATGTTGCGTATCAAAGAAATTATTCATTTATGCTGACATTTGAAGCACGGTCATCAGTAGCCAGATAAATTGACTAAATACCAATATCCCAAACTGGGATTTTCTTTATCCCAGATAGGAGCATGTTACCTTACCTTACTATTACACCATTCTAGAAATCCACTGTAATCTCAGCGCCTCGTGAATGTGCTGTACTGCGTTTGACTGTGACAGTCCTTCGCGTTTTTATCACGTCCAGCCTAAAGCTTGGAAGCCGCAAACAGCTTCATCCCGCGACTTGGGAGCTCGAATGGTTAGGTTAGTTTGGGTTGGGTTGGGTTGGGTTGGGTGGGCGAGACGCTTGAGTCACATCACAACCAACCCCTCCCACCCACCCCCCCTCCTTCCTACCCTTCCCCTCCCCACTGTCATCCAGCTCCAGCTAAACCGCATCAGGAACCTCTCCAGTTACGGAACGGCGTTCCTCGCATCCAGTCACTTCAGTGTGGAATTTCCTCCTAGTGCGCGCAGGAACCAATGCTCCATTTGCCAGTCGAGCAGGTTATGGTGGCATAGGATTAGCGCGTATTGTTCAGCACATGCATCATGACGTGCTTCTCGCGTTGGAGAGCACGACAATGGTTTGGCTGCATGGCCGCGTTCCTAGTAATCGCAACTAATTCGTTCACCCTGTCATCTGGCAGCCGACCAATAATCGAACCAGCATCGCCAGCGTCGTATCGGGAAGAGCTGAAGGATGCAATCGCCGCGTTGCTGCAAATCCATGGCTTCTCCAAATACGCCCTCGAAACGCTAGCCCCCGCATGTGCGTTTACACACGTCATATCAAGTTTCCTGCTGTTGAGGCTATCCAACTGTCATTCAGACTTGCTCTATCCCTCCTAACCTTTTCCCCTCCGTCCTTTTCCATGATTCCGTGTGCCCAGTGTCCACAGGCCCCAACAATCTCTTCCGTCAAAATCTCACCATTCTTGCTCCCAGCACGGATGCCCTTGTGCGCGTTAGCGATGATGCTTTTAACGCGCACGACAGCGTCCGGATTTCTGAGTTCACAGTACTCGCGACTCGCATGACGTATAGTGAGATATTGGCCCACCCAGATAATGACCCGCTTCCCACACTAGAAGGTTCGCCTGTATGGAAGGTGACTGTAATAAAGGCGGACGGAACACCTGATTATGTGGTGTTTGTCCAACCAGAAGGCGCTGCGGCAGCAGGGCCAAGTGCAACCATAGTTGCTGCTGACGTGTACCTAGGCCCCACGCTTGCCATCCATGGCATAGATAGCGTGCTATTTCCTCCATTAGGGCAGGGTTGATTGATATGCGTATACTATCGTCTCTTAGCAGCACAAGCTGCAATAATGGGAAGGGCCATGTAGGCCTTGTTTATCAAATACATGTATCATGCTGCTAATGTTCCTAGAGAGATGGCTGACGTTCGATTCCGATGTTAGTGGAATGGTGTACCGCCTCTGACGCACATACTCGTAAAGTATGCTGCTTGAAACGAGTTCGTAGCTATGCTTCGAGAAGCAACATGGGCACCCGTCGACAATTCTAAGCAGCAAGCGAAACGCATGTTACCACAAACGCGAGGAGCAATTGAGAGAACTGGTTTCGCAAATTTATGTTACCATCACTTGTGCCCCCTTGTACGGCGCTCAACAATCTGCCCAAGACGTACCATCTCATCAATTGCCCCTACATTTTCACACCGCAGAGTCTGATCACCCATGTTCGCCGCAGTAGTCCCTGTCACCGCTTCTAGCGCCTCGTTGCTCGTGTCTTCGATACAAGCTAGAGGATTTATCCGCTTTCCGTCGTCGCAAGGCGTTCGAGCAGGAGCACCGCGGTTAGTCGGCTCCGCGCTCCATTTCCCCTCCCCGTCTTCCACTCGGACTTGCTTTTCCGCGCAGTCCCGCGCCGGATCCCAAACCCCAGGGCCCTTTCTACGCGCTGTCGAGCGCTTCTTTACCGCTCGCGGCGCAACAGCCGCGGCAGGAGTGGGCATGGAGAACGCGTGGGCGCGCGAAGGGCGGCCGGCGGTTGCGGTGGTAACGGGGGCGAATAAAGGCATCGGATTCTACATCGCACGGGGATTGGCTGGCGAAGGGTTGACTACTGTGCTCACCGCCCGCGACCCGGGGCTGGGGCAGGAAGCTGCGAAGAAGCTTCAGGCGGAGGGGCTGCAGGGGGTGGAGTTCCATCAGCTGGATATCAGCGACCAATCATCGATCGACAGCTTTGCACGGTGCAATGATTGCTCGCTCCCTCTTCTGTGGCAACGAGCTTGGTTCTGCAAGCATTTGATTTTCGTGCTGCTATGTCCGTGCATCATGCAACTGTTGGTTATCGCTTTGCGTCTTTGCTTAAGGTGGCGAGAATTCTCAGTTGCAATTTCCTCCTGTTAGCACCTGCAGCTGCTCAGGAGGTGAAATGTCGCTGTCACTTATTATCCACACCTGCTGCTGCAGATGGCTCAAGGACACTCACGGGGGCCTGGACGTGCTTGTAAACAATGCTGGGATGGCTTATAAGGGGAACACGTTCGGAGCAGAGGAGGCAAGGAAGACCATTGACACCAACTACAAAGGCACTCGGGCCGTGTGTGAAGCGCTGCTGCCCCTGCTGCGCCCCTCCAAAGGTGAGCCGTGTGGTGTATGTTGAGTTGACACACACTAGGCCAGCAGGACCATTGACACCAACTACAAAGGCACTCGGGCCGTGTGTGAAGCGCTGCTGCCCCTGCTGCGCCCCTCCAAAGGTGAGCGGGGTGGTGTATGTTGCGTTGACTCACACTAGGCCAGCAGGACCATTGACACCAACTACAAAGGCACTCGGGCCGTGTGTGAGGCGCTGCTGCCCCTGCTGCGCCCCTCCAAAGGTGAGCGGGGTGGTGGATATTGCGTTGACACACACTAGGCCAGCAGGACCATTGGCACCAACTACAGGAGCACTCGGGCCGTGTGTGAGGCGCTGCTGCCCCTGCTGCGCCCCTCCAAATTTGAGCGGGGTGGTGTATGTTGCGTTGACTCACACTAGGCCAGCAGGACCACTGGCACCAACTACAAAGGCACTCGGGCCGTGTGTGAAGCGCTGCTGCCCCTGCTGCGCCCCTCCAAAGGTGAGCGGGGTGGTGTATGTTGAGTTGACTCACACTAGGCCAGCTGGACCACGCGCACCACCAACTACAGGAGCACTTGGGCCGTGTGTGAGGCGCTGCTGCCCTTGCTGCGCCCATCTAAAGGTGAGTTGGTAGCAGCTGCCCTTGCTCCCCTTCCCTGTCTTCTGCCACGTTCCCCTTCTGCCACGTTCCCCTACAGTTCACTTATCATGGTCTATTCTCCTGCTCTTTCCTTCTCCTGCCCCTCCCCCTCTCGCCCACCAGCGGGGGCGCGAGTAGTTAATGTGGGCTCGAGTGCAGGCAAGCTTCGCATTGTCTCCCCCGCACTCAAGGTAACTCATCACTCGGGTTTTATTCATACATATATATGTATGATTTTTTGCTCTCATTTTCCCATTGGTCAATAAGCCTTTGAAATTTCATTACTTTCTTCTCAGTGACTCTGGTTGTCTGCATCTCTCCTCCCACTGTCGTGATCGCCTCGCTCCCTCTGGTTCTCTGGTAAGTCCTTTCACGAGTCTTCGAAAAACCAAAATCTGTTTTTGAGTCGACTCAATAACAGCCTCTCCTCCCACTGCCATGTTAGCTTCCTCCCCTCGTTCCCCTCAGTCCTTTCACAAATATTTAAAAAACTCATATCATGGTCTCTTTTCCTCCCTCTACCGCCTCCGTCTGCTTACCTCAGGCCCGCTTCACCAGCCCAACCCTCACAACTGCTGACCTGGATGCACTAGCGGAAGAGTTTATAAAGGGGATAGAAGACGGCACTTATAAGGGAGCAGGGTGGCCCGAGTCCATGTACGGAGTGTCGAAGCTCCTAGAGAACACATATACTCGCGTGCTTGCGAGACAGGTGGAGGGGCGGCAGGAAGGCGAAAGGTGGGTGGAGGGGCGGCAGGAAGGCGAAAGGTGAGCTGGTTCGGATGGGGAAGCTGGAAAGGGAACGAGGCACGCGCATCCATTCATGCAGATTGGTAACCATTACTGTCTCAAGCATGCGTGCTCCTCCTCTCATACGGAACCCCTTCCAACCAGTGCCTTATGCATGTTCTCCGTGCCCTGGTCCCGCAGATTTGTATGTGAATGTGTGCTGCCCTGTGCGGTCCACCTTGGCAGCCTGGAATACTGCGCTGCTCCCACGCCCTTGTACAGTCTGGTGGAATGCTCTCGCCTTGTGCTTCCCCTCTTCCTTGGGTGTTTGTGAATGTGTGCTGCCTCGGGTGGTGTGCTACAGGCATGTTGTCATGGCGCGGCCACAAGACATCCGAGGAGAGTGTGTGCTGCTCCTATGCATTCTTCACGTGCTATTTCACTGTCTCTTCGTGCCTTTCCCTCCCCCACAGGGTGTTTGTGAACGCATGCTGCCCCGGGTGGTGTGCCACTGATATGTCATCATGGCGCGGCAGCAGAGGAGGGAGCATGCTGCTCCCATGCATTCTTCATGTGCTATCTCACTGTCTCTTTGCACTGTTCCCTCTCTCAGGGTGTATGTGAACGCATGCTGCCCCGGGTGGTGTGCCACTGACATGTCATCATGGCGCGGCCGCAAGACAGCAGAGGAGGGCGCGGACACACCCATCTTCCTGTCACTCGTTCCACCCGAGAAGGCTGCTACCGGGCGGTTCTATGCTGACAGGACGATTGAGGATTTTTAGAGGAGGTTGTAATGACGCGCGAGGAGGTTTGGTTGACGGCTGAGGAGAGTACATGGAGTGGAGTGGAGACTCGCGCATCTTCCTGACGCAGGTGCCGCCCGAAATTGCTGGTTCTGGGCAGTTCTATGCTGAATGGGAGAATTTATGAGCTTTGTAGGATGTCTTGGGCGATGGCATTGGCATAGGGCGAATAGTGGTTTGGGTGGCAGTTTTTGTAAGTAGACCAATCCAGGCCAGCAGTCCTTTGTGGAACCAGCTTGGGTGGGATGGGATGGAAGTTGGAACCCATGCAGATGATAAAAGGCTACCAGTATGTGATGCAATCAGCTTCCAGCATGCTGCATGTGTCCATCCCACGGAATGCTGAGCTTGTGAGGGCGTTCCAAAGAAATGGAGCTCCATCCAATTGACACAACACTGCTATCTACCGGTACCTTGGTGCTATCGTACGGTAGTTCCATCACAAAATAGTGCTGCAGCAGGGCATTTTTATGCCGACCAGAGGATTCTGCCTGCTGCTACTGATTGAATGAAGGCGCAGTGTGAATACTGTAACAGGATGCGCTGAGATACCAAAACAGCAGTCAGCAGGATCAGTGTGGTAGGGTACATCAAACTCTCAACCAGAACAAGCTGCGATGGCAAGCTACCTATCAATTAAACAGCCTCGTTTTTCCCCAGCAGAGGAGGTACTACAGTACGAGGGTCTGGTGCAAGCAGCAGCGCAGCTCCCCCTCCTGTAGTGTACAGGAATGTAAATCAATAGCTGGACAGCATCAGAGAGTCAATGCTACTTATCCTTACATGTACACGCATCCCCTCTCAGGTTGTCAGCAACTACTGAAGCAGCAGTGGCAGATTAAGGGACAAAGGAGGAAGGTGGGGAGATGGCCAGGTCCCCAGATTGATGTGGGTATGTCACCCCACCAGAGTGACTAGGCTTTGATGCAATTTCGTGGATCTTTTGGATCCACCTGGTAACCAGGATTACACGAACACGTGATCACTGCATGCGGTCCCACGGTGGCTGGGTCGTAGATGCAAACACCTGCGCCTCCGCACTGCCCCTCTTTGCTGCCTGTCCCGCAGAAGTTCGCACACGTTTCCTCCTTCCGCTGGTCCACCGCTTTGCACCCCGGCGAAGAAACCAAGCAGTTACCAGAAACTGAAATCTGTTCCGAATAGTCCTTGGACGGGCAGACCCAAGTGGGTTTCGGAAACCTTTCCGAACCTGGCATCTGCATGACCATATCCGCTCGCCCTTCGAAGTAGTTCGCGCTCAAATCGATAAAAACCTCGAAGCGGTAACACGAAACGCTGTCCACCTCGGGGTTTTCGCACTCCTTGCCGAGCCCAGTGAACCGCGGCAAAGGCCCTGTCAACGCGTTATACGACAGCTGCAAACCCCTCAGCGACTGCCCGAACGAAGAGAACGACGCTGGTACGTGACCGATGAACCAGTTGTGGCTCAAGTCGAGGTTTACAATAGCGGGCAACTTGCCAATAAATTCCGGAATCTCCCCCGAAAGCCGGTTGTGGCTAAGCGCGAGCACCTCGAGCGCGAGTTTATCTGCCAGGCTCGGAGGAACGGATCCCGTGAACCAATTCTTGGAGAGATCGATGACCGAAATTTCCGAAGCGCTGCCCAGACTTGACGGGATCGGGCCGGTGAACTTGTTATCAGAAAGCGTAAGAGAGTGTAATTGCGTGGCGTTTTCGAAAGCGTTGTCGGGAATATCCCCCACAAAGCTGTTTCCGTCCAGCCGCAAAAGCATCAACGGGGAATTGGCCTGAGTTAAAATATCGTTCCAGGGAAAGTTCCCCTCCAAGCTGTTTCCGTTAAGAAGAATCTCGGTAAGCAGTGGGAGGCTAGCGAACACTCCAGCTGGCACCGACCCGTTTAAATTATTCCCTCCGAGATCAAGAGTGGTGAGCGACGTCAGCTGCGACAGCTCCAACGGAAGCGGGCCGCTCACACCGCTTTCTGGCAGCTCCAGCGACACCACATCCCCGTTAAAGTCTACTCCAACACCCCGCCATAAGTCGGCAGGTCCCAGCCCTCCGCTTCCCATGCCCATATTGCCGAATCCCATACTGAGCTCGCCTACACCCATGCTTTTTTCTTTCTTAGCTGCTGTCTGCGATGAACCAGGCGCGGATGGACTAGCCGTGGATGGACTAGCTTCGGATGGACTAGCCAAGGATGGACTCGCCTCCGAAGGACTAGCCTCGGATGGACTCGCCTCCGAAGGACTAGCCTCGGATGGACTCGCCTCCGATGGACTAGCCTCAGGCGATGGAGCAGGGGCGTCGCTGCTGCAGACCCATGTATCCGCGCCGAAAAAGTCGCCTCGCCAAGCCGCCTTTATCGCGAGCAACGCCTGCTGCGCCGCGGCATTCGGAAGGTCTGCTGGCTCGCCGGCATTTGTCGTGGCACCGTTCTGCCCTTTCTGCGAGTCAAGGTAGTCAAACATGTCTGTGTAGTCTGGGTTCTCGCTGGAAGCTAGGAGCTTGCGACTGTGAGAGGCTTCGACATTGTGTGGAGAGAGGAGAAGCGCGAGGAGAACGCACGAGAACACGGCACTGAGGGTTCTCATAGTGAATCTATTCATTCATGCAGGTGGTCCTATCTGGGATAATAATTGTGACAGAGCAAAAACATCTGCAATATACGAGACCCTGGGTCCAGTACGACTGCGACGAATACGATCGTAAGTCTATTGTGCCTGCCTTGAGGACAAGAGAAAATCTACTCCCTAGTACCTACGCCGCCATGGCTCATGAAAAGGGTTGTCCTAGCGGTTGTCAGGCTAGGCCTGCTCGATGGACACCTGCGGTTTTGTTGAAGGGGTTGGCGGGATGCTTTTCACCAAGCGGTTTTCCTTTCTGCAGTTGTGCGGCTGGCCGGATTGTGCACTGTGTACGAAGGAGGTTGGCGACAAAACTTCGGATGGTTTCACGCGACCTTCAGCGATGCTTGCATGAAGCCTCGTTGGGCAGTTGCTCGCCTCACAAGTCGCAGATGAGTGATGATAATGACGTGGCTGTCGCCAGCTGTGCGATGCGGTGGTGTGTGAAACTGAAGCACCTGCGCCCGGCTGATGCTGTACAGTACAGGTGGATTTTCAGAGCAGACAGCAAATTTTGTCGGCCTGCCCACCTATCCGTTAGTACACAGAGCGTTGTTACGGATGTAAGCTGCAACATGTGTTACAAGTTAGGACGTTATCTGGAAACATTCTCAGTTCAATGAGTTTATGATTACACAACATTCCCCTCCATGAAAAATCAGTCTTCATGACGTATTTTTATAATGTGTAACAAAACACGAAAATCGCCTAAAATCACAGCTCAAAACATGTTGACACGTGGGCCCGGGGGGGCTTTTTACTCAGAGATGAAATAGCATTGGGATGCCTTACTGCAAATGCAACTGATAATACCAAGGACTTCTGCAGTGGCGTACACTGCGTATGCAATGCTCCGTCAGCACCACGTCATGTGCTGGATCGGAGCGATGGGGGACAAAGCTGTAAATGTTGGGCGAATGGACGGTCAGATCTGTGTATCCAGCGCCACCCGCGTCGGTACGCCGCCCTTTTTGTGGTGCATATGGTTACAGCCCCTTTTTCGAATCGCACAGGTGCCGCCGCCCTCCATTAGTTCGAACCGCACAGGCGCCAGCTTCCACCAATCACCTTCACCGGAAACAACTGCCGAGGGGGCGAAAAAATGTGCGGTGCGGACATTCGCGGAGCACCAGTAAGGGCTGGACTTGAGAATGAGATGCGGAGAGAGATACGGAGGGTTGAAGAGAGATTGGTATTGGAAAGTGGAATTGGTTGAGAGCGGTTTATTGGGAGAAAAACCAGTCTAGAGTCTAGATTCGCGCCGTGACATTTGACAAGCGCCCCTCCCCCGCCCTGTCCAGTTCACCTGTCTTTGACTGACACCACCTCCTCCTGCTCGTCTTTTTCCGGGTGCCCCAAGACAGCCGCTAATCTCGAGATTTCCGCCTTCTCTGTCAGCTGCGGCGACTTGACTTTGGGCAATCACAATACTGTACTCCGCGCCAATTCTCAACGACACTCCCGTCCCGTCCCGTCCCGTCCGCTCATACATATGTGCTCGCCTCGCCTTCCGTCTATGCTACGAGTTTTAAAGACCGTAAACAGCATTCTCGTCCATTGTTAGGGAAATCGCTGACCAGTGCTACACGAACCATCCCATGTACGCGCGCTTAGATTTCCGCAACCATCGTCAAACCGCCTCGCATGAACCGCATCCTCTGGAATTCCTCCCGATAGTGGCAACTTCTCCTTGGAATGGCGGAAACACACGCGCTTCCTGATGTCTCTCCGCCCCTCGCGGAGCTCTGGGAGTACGATGACGTGGCAGTCGAGGTGCTTCGCTGCCTCCCGCCTCGCTGTCTTTGCCGAGCCGCGGCGGTATCGCGGCGGTGGCGCCGATTAGCAGGTATTCAACAACGATTCGCCTTACGCTTGATCAAATGCCTCTGCTTCATGTTTCGTATGTTTCTGTGAGTGGACTCGAAAGGCTTAATCGTCTTTCTTGTGCGCCTTCATCGCCGATCAAACTCCGCCTCGCGCTTCTCCGCGCGTGCATTTCCCGCGCATCTACCCTCCCCGCTTGCTTCCTCCTATCCCTCCAACCTACGCAATTTTCCCCAATACCTCCCTGAACCGCCTCGTTGTTCTCCGCGCGCCTGCAATTTTTCTCCGCGCACGCATTTTCCGCACATGCTTTCTCCCCACATCTCTCCGCTCACGCCTTTCTGCATCAGCTTCCGACACGCTCTGGTACGAAAAGGTGGCGCAGGTGTTATCGCTCCCCGCAACCGCCGCGAAGTCCGCACTCCCGCTTTATTCACATTCCGCAAAGGCGAGATCAGCGGCGCAATGGGCCTCCCCCGGTACACCGCAACCGCCGCCGCACGCTGCGGAAGAGCGCGGGGCGAGCGAGAGTGAAGCGCAGCGGGCTTACGCAGATGCCGGTGTTTGCTTTGCTAGCAGCGCTGTGCCGCTGCTGCCGTTCTCCCCGGTGTTATTGGCTCCGACAGTTGCACCCTCGCCCGGATCTGCCTCCCCCGGTCGGCCCTCCCCCGCGCTGCACCATCTGGTTTCTGGCTCTCCGCAGATCAGCTGCAATCGCGTACGGCGCCACTGCAGTCACCACAGGAGCACGGATACTAGGAGTAAAAGATGTTCTTGTGCCGGTAATACTAATACGAGTACGACAAGCAGTACTAGTGGTTGTCGTGGAAAGGATTTGGTCTTGCCACGACTCGGCATGATAAACGGGGAGGGGCAAGAGCAGCACCAGCACAGCTGCCTTCCGCTGATTGTCCCCGAAGGTTCCTGGAAGGAGGTCTACCGCGGGCTGGTGGAGCTGGACCGCGAGTGGAAGGTTCCTCCGCAGCTTCCTCTGCAGGCGGTGGGGAGCTCGAGCGAGGAGGAGGGGTGGGGCGCGGAATGGACTCTCCGAGACGACTTCTTCTGGTTCAGCCAGGTGCAGTGTGGTGCGGTTTTGCCAGGTGTGGTGGGGTGCGGTTCTCCCAGGTGCTGTGGGGTGCGTGTTCTGCCAGGTGCTGTGGGGTGCGTGTTCTGCCAGGTGCTGTGGGGTGCGGTTTAGCTAAGTGGTGCAGTACATGCCTTCACCGAGGTGGTGAAGAAAGATTTCACTGTTTTTCTTCAACTCCCTTACTGCTCTTTCTTCTCCATCATCCCTTACTCTTCCTTCTCTCCTTTGTACTCCGACTCCCATTCTCTCCCCCTTCCCCGCCTTCGCCATGTCCTCCTCCCCTTCTCCCCCGCTTCCCCAATCCCCATTCCTCCCTTCCCTTCCTCCCCTCTCCTTTCCCCCATGCACAGCCCTTCCTCCGGCTGCGGGAGGCGCGAGAGTCGCTCACGTTCCGCCTGGACCTGCCCCTCTGCCTCATCACGATTTTCGGGACCTCCCAAACTCCTTCCCCCTTCCCCCTCACCTCTCTCTCCGCCTCCCCCCTATGCGCAGCCCTTCCCCCAGCTACAGGATGCGCGGGAGTCGCTCACGTTCCGCCTGGACCTGCCCCTGTGCCTCATCACGGGGGTGGAGATCGTTTCCGGGCAGGATATCTGGAACGCCGTCTGCCCGAACTTTCTCAAGGTGACCGTTGCTCGTACAACCCACACCCCCACTCACTGCTGCTCGCACATTCCCCTTTGCCCGCGTTCGTTTCTCCTCCTCTATTCTCCTCCCACCATCTTCCCCCCTCCCGCTTCTCCGCCCCTTCGTTTCTCCTCCTCTATGCTCCTCCCACCATCTTCCCCCCTCCCGCTTCTCCGCCCCTTTCTCTCCCCCCCTTTTTTCCCCCTGATTCCCCCCCTGCCCCCCTTTCCTCAGATCCAAGTGGGGTTTTCCCCCTCCGCCTTCCCCTTCTCCTCCGCCTCCTTCCCTCTCCCCCCCGCCCCCATCTCCCACCTGCTCCGCCTCCCCCCTTCCGCGCTCGCTCTGGGGAACCACGTGCGTTTGCTGCTCTCTGGATCCCCTTGGGGGGAAGGCTGGGCGGAAGGCGGAGGGGAAGGCTGTGAAGGGGATTGGGGGGAAGGCAATGCAGGAAAGGGGGGTCAGGGGAAGGGGAAGGGGGGGGAGGGGGGAGGTACAAATGAAGGAACCTGCGACGATGGCTGCTTCAGTGGGGCTTGTGAGGGGAGAGGGAGAAGGGAGAGAGAGAAGAGAAAGGGGAAGGAAGAGGAGGAGGGAGGGAGTAAGGGTGGTTGGAGGTTGGACAGTGGTGGGAGTGACAGTGGTGGGAGTGACAGTGGTGGGAGTGACAGTGATAGCAGTGGTGATGACGGTGATGGTGGGGGTGGTGGGGAGGGGTGCATGTGGGGAGGGGTGGAGGGCGAGTGGAGGGCGCTCATGAGACAGGCGCGAGGGCGACTGGCAAGGCGCATTCACAGAACCCTCTCCTGCAGTAGCAGCAGTAGCAGTAGCAGCAGTAGCGGCAACATAAGCAGCAGTGGCAACATAAGCAGCAGTGGCAACAGGAGTGCGGAGCTTATAACTAGACAACCCTGTAGGGCTTGCAATGGAAGCAGCAGCAGCAGTGGCAGCAGCAGCAGTGGCAAACACCAACTGCTGCTGCTGCAACCCCCGTCGCACCAGCCCAGTGCTTGGTCCCATGCATAATAGCAGCAGCACTGACAGCATCAGCAGCTTAGATTCTACCTCCTCCCTCTCCCTCCTCTCCCAATCCCCCATCCCCTCCCGTTCAACCTCCCCTCTCCGTTCCCCTTCCTCTTCCTTCCCCTCTCGCCCCTCTTCCCCCTCGCTCTCTTCCCCCTCGCTCTCTTCCCCCTCTCTCCCTGCCTACCTTCTCGCCGAAGCCGCCCCTGCCATCCCCCACCGCCCCGCATACATCCTCCCCCAGAACGCACCTCCCCCTCCCCCCCGCTTCTGCATAGAGAGAGTGCGCGTCTTTGGAATCCCCCTGGGGGCCCTTCCCCCCCAGAATACCCTCCAGGCTGCTCTGGTGCGGTATGCGGCTGGGAGGGATGGAGGGGAGTTGGATACGGTGATGAGAAGTGTGGTGGGGAGGGGTGTGCGGGAGTTGGGGAGTGTGGAGGGGGTGGTGATGGCACTGGGGGAGAACCTGGTGGATGCTTTTGCCTCCCATGAGTAAGTTCGGTTCAATTAGGTTCACTCAGCTGGTTTGGTTGACTTGGTTGGCTTGGTTGACTTGGTTGGCTTGGTTGACTTGGTTTGACCGACTGTGCCTTGAATCAACTCCTCGGAAGAATCCGGCTGGGTGCTTTTCCTCCCACGGATAACACAGTTGAATCGGTTGACTCAGTTGACCTGGTTTGACTGACAATGGGTTGCAACAGCATGCCTTGAGAAGACCTCGGTTGGAGGCTCTTCTTCTCCTGCGTTGTGAGGACCTCTGTGTGGGGACCTCTATCAGAGACCCTTTTTCTCCTGATTACGCGGTTGCAGTTTGCTTGCCGTTTCGTGCCAGGCCTCTCAGGCCTGGCAGCCCCTCACCTCAGATGCGCCTACTTCTCTAGGCCGAGCTTTCTGGAGAAAACCAGCCTGCTTTTGCCCTTTTTGTTTTGAGGCGCCTCAACCAACACATGCGCCATGTTAAAGCAGCGGTATACATTTGGCGCTACTGTTCAGTTTGTACAGTGATGGAACACCATTTCGCCCAGACGAAAAAAACCGGGGGGAGCGAGAGTGTTGGCGAAAACCAGATGCACTTGTGTTGTGAGGGAACCAGATTGGGGTTGGTTGTGAGTCACAGAATGGATAAAACGCCCTCGCCACCGAGCTCACCACTAACTCTCACACACCAAGTAAAATAAGCGCCAAATACCTACTCCAGAAAGAAACAACCACGGCGCGCGCTAGAAGGTGCTACGCCAGCAGCGCGACCAGACCACACACAAAGTGGCGCGTGAGTTCGGGACGAATTCAAATAGCCAAAAGGGCGAAACGTGTAGAAAAATCGCGCGCAAGCAGCAGCCTTTCTAGTAACCGTGACGCACTCACCTCTAGCCTCGCACGCGCCCTAACATTCCGCCCGATCCAGCATAGCACGCTCCAGCATTTCGCGCTCAGGATAGCAGCGCACGCAAGCAAAACGCGCGCCGCAAGGGCGCTCGTAATATTCATAGCGCGCGTGGGTACCAGTGACGAATCGTGTTCTCCGAGGGGACACACCGTCTTTGCGCATATAAGAAGAGGTGGGAGCTGCGTCACGTGCCCCCAAACGCATTCGTGCCGTCTCATACGCATTCCCCATTCCGCGTTCCCCATTCCGCATTCCCCATTCCGCATTCCCCATTCCGCATTCCCCATTCCGCATTCCCCATTCCGCATTCCCCATTCCGCATTCCCCATTCCGCATTCCCCATTCCGCATTCCCCATTCCGCATTCCCCATTCCGCATTCCCCATTCCGCATTCCCCATTCCGCATTCCCCGTTCCGCTCTCCCCCTTCCGTAGGCCCCCTTTCGCGCCGCCCCTTCCGCGTTCCCCCTTCCGCGTTCCCATTTCCACATTCCCCCTTCCGCAACCCCCCTTTAGCGTTCCCCCTTCCGCCAACCCCCTTCCGCATTCCGCCGTCCGCCTTCCCCCTTCCGCGTTCCCCCTCTCGCGGTAACCCTTTCGCGTTCACCCTTCCGCATCCCCCCTTCCCCATCCCCCTTGCGCATCCCCCCTTCCGCATTCCCCCATCAGGCCCCATGTTTCCCCCCATCAGGCCCCATGCATCCCCCCATCAGGCCCCATGCTTCCCCCCATCAGGCCCCATGCTTCCCCCCATCAGGCCCCATGCTTCCAGACACGAGGCCCCATGTTTCCCCCCATCAGGCCCCATGCATCCCCCCATCAGGCCCCATGCTTCCCCCCATCAGGCCCCATGCATCCCCCCATCAGGCCCCATGCTTCCAGACACGAGGCCCCATGCTTCCCCCCATCAGGCCCCATGCTTCCAGACACGAGGCCCCATGTTTCCCCCCATCAGGCCCCATGCATCCCCCCATCAGGCCCCATGCTTCCCCCCATCAGGCCCCATGCATCCCCCCATCAGGCCCCATGCTTCCAGACACGAGGCCCCATGCTTCCCCCCATCAGGCCCCATGTTTCCCCCCCATCAGGCCCCATGCTTCCCCCCATCAGGCCCCATGTTTCCCTCCCATCAGGCCCCATGCTTCCCCCCATCAGGCCCCATGCTTCCAGACACGAGGCCCCATGCTTCCAGACACGAGGCCCCATGCTTCCCCCCATCAGGCCCCATGTTTCCCCCCCATCAGGCCCCATGCTTCCCCCCATCAGGCCCCATGTTTCCCCCCCATCAGGCCCCATGCTCCCCCCCATCAGGCCCCATGCATCCCCCCATCAGGCCCCATGCTTCCCCCCATCAGGCCCCATGCTTCCCCCCATCAGGCCCCATGCTTCCAGACACGAGGCCCCATGTTTCCCCCCATCAGGCCCCATGCATCCCCCCATCAGGCCCCATGCTTCCCCCCATCAGGCCCCATGCTCCCCCCCATCAGGCCCCATGCATCCCCCCATCAGGCCCCATGCTTCCAGACACGAGGCCCCATGCTTCCCCCCATCAGGCCCCATGTTTCCCCCCCATCAGGCCCCATGCTTCCCCCCATCAGGCCCCATGTTTCCCCCCCATCAGGCCCCATGCTCCCCCCCATCAGGCCCCATGCTTCCCCCCATCAGGCCCCATGCTTCCCCCCATCAGGCCCCATGCTTCCCCCATCAGGCCCCATGCTTCCAGACACGAGGCCCCATGCTTCCCCCCATCAGGCCCCATGTTTCCCCCCCATCAGGCCCCATGCTCCCCCCCATCAGGCCCCATGTTTCCCCCCATCAGGCCCCATGCATCCCCCCATCAGGCCCCATGCTTCCAGACACGAGGCCCCATGCTTCCCCCCATCAGGCCCCATGTTTCCCCCCATCAGGCCCCATGCTTCCCCCCATCAGGCCCCATGTTTCCCCCCCATCAGGCCCCATGCTCCCCCCCATCAGGCCCCATGCTTCCCCCCATCAGGCCCCATGCTTCCCCCCATCAGGCCCCATGCTTCCCCCCATCAGGCCCCATGCTTCCAGACACGAGGCCCCATGTTTCCCCCCATCAGGCCCCATGCATCCCCCCATCAGGCCCCATGCTTCCCCCCATCAGGCCCCATGCTCCCCCCCATCAGGCCCCATGCATCCCCCCATCAGGCCCCATGCTTCCAGACACGAGGCCCCATGCTTCCCCCCATCAGGCCCCATGTTTCCCCCCCATCAGGCCCCATGCTCCCCCCCATCAGGCCCCATGCTTCCCCCCATCAGGCCCCATGCTTCCCCCCATCAGGCCCCATGCTTTCCCCCATCAGGCCCCATGCTTCCAGACACGAGGCCCCATGCTTCCCCCCATCAGGCCCCATGCTTCCCCCCATCAGGCCCCATGCATCCCCCCATCAGGCCCCATGCTTCCAGACACGAGGCCCCATGCTTCCCCCCATCAGGCCCCATGTTTCCCCCCCATCAGGCCCCATGCTTCCCCCCATCAGGCCCCATGTTTCCCCCCCATCAGGCCCCATGCTCCCCCCCATCAGGCCCCATGCTTCCCCCCATCAGGCCCCATGCTTCCCCCCATCAGGCCCCATGCTTCCCCCCATCAGGCCCCATGCTTCCAGACACGAGGCCCCATGCTTCCCCCCATCAGGCCCCATGTTTCCCCCCCATCAGGCCCCATGCTCCCCCCCATCAGGCCCCATGTTTCCCCCCATCAGGCCCCATGCATCCCCCCATCAGGCCCCATGCTCCCCCCCATCAGGCCCCATGTTTCCCCCCATCAGGCCCCAAGTTTCCCCCCATCAGGCCCCATGCTTCCCCCCATCAGGCCCCATGTTTCCCCCCCATCAGGCCCCATGCTTCCCCCCATCAGGCCCCATGTTTCCCCCCCATCAGGCCCCATGCTCCCCCCCATCAGGCCCCATGCATCCCCCCATCAGGCCCCATGCTTCCCCCCATCAGGCCCCATGCTTCCCCCCATCAGGCCCCATGCTTCCAGACACGAGGCCCCATGTTTCCCCCCATCAGGCCCCATGCATCCCCCCATCAGGCCCCATGCTTCCCCCCATCAGGCCCCATGCTCCCCCCCATCAGGCCCCATGCATCCCCCCATCAGGCCCCATGCTTCCAGACACGAGGCCCCATGCTTCCCCCCATCAGGCCCCATGTTTCCCCCCCATCAGGCCCCATGCTTCCCCCCATCAGGCCCCATGTTTCCCCCCCATCAGGCCCCATGCTCCCCCCCATCAGGCCCCATGCTTCCCCCCATCAGGCCCCATGCTTCCCCCCATCAGGCCCCATGCTTCCCCCCATCAGGCCCCATGCTTCCCCCCATCAGGCCCCATGCTTCCAGACACGAGGCCCCATGTTTCCCCCCATCAGGCCCCATGCATCCCCCCATCAGGCCCCATGCTTCCCCCCATCAGGCCCCATGCTTCCCCCCATCAGGCCCCATGCTTCCAGACACGAGGCCCCATGCTTCCCCCCATCAGGCCCCATGTTTCCCCCCCATCAGGCCCCATGCTCCCCCCCATCAGGCCTCATGTTTCCCCCCATCAGGCCCCATGCATCCCCCCATCAGGCCCCATGCTTCCCCCCATCAGGCCCCATGCTTCCCCCCATCAGGCCCCATGCTTCCAGACACGAGGCCCCATGCTTCCCCCCATCAGGCCCCATGTTTCCCCCCCATCAGGCCCCATGCTTCCCCCCATCAGGCCCCATGTTTCCCCCCCATCAGGCCCCATGCTCCCCCCCATCAGGCCCCATGCTTCCCCCCATCAGGCCCCATGCTTCCCCCCATCAGGCCCCATGCTTCCCCCCATCAGGCCCCATGTTTCCCCCCCATCAGGCCCCATGCTTCCCCCCATCAGGCCCCATGTTTCCCCCCCATCAGGCCCCATGCTCCCCCCCATCAGGCCCCATGTTTCCCCCCATCAGGCCCCATGCATCCCCCCATCAGGCCCCATGCTCCCCCCCATCAGGCCCCATGTTTCCCCCCATCAGGCCCCAAGTTTCCCCCCATCAGGCCCCATGCTTCCCCCCATCAGGCCCCATGTTTCCCCCCATCAGGCCCCATTCATCCCCCCATCAGGCCCCATGCTTCCAGACACGAGGCCCCATGCTTCCCCCCATCAGGCCCTATGCTCCCCCCCATCAGGCCCCATGTTTCCCCCCATCAGGCCCCATGCTTCCCCCCATCAGGCCCCATGCTTCCCCCCATCAGGCCCCATGCTTCCCCCCATCAGGCCCCATGCTTCCCCCCATCAGGCCCCATGTTTCCCGCCATCAGGCCCCATGTTTCCCCCTGCAGGCCCCATGTGTCCCCCTGCAGGCCCCATGTTTCCCCCTGCAGGCCCGTGCTTCCCCCTGTAGGCCCCATGTTTCCCCATGCAGGCTGATGCTTCCTCCCCCTGCAGGCCCCCTGTTTCCCCTGAGCGCACACGTCCATAATCCCCCCATGATAGCCCAGTCATTTCCCAATGTTAGCCCCATGTTTCCCACGGCAGGCCCCACGTTGTACCCTTGTAGGCCCAATGTTTCCCCATGCCGGCCCCATGTTTCCCTCTGCAGGCCCCATGTTTCCCCCTGCAGGTCCCCTGTTTCCCCCAGCGTGCCCCCTGTTTCCTCCTGCAGGCCCCCTGTTCCCCCCATGTCAGACCCATTTCTCCCGCCTGATAGCCCCATATCCCCCCCGTGATAGCCCCATGTTTCCCCCATGCTAGCCTCATGTTTCCAAGGCTGGGTTATGAGTGCATCGCTGCTCACAGCAGCATGGAAAGTGCTCACCAGCAAAGGAACCACTCAGCCCGCATACTCTTACTCACCTTCGCTTGTCACATCCTCTTTTCCCACCCTACCCTTCCCTTCCAAGGTGTCAAGGTGAATGCATCGCTGCGAACAAAACGTATGGAGTGCTCACCAGCAAGGGAACCACGTGCCTGACCACACTCTCCCCTGCCCTTCCAATGTTGGGTGGTGAGTGCATCGCTGCTCACAGCAACGTGAGGAGTGCTCACCAGCAAAGGGACCTCCCTTCTAGAACACCCTTACTCGCCTTCGCCACTCACATCCTCTTTTCTCTCCCTCCCCTTCCCTTCCAAGGCGCCGTGGTGATGGCATCGGGCGAACAGCAGTGTGTGGAGTGCACGCCAGCAAAGGAACCACCCTGTCACCACACTCTTACGCACATTCGCAGGTCACATCCTCGCGGGCCTCCCTCTCCTTCCCTCCCATGGCTTTTCTCACTGTTTCTGCCTACTTACCCCCTTTCCATTCTCCCAACCCAACCACCCCCGTGTCTTCCTCCCAGCTGCTAGCGGCTAAGCTTGCGTGCACGACCCGTCACAGGGCAGGCATGATTGGCTCGGTTTCGCCTGCCGACTTTTGTGCGGCACACTCCCAAATGCGTGGCAGCCCTACTGTGTATGACTTTTGAACATTGAAGGCCTTCAAGCCATAAACACTTTGCAACGTTGTACAAATGGAGTACTTACAACAGTATTGACTAAATACATAGCCCTAATCACACAACCCTGGGTTCCACCATACCGACCACGTTGCTAGTCATATGCCCGTGCTCGATTTTTATCCCCCTTCACCCTGTCGCTGCTCTTTTTGCTCATCTTCAAAACCAAATCCTGAAACCTAGCGTCAATCGTTGTCGACACCCACGTCATTGCGAGAACATCATTGATTTCTGGCGGGGAACATAAGAAAGGAGTGGGGAACTTAGTGTAGGGAGTAGGCAAAACAAAGCAGCGGTGTGTGCAGTGATTGGAAGTCATCCCTGCAGGGGTGGATGAGAGGACAGGTAGGGAAGTGGGGGGGACCTAATGTGTTGATCCATCGATGGATTGCGAGCGCGAGGGAGAGAAGGGAGAGAAGGGAGGGCCGGGAGGGAAGGGAGGGAAGGGAGGGCGGGAGGGAAGGGAGAGAAGGGAGGGAAGGGAGGGAAGGGAGAGAAGGAAGGGACGGGAGGGAAGGGAGAGAAGGGAGAGAAGGGAGGGAAGGGAGGGACGGGAGGGAAGGGAGAGAAGGGAGGGAAGGGAGGGAAGGGAGAGAAGGGAGGGAAGGGAGAGAAGGGAGGGAAGGGAGAGAAGGGAGGGAAGGGAGAGAAGGGAGGGAAGGGAGAGAAGGGAGGGAAGGGAGAGAAGGGAGGGAAGGGAGGGACGGGAGGGAAGGGAGAGAAGGGAGGGAAGGGAGGGAAGGAGAGAGAAGGGAGGGAAGGGAGGGACGGGAGGGAATGGAAGAAGGGAGGGAAGGGAGGGAAGGGAAGGGAAGGGAGAGAAGGGAGGGACGGGAGGGAAGGGAGAGAAGGGAGGGAAGGGAGAGAAGGGAGGGAAGGGAGAGAAGGGAGGGAAGGGAGGGAGAAGGGAGGGACGGGAGGGACGGGAGGGAAGGGAGGGAGGGAGGGAGGGAGGGAAGGGAGGGAAGGGAGGGAGGGAGGGAAGGGAGGGAGGGAGGGACGGGAGGGAAGGGAGAGAAGGGAGGGAAGGGAGGGAAGGGAGAGAAGGAGGGACGGGAGGGAAGGGAGAGAAGGGAGAGAAGAGGGACGGGAGGGACGGGAGGGAAGGGAGGTACGGGAGGGACGGGAGGGACGAATAGTCGGCCGCCCGGAAAAGGGATCAGGGAGGCGGGACGGCATGTCTGGCGGCGGAAAATGGGAATCGGGCGGCGGGAAGCGCAGCGGGCGGCGGGAAAGGGGAAGCGGGCCGCGGGATTCCGAATCGGACGGCGGGAACTGGAATTTGGCGGCGCGAAAGGAGAAGCGGGCGGCGCGAAAGGGGAATCGGGCGGCGGGAGCGGGATTAAGGCGGCGGGGAATTGGAATTTGGCGGAGCGCAAGGGGAATCGAGCGGCGGGAAGGGGCGGTCGGGCGGCCCGCCCGGAATCCATGGGCGGGAAGGGAAAGGGGATTCAGGTGGCGTGGAAGGGATTTCGGAGGCTGGATAGGGGAACCGGGCGGCGGGAATGTGGTTCGGGCGATGCGAAGGGGAGTAGGGCGACGGGAAAAGGAACCCGCCGGAAGGAAGAAGTGGTGGGAGCAGGGAGTCGAGCGGAGGGAAGGGGAATCGCCGGACAGCGTGACTGGGGTTTCGTGGCGGTGGAATGGGAAATGGGAAACCGGGCGGGAGGGAGTTGCATCAGGCGACGCGAATGGGGAATCGGGCGTCGCACAAGGGGAATCGCGCCGCAGATAAGGGCTATGGCGAACCCTAAGCTCCATGTATTTGGCGCCGGAAAAAAAATCAATGGCTCTGTAGGTGTTTGACCTACGCGTGAGGCGCGCTATAATGACATTGGATTGCAGTGTTTTTGGAATTTACCTATTTAGTGATGACTTAGAGCGCTCTGGGGGTGGGGTTAGTGGTGAGGAGGCATGTCCTTCAGTATACTTTTGGCTAGGTATAAACTTTTGACGAGTGAGTCAGGTGACTGGGAGGGGATGGTGTTGAACTTGTCGCTGTGTCCGAAGTCGAGAGACCCTGTAATTTGGTTACCACCTTGTACCTTTTATAAAGTTTTGGCCTTCCCACTGCCAAATGTATACCGCTGCTTTAATGTGTGTGCGTAGGATGGCGGTTTGGCAGGAAGTGTCTATGATGCATTGGATGGAGGAGCATAGTGAGCAAACTTGGGTAGAATTTTTGCGGTTTAAAAAAATATAGCACACTTCGTTAGTTGGCATTGTGTGAATTCGGCTTGTGCTAGAATTATCAAGAGCAAGATATTTTCCGGAGCTTGGCGATGCTAGTTCAAAGAAACAACTCTAGTTCAACAATTATCAACTTGCGTTAATTAATTGAGACGAAGCTAACAAGCATGATTTGGAGAGTCAGGATTTGTCGAACATGTTTGGCGCGAGCGGGAGAAAAAACAGGAAAACATGTTCGTTTCGGGTGGCGATTTCTTCTAGTTGCCATTCGCGCGAACATTTCCAGTCTTGGAGTTACCAAATGCGTGAAAGGAGTTACCAAATGCGCAAAGTGAGTTAACAAGCGCGCAAAAACTACTCTATAAATGACCTTACCCGTTATTGAGCCTCATGAGTGTTACAATTTGCATATTTTCCCTTCTTTGCTGCGTTGTTAGCAGTGACCTTTTGTAGATGGCTGCGAAGTCCTGACCACCGCACTGGAAACCTGCTATTATAATCTAAACCCTAATCCGTCAAAAAACGAGCCTGCACCGAAATCGATCGCTGAAATCCATGCGAGTGCCCCGTCCTCACTTCCTTGCTGGTTCTCGATTTTCGGCTGCAGCCCGAGGTCCATTTTGACCCAAGTCGAGCCAATGCCTGCCAATCAAACCAATGCACCCCAGTGCTTTTTGTCTTCCAAGCCACGTTGTGCACAAGCAGATTGCAGTTCACAAGTACTGTATCATTTGCCGCGTGGTCCAGATGACAAGCCAATGTGGGATGGGGAACCCAATGAGCAGCTTGCAGCAGTCTGTGGATTGTGGAATGCCCAGAGCAGTTATTTACACCCAATAACCAGTTCGAAGAGCACTTTTGATCAAGACTTGGTACACCCTAGCAAGACATTCTGGCTTGGTGCTTTATGCAATTATGGCCTCAAAATTCTGTATATATGTCTATGTTAAATGTCAGACATTTCAGTAAATTTGATATTTGAGAATAGCATAACTTTTATCGGGATATTTTCTATTTTTTTTTCACGCCTCCCCTGCAAAACAACGTCTCAACAAAGTCGACTTGTAAATTCAAGAAATGCCTTGTTAGGTTCGTATATCGAGTGAGTCTTGTCATGATTTACTACCAAGTACATGTTTGTTTTAAATTAATACTCTAACAAGATTGTTCCTAATATGTGAAAGAAGGGCATAAGAGGGAAGGGAGTATAAAGATATTGTGTAGGCCATAATCTGCAGGGATGGAACCAAAACGATTTACTCCTGAAACCAACCGCTCACTCTTGTAGTGGCATTTGATAAGTGAGATAAAACCGTATGCCTTAGTACCATCTGATAAGTGGCGGACAGTATCGATCAACAGGTGTCCGAGTCCTGTGCAACACGTTGCAAGAGGAACAACCCTTGGCGCCAGATGTTATTGACTGCCTTAGTTTCTACTGCCCAAGTTTCTTTTATCATGTGTCCATGGTCAACTGGGTGAATTGCATCCCCACCTCATTCTCACCTGGTGGGAACCCGGTTTCGCATTCTCCATATTCGCTCTGAAGTGCGTCGAGCCCTTTTTATTATTTTCCTTGGGACCCAAGCGTATCTGGCAGGCTGATATAGTATGGTAACCATATGTACAGTAACCATATAACTTGCACTGAGAAACCGAAACCACCCTACGTAAAGCGAGTATACTGGGAGGTGCGGATGAACGCGACAACTTTTAAAAGGGTCCTCCGCCTCACACTAGTCCTTCCGAGTCCGAGCCTTTGATCCCATCTGTCGTAGAGTATTGTACTTGCAATTTAGGATTAAGGTAAACAAGCTTGTGTCCCGCAAGCGAATTATTTGTGGGTTGAACGTAGTAGATGAACGCGAGCTTACGACTCCGAGCTCAAATCAGGAATCAGCATGAAAAAAAAACCTAGGGACCGTCGGTCGGAGGGAGCCTAGATCAGCTTCTGGTTGTTCTCGTTGGCAACAAACGATTTTGTTCTTCATTCTGATCTAGGTTCCAGATAATCTCCATCTCTGAAGATAGTGTCCTCACGTTTCGAGACCTTCGTGGAAACTTGTCAAGTGGCCTTCGTTCAACTTTCCTCCATTGGCTTCTTTTAGCCTCTTACTAGGAGGTAACCGCTAGACCTCCAGAAATTGGTTGGAACCGAGTGAGAAGTTAAAGTCTGTACAGTGCGAAGAACTGTGCACCGACGTTCTGTCAGAGGTCCACTGGTGATCCCCGATGATCCTAGGGAAGGGTTACAGGCACGTTGGCCTGGGGGGTTATGGGCGCACTCACCCGCTACACAAACAAGCCCTTTTATCCCAGTGGTTAATGGCTGGGATTCTGACATGGTATCAGAGCGAAGGTCTCGGGTTCGAATCCCGGTGTGTGCACCTCGGGCATCCCAGTGCGGGGGGGTGTCAGAGGTCCACTGGTGATCCCCAATGATCCTAGAGAAGGGTTACAGGCACGTTGGCCTGGGGGGTTATGGGCGCACTCACCCGCTACACAAACAAGCCCTTTTATCCCAGTGGTTAGTGGCTGGGATTCTGACACGTTCTGTACGATTTCGTTTTATCTTCCACGAATCGCATGCAATGTCAGCATTCTGACTAGCTTCCGCCCTCATCTATTTTATTTTCTTTCTGAAGTCAAGCCGCTAATTGCAGTACTCCTCTATATCATATCACTGTCACAGGGCAGCAAGAGGGAAAAAAACATGTCACCGCATTGAGTGGTGAATAACAGTTGCCTATCCCGGTAGTCCGGCAACTATAACCTCCTCCGAAATCTCCTCGTCGTTATCCCGAAGGCTATGTTAGTTGCTAGTACTGTACCACTGAACGAGCCGCAAAAAACGGCGGTGCTGTGCGTAACCTGGCACAACCACATTCCGCGCATTTTTCTGGGTTGTGCCGCTTCGCTGTGCGATGCTTGAGCCCTTTTCCTTCCCGAGAACTCCAAAGGATATTCTTCAGTGGTTTGAGTCCACTTCGAGTCCAACGGGAAGAGCGACAGGTATCATGGTCGCCATGGCGACCCCGAAGCGGCATGCGTGCCTCGTCGCAATGATGGTCGTTCTCGCCTTGCTGTCCTGCCACCTCTACAGAGTTGCGAGCGTTGTCATGCAGGCCGATCAAGGTGGAAACCCTAATTTTACTGTGACGCATCTGGTATCACTACTAGTTATAGTAGTAACATGGTTATGAGGGGTAACGTGTACAATTCACATGCTATCCGAAAATTTACCACCTTTGTTATCTATATTCGACCTGGTCCTTCCAACACCGCACCTTCTCCCACCGATCTTTGAAAGATAGGCTTGCAGAAGGAATGAGTGTTTCGACAAGGTCTCTCTCAGGTCCCTATAGATTTGCATGAGTGTGAAATATGCACTGCACCGCCGAGTGCTAAGAGGCGCAAAATGCTAGAGTTTCAATTCAAGTTTCCCTCCACCATGCACCTATTAGAATTACCATTCTCTGCCTCGTTTTGACCCAATGGGTAGCGATGCGTTGTACTGGAGTCAGAGACTAGGGTTCAAATTCTGGCTGGTCCACATTTTCGGCCTGTGGCGAGAACTCGAATGTGGTTACCTTGAATCCAGCAAACGATTTGCCGCTAGCTCGGGCCACCAGCGAAGTCGCTACTGCCTTTTCAGCGAAATCGAGGTCCCTGTCGGGGGCCGACTTTTTGAAGTTCAGAGCCAACGGGGACGTTGGCACCAACAAAGGACGAGTCTAGCGCCTGTGGGCTGTGTTAAGGGCATTCAACTGGCCCAAATAACACCTTCGTCATATTCTCCCTGTCTAAGCCGCTAAATCCCACGCCGCGCGAACTTGCCGTGATTGCAAGCAAGCATGGGAAGCTCATCCGTCCCTTATCTCCCCCTTCCCTCTCACCTTCCCGTTCCTTTCCTCACTCCTGCCTCCCATCATCCCCTCTGCGCTCTTCAGCGCCCTGCTGAGCATCAAGTCGACCATGTGGGCTCAACAACACCACATGGGCTCACCAACACCAGTGGGCCCAACAACACCACGTGGGCCACTACCAATCTTTGCCGTGTCGACGACGTTTTTTCAAAAGATGGCGTCGAGAGAAAACTCAATCTTCTCCCTCCTATTCTTTCTCCCCATTCCCCCCTCTCAGCAACCGCCCTGCTGAACATTAAGGCAGCCATGGGACTCACTTACACTACGTGGATCGCCATCAGATGTGTCCTTATCTCTTTGTTCCCCTGTCACGGCCTCCACTCCCCCTGCCTGCCTTCCTCCATCCGCCCTGCTGAACATCAAGGTGGCCATGGGGCTCACCTACACCACGTGGACCGCCACCAACTCGTGCCGTCTTGAGGGCGCCGCTGCAGACACAGACGAGTGGGAGCGCATGAGCTGCACACGGCCTCGCCTATATGATGTGAGTGCAGGCGGCACGACACGGCAGGTGCACCGTTTGCGGGCTTACTCACGTGAGTCAGGACAGCAAGACAATGTCGTGGCAGCCATCAAAGCTGCCTATCGTCTGCACTGCCTCACCATTCCTTAATCTCCCTCTCATACACTACCTCACCGTTCCTTCTACATGTGTGTGTGCATGCGCGCAGAAACTTTGAATCCGCATGGCTCGTGCACAAGAGCTTCCCATCAGACATCCCCAAGCTTACAGGGCTTGGCCTGGTGTAAGCGATCTCTGTTGTTGACCTGCCCCCTAACAACAACATATTGCTGCTTATTTTTGAGGCGCCTTAAAAGAGTTATCTCCAAGCTCACGGGTCTTGGCGTGGTGTAAGTGCTCTCTGCTGTTGAGCTGCCTTTAACAACATGCTGCTTTGTGCACAAGTGGATGCATGCACGTTCACGACAACGGTGTGGCATTACTACGTTGCTGCGTTGCTTCATGCGCGTAGGTGGATACCGTGGAACTCGCTGGATGGAAACCACACCAACTACCTCACATACTTCTCCACACTCACCAACCTGAACACTCTGTCAGTATCGCCTCGCAGGGTTCGTGTTGGTTTGGCTGTGGAGGTCCTATGAGCGAGCGCCAGCTTAAGGGCATGTTTGCTGCGGTGGGCACCTCAGAGCTTCTCTTTCTTGGGCTGCCTCAGCAGTCGTGAGTGATGCCATGATTCATATGGGTCTCCGCTTGGACGCGCAGGAGGGAGATTGCAAGGGCGACGTGATAAAGGGCGCGAAGGCGACGGGAAAAATGATGGGAGGGGAGGGAGGAAGGGCGCGAGGAGGGAGTTTTAGAGCAAGAGTGTAGGCAATGGGAAAGGCCATGGAGGGGGGCATTTTGGGGAGAGGGCTAAAGCCTACTAGGTGAGCTACGGGGGGACGATTGCATTGAGGGTGACGGGAGGGGAGGGGAGAAAAAGAGGTCGATAGGAAGGGAGGGGGGAGGAGAGCGAGGGTGACGGGGAGGGAGGGAAGAAAGAGAGGGCGACGGGGGGGAAGGAGAGAGACCCGCAAAGTTGATGGGAGGGGAGCGGACAACGGAGGAACGACTGGAGGGTAAGGGAGCTGGCGAAGGCGCCTTCGTTTGCTAGAGACAAGCACGATCTGAATATTACAATTGCTATTGTGCTGGCAGTCACTTTTAGCCGCGTCGCTCAAGGCAATGGCGGTTGTAACGGAAGATTCTAACGCAGGAGAGGCCAAAGACACCCTTCATGCATAGTTGTTGAAACAATAACAAATATTTGGTGTACACAATCCACTGACGCTGCAGTCCCTACAACATGAGTGTTCTAGAAACCGAAATAGCTCTGTGTGAAGCGGACGTATACAGTACTGGGAGCTGCGGAGTGGGGACCGCATCAACACCTGACTTAAATCCGGAAACAAGGTTGAACCGGCTTGTGTCCAGAAAAATATTTGCGTTGTTAGACGCGGTTGTAGTATGCGACCCTGCGACTCTGGGCTCAAATTAGGAACTAGTACACCCTATTTTCGATAATTGCACACCCCCTACCCTCTGTTTTACAGATACCCTAAACCAATTCTTGCTCGATACGACGAACACCCAGAAATTCGAGAACAGCCGGAAAGTGCAGTATCTGAAAACTTCTGCATTGTATTTCGAGCGAGGAGGGAGGGGGGGTAAGCTGTTGCTCTACGCAATTTGTGGGAGGGGTGCGGAAAATTACCCCATTAATTCAACACACGCCGTGAACTACCCTGTGAGAAAGTTGTACCCAGGGTATGTACCCCCAAGGTTTACGATTAAGGGGTGTGCAATTATCGAGAATATGGTGTATGAAAACCACCTGGTCGGGGGTGCGGGCTGTTGGAGCTTCTCGTTGGTGGCAACAGGTTCAACGGATGTACAGCTTCTCGTTTGTTCTATATTCGATCCAGATCCCAGATGATCACCTCCGACGATGTACAGCAGTGTCCCCGCGTTTTGATCAAGACCTTCGTGAAAGCCCGCCAAATGGTCCCAAGTTTATTTGGCCTCTTGCCAGGATATGAGGTAACCGCCAGAGCTAGAGTACAATAGGAAAATTGGTGGTTACCGCGTGAGAAGTTGTGGCTGTACAACAACACAGTACGAAGAATGTGTTCTTCACCGACGTTGTACAGTAAGAATCCTAAAAGTTTTTTTTTCTCACGTCACTTGCTATGTCAACATTCTGACTAGCTTCTCTTCTGACAATACTTGCCCCAGCGAAGTCAAGCCAAAAGTACTGTACTCCGCGAGGCCTAATAACGGTCACCGGGCAGCAAGAGGTAAACAACCTGTCACGGCACTGGACTGGGCGGTGAAGGCGGAATTGCCTGCCCGATGTGACATGGGGGAAATGCAGCACTTCGCACACGCCTTCAGCTAGCACGGCGTCGTCCGAAGGCTCTGTCAATTGCTGCGGCAGTACCACCGAACGAGCAGCAAAAACGGCAGTGCGGTACATAACCTGGTGGAACCAGATCTCGCACATTTTCCTGGGTTGTGCTTGCCGTGCACCTGCTCGAGCCCTTTTGCTACCCCAGAACCCCAAATCGAAGTCCTGGTTAATGCAGCGGGTCTAATGTTCACCAGTCAGCAGTACTAGTAGTAGTCAAACTCGCTTTCTAACGGGAAGGGCGGCGCGCATGATAGTCGCCATGGCGACCCCGAAGCGGCACGTGTGCCTCGTCGCAATGCTGGTCGTGCTCGCAGTGCTGTCCAGCCACCTCCACGGAGTCGTTAGCGTCGTCATGCAGGCAGATCAAGGTGGAAACCCTAATCCCAGTCGCGTTTCGTCCCATCTGTGTACTACACAGATCCATGAGGGCAAGTAGATGTGTTCACTTCCACCTCTATCCAGACTCAGTCGGACATTCACCGCCTGTAATGTCGTCCACACTCGACCTGGTCCTTCCAAGACCACACCTTCTCCCACCGATTCTCCCCTCTGTGCCCATCAGCTGCGGCCCTGCAGATCAAGTCGGTCTTGTGGGCCACTACCATCCGTGCCGTGTCGACGGCGTCTCTTCAAACAGTGGCGAGTTGTGAGCTCAATCATTCTCGTATCCCCCCCCCGTTCCTTCTCCTCACTCCTTCCTCTCAGCGGCGGCCCTGCTGAGCATCAAGTCAGCCATGGGCCTCACCTACACCACGTGGGCCGCCACCAATCCCTGCCGTCTTGAGGGCGCCGCTGGTGCCACTGGCGATTGGGAGCGCGTGAGCTGCACCGCCGGCGGCCTCGCCTATATGATGTGAGTGCAGGCGGCACGGCAGGTGCGGCGCCGGCGGACTCACACGAAGGGTTAAAAGACATCATCCGCGCCGCCGTCTCTGAATAAATCCCAGTTCTAGCCTGGCGGTCACCACCAGTTCTAGACGGTCTAGGGCACGGGGCGCTATAGCAGGTGTGAGTGTGAGTGCAGCGGCAGGGCAGTGCAGCGGCAGGGCAGTGCAGCAGCAGTACAACCAAGCTGCCTCTCGTGCGCTGCCTCACCGTTCCCCTTGCGTCGATGCTTCTGTGTGGTTGGCTGCGTGCAGAAACCTGGACGCGGCGAAACTCGTGCGCAAGAGCTTCCCTTCAGACATCTCCAAGCTCACGGGTCTTGGTGTCGTGTGAGTGCTCGCTGCTGTTAAGCTGGCTGTCTCAACAATCGCATGCTGCTCTGCGCATGAGTGGATGGGATGCATGCTGACGCCACTGGTGTGGCGCTGCTGCGTTGCTGCGTCGCTGCGTTCACCACCTGCCATGCTTCTCTTCATGCGCGCAGGTGGATGCCGTGGAACTTCCTGGACGGCAGCCTCGCCAACTACCTCACCTACTTCTCCACGCTCACCAACTTGAACACCTTGTGAGTACTATGGTGATTACCTCGCCGGGTTCGTGTGGGTTTGGCCGTGAAGGCCCTGTGATCGAGCGCCAGTTCAAGGGCGTGTCACAGTTCACCCAGAACTGCGATGGAGTACCTCAGAGCTTCTTCCTCTTGGACTGCCTCAGCGATCGTGAGTGATGCCATGATTCGTGGTGGTCTCCGCTTGGACATGCGGCGTCAGACTACCTGTCTGTCGTATCGGTGCTGCGGCTTGCAACTCAGGCGTTTGTACCTCTTTCCGTCATGCTTGCGCGCGCGTGTGTGTGTGCGTGTCTGTGTGTGCGTGCGTGCGTGCGTGCGTGTGTGTGTGTGTCCCTCATCCACCAGGGCCATGCAGTACATGTTCTTCTCGGGGTCATTCCCCAGCCTGCTCACCACCCTGCCCAGCCTCACCAGTGTGTAAGTATGGAGCAAACACGCCTCACCAGTGTGTAAGTATGGAGTAAACACTCCTCACCAGTGTGTAAGTATGGAGCAAACACGCCTCACCAGTGTGTAAGTATGGAGTAAACACGCCTCACCAGTGTGTAAGTATGGAGTAAACACGCCTCACCAGTGTGTAAGTATGGAGTAAACACGCCTCACCAGTGTGTAAGTATGGAGTAAACACGCCTCACCAGTGTGTAAGTATGGAGCAAACACGCCTCACCAGTGTGTAAGTATGGAGTAAACACGCCTCACCAGTGTGTAAGTATGGAGCAAACACGCCTCACCAGTGTGTAAGTATGGAGTAAACACGCCTCACCAGTGTGTAAGTATGGAGCAAACACGCCTCACCTGTGTGTAAGTATGGAGCAAACACGCCTCACCAGTGTGTAAGTATGGAGCAAACACGCCTCACCAGTGTGTAAGTATGGAGCAAACACGCCTGACCTATCTGCAGGAATTTGCGGGCACGAGCACAGTGCTGTGCAATCACGGACGGGACATGCGCTGGTAACATTTCATGTATTGTCGGCGGCATGCAACGAAGCCATCCATCCCCATCACCTAACCCGCTTCCGCCGGCGTTCTTTCCCTCCCACTCTCTCGCTTGCTCCCCCATTGTTCTTCCCTGCTCTCGGAACTCACCTCACCCCTGTTTTCTAGAAATCCCAAGTTACCTGCTGCGCTCTACCTTGGCTCCCGCCCTCCCATCAACTCTCCCTCACACGGCTCACCGCCCCACCCAACAGGTCACTCCGCTTCAACTACCTCACGGGCTCGATCCCAGCGACCATCACCAAGATCAAGTCCCTAGACCTCAACCGGAACTTCCTGGTGGGCTCGGTTCCCACCGGCACCTGGTCCTACTGCGATGTCACCAACAACTGCCTCACCAGCGTGGGCAACTGCAATAGCCAGGGCGTGTGGCAGAGAAGCTCGTGTGGAATCTGCGGCAGCACTGATGGCACTGGCACGCTGTGCGCAGCGGGGCAAGTGTGTGCGCCGAACGCGGATGCCAAGATTGCGGCAAGCCAGAACAACTACCCGGACGAGTTGCCGCCGGCGTGCCTTTCCCAGACTATGAACTTCGCAGACGGTCAGTGGCGCGGCGCGGCACCTCCCTGTTTACTACTCGTTCCCCAATCCGGAGTGCCTGTTCATTGAATATCCAGTATACGCAACAATCCCCGTGCTGCTTTCTGCCCCGCCACCCTCTCCCTCCACCCCTGTAGCTGCCGCCGTCCCTCTGTCCTCCTCTTATGAATAAGTTCCCTTTATGCCGCACCACACTCCTGTGCGCTTTTGAGGCGCCTCAAAAGTAGACTTCTCTCACGCATAAGTTCCACTGTATCGCACCGCACTCCTGTGCACCCACGCCTGCCACCCCTGCAGCCCTCGCCATGCTGAATGTCAAGACGTCGCTGGGTGTGACCTTCACCACGTGGACCACCAGCAGCCCGTGCCGCTATGATCAATCGTCTGTGGCCGTTGCAAACGAGTGGACTGGCGTCCTTTGCACAGCAACCGGCAAGGTGTCTTCCATGTGAGTGCCACCGTCACACAACCTGGGCCGGCGTGGTGCATTTGAAGTGTATGGGAACTTGCTTTCGTCTGCATGGGATGGGAATGTGCTGCACCAGTGAGTGAAGCCCAGCCAGTATGGCCCTGGAAGCCACTGACAGCACTTCTTTTGAGACGTCTCAAAAATGGCCCTTTTGAGACGTCTCAAAAATGGCCCTTTTGAGACGTCTCAAAAATGGCCCTGGAAGCCAGTAACAGCACTTCTCCTTTGCGAATGTGCTGGCCGCATGTGAGTGAGTGTGGGGCATCGACAACGCATGTGGGGCATGTGTAGAGCATGCCACTGTGTGCATATATGTGTATTATGTTTCAGTTGTTTTTTGCACTCGTTTCAGTGGTACTGCATACTACAGCATAGCAACACTTATTTGCACTTTGCCTTGCTGCATGCACACTACACTCATCTGCCAATCTGGTGACTTTTGAGTCGACTCAAAAGTCTGCATGCACACTACTCATCTGCCCATCTGCCATTGCGTTGCGTGTGTCCCCCCGATGCATTGCCACAAACTGTTGTGCCTCAGAGTTGTGAGTAACGCAAACCTCAAGGGCTCGCTTCCTTCCGATCTCGCCTCGCTCACAGACCTCACCCGCATGTGAGTCGCCACTGCCATGCTGCGCCAGTCTCTATCCGTTTTAGTATCACTGCTTCTGCTTCCATCTGCACGACTGGCTGCTCCTGCATCTTTCCTATTGCGGCTGCTGCTGATCCATCCATATATCATGCTGTAAATGGATGCGCATGATTCATAAAACATGGTGCCTAGTCGAACCATGATGCGTGCAGTTTGCCTTCTTACGATGATGGCCTTGTACCCTTCCCACCCTCTTCTCCCGCCTCACAGCTACCTCGTGCAAAACCTCCACTTCTACCGCCTCGACTCCTTCGCCACTCACCTTCGCAACTTGCCACTTATGGCTGACTTGTGAGTGGCTCAGTGTCGCCGGCCAGAGAGGGGTGGGATGAGAGCAGGGCACTGATCTTACTTTCTTGGCTTGCCTCACCCTTCTGCTCCCGATTGGGCAGAGATTGGGCTCCCAAAACTCCCAATCTTCCAACCCCTTCTGCTCTGATTCTGCTCATGCCTGCACGAGTTTTCCCTCTTTGAGGCGCCACAGTCGCCATGCATGCACGCGCCTCATGCTTTTCACGTGCCGCCACCACTTATCGTCTCGCATGTGCCGCCACCACTCATCTCGTCGTCTCTGCTTCTCTCGCAGCCGCGTGCATGCCAACTGCCTTTACGGCCAAGTCCCCACATTTCTTGTTGGCCGACCTTTGAGTCGACTCAAAAGTCAACTCGCCTTATGATTTCTCACACACCACCACACATTGTCTCTGCTTCTCTGCAGCCGCGTGCATGCCAACTATCTGTACGGTGAAATCCCCGCATATCTCGTGGGCCTCCCAAAACTCACAGAGTTGTAAGTCTGCTAGGAATGCATAAAAGTCAGCTGTAAGCATGTCGGCGAAAGCATGCAGGGCCAAATGGCAGTGTGCTGCTGGGATGGCAGTGTGCTGCTGGGATGGCAGTGTGCTGCTGGGATGGCAGTGTGCTGCTCTGCTGGGATGGCAGTGTGCTGCTCTGCTGGGATGGCAGTGTGCTGCTCTGCTGGGATGGCAGGTCACGTGTTGGTCTGTTGGGGAGGTCAGGATATCATGTGCATGCTGCTTCGTGTTGCGCCATGCTGCTTCGTGTTGCGCCATGCTGCTTCGTGTTGCGCCATGCTGCTTCGTGTTGCGCCATGCTGCTTCGTGTTGCGCCATGCTGCTTCGTGTTGCGCCATGCTGCTTCGTGTTGCGCCATGCTGCTTCGTGTTGCGCCATGCTGCTTCGTGTTGCGCCATGCTGCTTCGTGTTGCGCCATGCTGCTTCGTGTTGCGCCATGCTGCTTCGTGTTGCGCCATGCTGCTTCGTGTTGCGCCATGCTGCTTCGTGTTGCGCCATGCTGCTTCGTGTTGCGCCATGCTGCTTCGTGTTGCGCCATGCTGCTTCGTGTTGCATTGATCCGTTCCCTCTCCTGCCTTGCCCTATTGTCTGCCTGCTCACTCCTTATACCGGCCTTCGTTTCCCCCCTTCCCCCCCCCCCCTTGCTGTGCTACTCTCTCCCTTCACCAGCGGCGCTCCCGGAAACTACCTCATAGGAACCGTGCCGCCGCTCGGCCCTCTGCTTCTCAGAATAGATGTCAATTACAACTTCATCACGGACCTCCCATCGGCGGCCTACACGTGGTGTGGCGGCACCCTCAACTGCCTCGTCACGCCCTCCAAGTGCACCACCTCTGGCACGGTCCAGCGCTCTGCAGCGGATTGTGCCTTCTGCGGCACCACCAACGGCATAGCTCCGTTCTGCTGGGGGGCGGGAGGGGTGTGCACGCTTGACGCGGCTGCACTCGTGGCTGCCGGCACTACGAACTCGAATTCGCAGCCCGCGCTCCCCAGGACGTGCGTGGGCGGGCCGGTTGTGGCCTTGAAAGACACCACAGGTGTGCAAGGGGGAGGTGTCTGAGGGCAGGGGGCAGGGGGCAGGGGGCAGGGGGCAGGGGGCAGGGGGCAGGGGGCAGGGGGCAGGGGGCAGGGGGCAGGGGGCAGGGGGCAGGGGGCAGGGGGCAGGGGGCAGGGGGCAGGGGGCAGGGGGCAGGGGGCAGGGAACAGGGAGGAGGTGGCGTGGCAGGGGCTGTGCACTGTGCATGGCTGGCTGTTGAGCACATTGTATGCGTGTCAGTGAGTGGTAAAAGAGGGCAGGTCAGCACCAGATGTCTGCTAGCAAAACAGATGGGCATTGGGCGTCAGGGATATCACAGGTACGCAGGGGGCAGGGGGCAGCAGAGTAACGGGGCAGGGGGCAGCAGAGTAACGGGGCAGGGGGCAGCAGAGTAAGGGGGCAGGGGCAGTGTGTGCAAGGCGCGGCAGTGTTATCTGCAAGGCCTGCCTGCCTGCCTGCCTGCCTGCCTGCCTGCCTGCCTGCCTGCCTGCCTGCCTGCCTGCCTGCCTGCCTGCCTGCCTGTCTGTCTGTCTGTCTGTCTGTCTCGGTAAGGTGTGCCTTGCTGCTAGGAGGGCAGGTGAGCAATGGTCTAGGTGTGTGCGAGCATAGCACAGGTATGGCCCTGCTGACCATAGGGGGGGACGTGTGATGTGACGCCCGAGTGCTGTTGCCTTGCCTCATAAAAGCGTCGGGTCGTGTGAGACTGGGCTGCCCAGATTATCGCCCACACCTTTGGGCCCATGAAACCCCGTACACTTGCTCATGGTGCTCCTTGGGGCGTCTCCCAACCTCCTGCTTCCTGCCTTGCTGCCCCGTTCCCCGCATTGAGGTGATTTTGAGGCGCCTAAGAAATCACCTCACTGCTTCCCGCCTTGCTGCCCTGCCCCCCGCGTGCCCCTCACCAGCCATGCTCGCCCTCAAGTCTTCTCTCGGCGTCACTTTCACCACCTGGGCGGCCACTGTGCCATGCACGATCGCGGGGCAGACCACCTCAGTGACAGTGTGGAGTGGCGTGCTCTGCGACAGCACTGGGAGGGTCGTGAGCATGTGAGTCGGCATATTGGGTGGCATGTAAATTGCCATCGGCACTTCATTAATAGTCAACTTATCAAACGAATGGCAGTGGTTCATGCATGTCCGTGTGGCATGTGAAAGAGGAGAGAGAAGGTGCATGAACGATGCTGTGAGGGCATGTCACATGTGAGGCAGCGTGTCCGGTGAGTGGGTGCTTCCTTGACCGCTGTGATGCTGCTTCCAGGCGTTGCCTGCCATACCTGCATACCGTATTTATCTGCTCTGCTCACTCGCCCTTCCACGTATCCTCCAATGCCACGCTGCTGCCACGCTATGCCATGCCTCCTACTTGGGGATCCATTGGTTCATCTACTCACCCACCCTTGCACGTATTCTCCACCGCTCTGCCCTGCCACCAACCGTTGTGCACCTCAGGGCTGTGGCTAACTCAATGCTCAAGGGCTCACTTGCTTCGGACATCTCCACGCTCACAGCCCTCACCTACCTGTGAGTTGTGTCTGCTATGCCCTCTGGCTGTTTTGACCCTCTTCGTTGACTGTTGTCGTATCCGCTGCTTCATTTATCCTATCTCAGCCACGTTCCAAATTCTTTTGGGACGTCTCAAAAATGCTTCATCTATCCTTTCTCAGCCACGTTCCAAATTCTCTCATGACATTGCCTAGTGGAGCCAGGATGCATTCAGCCAGAATTCAAGTGCAGGAACCATTACCATGCCTCTTGCACCCTCTGCTGGCCCCACCCCTCTCCCTCGCAGCAACCTGCAGGGCAACCTCCTCAGCTACCGCATCGACTCCTTCACCACCAACCTCCGAGCCTTGCCAGTGCTGGCCGACATGTGAGTGCCAAGTCAGAGTGTGGCTGCCTGCAACCGAAGAGAGGTGAGAGGGGAGGCAAAGGGCGGTGTTGTCTGTGTTGTGTAGTAAGAGTATTTTACTCATGTAGTAAGGACGTCTCAAAAATACTCTTACTACACTACACGTGGGTTGAGAGGGCAGGCAAAGGGCGGTGTTGTCGGTCTTGCCTCATATATTCACGCACTCCCTTTTCTGGATCAATCATGGAACCTTTTTTCCTCGTGCTGCCATCCCGTTAGGCCCTCATCCGTTCCCTTCCGCCCCTATTGCAGCCGCCTGCACTACAACTACTTGTACGGAGAAATCCCCTCCTTCCTTGTGGGCCTCCCAAAACTCACTCAGTTGTAAGTTTGATAGGGAGTCACATACTGGAACATTTTCCAGGAGTTTATATAAATAATCTATGCTTTAATAGCTTCAAGCGTTTCAGAATCTTATTATTTGCAGCTGTTTCACTTCACTACGAGTGAAGGTGCAGTCCAGTCTGCCCATCCTTATAAATTCCCGTTATGCGTCTGCCCCTCCGCTGCCCTTCCCTCTCCCCAGCGGTGCGGTCTACAACTACTTCATCGGCACTGTGCCTGCACTCGCCTCTGGACTTGTCTCTCTGGACCTGCGCGGCAACTTCCTCACAGACGTGCCCACAGCAAGCTACACGTGGTGCGGGGGCGCCGGGAACTGCCTGCTCACGCCCTCCAAGTGTACCAGTGGAGGCTCCGCCCAGCGGCCTGCAGCGGATTGTGCCTTCTGCGGCACCACCAACGCCGTGGGGCCCTTCTGTGTGGCGGCGGGAGGGGTGTGTACAGTGGACTCGGGTTCAGCCGTCAATACCGGCGCTGTGAACTCACCGACACAGCCCGTGCTGCCCATGATGTGTGTGGGCGGCCCTCTCTACATGAATGCGGGAGATGGTGAGTACTGTTTGAGAGGTCCCTTTGGTGAGTGCTCGCACCTGGTTAAGTTCCCATTGGTGAGTGCTCACGACTACGTTCTTGTTGGTTCACGACATGGAGCTCCACTGCTGTTATCGATAGTTCTACTTCTCTCCTCCACTGTCATCCCCTTCTACTTCTCTCCCCCACTGCCATCCCCTTCTACTTCTCTCCCCCACTGCCATCCCCTTGCCCTTCCCCGTTCTCTTCCCTTTCCTCTCCTCCCCCCCCTCCAATTCCCTCTCCCATTCCCTCTCTCATCCCCTTCCTTTCCCGTTTCCTACCCCCCCCCCCCCTCTCAGCAGCGGCGCTTCTGAGCGTCAAGGCGGCCATGAGCCCTCACATACACCACGTGAGCCGCCACCAATGTGCCTTCCCCTCCCCTCTTATTCCCTGTCTCGTCCCCTCCGCTCCCCCTGGCCCTCCCCTCTGCGCCACCCATGATCAGCGGCGGCCCTGCTGAACATCAAGTCGGCCATGGGACTCACCTTCACCTCGTGGGCCGCCACCAATCCGTGCACTCTTGACGGCGCCACTGGCAAAGCGGGCGAGTGGGAGCGTGTAACCTGCACCCCTTTCGGCCGCGCTTATGTGATGTGAGTGCAGGTCTAACAAAGGAAGCGTGTGAGTGCAGGCGGTGAAGGGAGGGTGTGAGTGCAGGCGGTGAAGGGAGGGTGTGAGTGCAGGCGGTGAAGGGAGGGTGTGAGTGCAGGCGGTGAAGGGAGGGTGTGAGTGCAGGCGGTGAAGGGAGGGTGTGAGTGCAGGCGGTGAAGGGAGGGTGTGAGTGCAGGCGGTAAAGGAGGGTGTGAGTGCAGGCGGTAAAGGAGGGTGTGAGTGCAGGTGCAAGGCATTTGGTAATCACCCAGTGGGCTAGGGCACAAAGGGTATTGTTACTGGCAGCAATCTTGGCTGGCTGGCAAGAACGTTGTCCAGTTCAACTATTGAGCTTCCGCATATGGGCTGCCTCACCGTTCCTTTCTCTCCCTGCATGTCTGTGTGGCTGTGAGCAGCAACCTACACAGTGTTGCGGCTGTCCGTCTAAACTCTCACTCATGCACCCCCTCACCATATTTTGTGTATGTGTGTGTGTGTGTGTGTGTGTGTGTGTGTGTGTGTGTGTGTGTGTGAGAGAGTGCGCATGTGTGTGTGAGCATGCGTGCAGCAACCTGGACGCCACAGGGCTCGTGCGCAAGAGCTTCCCTTCAGACATCTCCAAGCTCACGGGGCTTGGCGTGGTGTAAGTGCTCTCTGCTCTCGCTCACTGGGCTTGGTGCAGTGTAAGTGCTCTCTCTGCGCATGCCTCTTCCGTGCCATGCCCTGCTGCTTGCAACGCTGCATGCCATGCATGCATGCTTACCCCATCCGCAATGGTGTGCCCTTGCTGCGTGCTCTTGGGACGTGTTTTGAGACGTCTCAAAACACCCTTGCTGCGTGCTCTTGGGACGCCTCAAATATGGCCGTGCTGCCATGTTGCACCTGTGCTGCCATGTTGCTGCGTGCAGGTGGATGCCGTGGAACTTCCTGGATGGCAGCCTCGCAGACTACCTCAAGTACTTCTCCACGCTCACCAACTTGAACACCTTGTGAGTGTCACCGGGTTTTTGTGGGTCTTCCCATGCATGTCTTCCCATGAATGACTTCCCATGGATGGCGTCCCATAGATGTCCCATCCCATCCCATGCATATTGCCAGCTCGAAAGCACATATTAGGTAACTGTTGCATTTGAGGGCGGCAGCTCAAGCCACCTGGTGGTGCCAACACCTCAACACCGAAGCCTTTACTCTTTCTATTGTCCGTGCGTGCGTGCGTTGTGTGCATTGCATGCGTGCGTGCGTTGCGTGCGTGCGTGCATGCGTTGCGTGCATGTGTGTGTGTGTCCCTCGTCCACCAGGGCCATGCAGTACATGTTCTTCTCGGGGTCATTCCCCAGCCTGCTCACCACTCTTCCCAGCCTCACCAGTCTGTAAGTATCGAAGGAAGGTGCATCTTCCACCTGTAAAAATTCTGGGCATGAGAGCAGCGCGGTGCTATCAAGTGGTAGGCAGAGCAGCTGTTTGCATTTATTACCGGCATACAGCAAGCAATCCATTCACACCGCACTCCAATCAACTTGCCCTAACAACGCATGCTCCCCCACCTCACAGGGCACTCCGCTTCAACTACCTTACGGGCTCGCTCCCAACGAGCATCACAAAGATCAAGGCGCTGGACATCAATCAGAACTACTTTGTCGGCTCCGTTCCCTCAGGCACCTGGTCCTACTGCGATGCCAACAATAACTGCCTCACCAGTGCTGGAAACTGCCAGAATTACTACCAGAGGTCCTCCTGTGCTATCTGCGGCAGCACTGCTGGGACCGGCACGTTGTGCGCAGCGGGGCAATCTTGTATGCCGAGCGCTGATGCAAAGATTGCAGCGAAGCAGAACAACTACGGAGGCGAGGTGGCTCTGTCGTGCGTTTACACGCCCGTCACCATGAACCCCGCTGATGGTCTGTGCCGCCTCCCTGCCTACTCGTTCGTTCCCAATCTGGAACATGCTCGCTTTCTGCCCCTTGTCTGTCCTACTCGCGCGCATCACTTCTGTGTCCCTCCACACTCCTGTGTGCCCCGTCACACTCCTGTGTGCCCCATCACACTCCTGTGTGCCCCACCACTCTCCTATGGGCCTCACCACTCTCCTATGCACCTCACCACACTCCTATGGGCCTGACCACGCTCCTATGCGCCTGACCACGCTCCTATGCGCCTGACCACGCTCCTATGCGCCTGACCACGCTCCTATGCGCCTGACCACGCTCCTATGCGCCTCACCACGCTCCTATGCGCCTCACCACACTGCCGTGCACCTCCACTTGCTCCCCCCTCCAGCTGCCGCCATGCTGAATGTCAAGACCTCGCTGGGTGTGACCTACACCACTTGGGCCGCCACCACACCGTGCCGCTTTGTTCAATCGACGGTGGCCCTTGCGAATGAGTGGACTGGCGTCCGCTGCACGGACACTGGCAAGGTGTCCGACATGTGAGTGCCATGGTCACACAGAGAGGACCCTTGTGGACCCTTGTGCCACGGACTGGCTTTGATGGATCCACCGTGGCCCTTGCGAATGAGTGGACTGGCGTCCGCTGCACGGACACTGGCAAGGTGTCTGACATGTGAGTACCACTGCCTTTTGAGGCGCCCCAAAAGTCCGACATGTGAGTACCATGGTGGCGACCTAGGCTGGCGTGCTCTGTGACAGCACTGGCAGTGCCATGAGCATGTGAGTGATAGTGTTAGCATGTGAGCATGTGGTTGGGCATTGGTTTCGTGTGCATGGGAACGAATGATCCTACTCACAAGTGAGTGAGTGAAGCATCGTTGCATGGCCCTGGAAGCCGCTGACTGCACATGCTTGCCGCATGTGAGAGCGTGGGACATCCAGGTGACTTTTGAGTCGACTCAAAAGTCACATGCTTGCCGCATGTGAGAGCGTGGGACATCGGCTAGGCATGAGGGGCATCTGTCGAGCTTGACACTGCTTGCATATATATACTCTGTTTCAGCTGGTTTTTTGCAGTTGTTTTTATTAATAATGAACATTACAGCGTACCAACGCTTCTTTGCACTTTGCCGCATGGACCCCGCGCTCATCTTCTTCTCATCTGCCCATCGGCCATTGCTTTGCGTGTGTTCCCCCAACGCTTTGCCACAAACTGTTGGCCTTCAGAGTTGTGAATAACGCAAACCTCAAGGGCTTGCTCCCTTCGGACATCTCCACGCTCACATCCCTCACCCGCATGTGAGTTGCATTGCATTTGCTATGCTGTGGCAATCTCTATCCGTTTTACTATCACCGCTCCTGCTTCCATCACCGCTCCTGCTTCCATCACCGCTCCTGCTTCCATCACCGCTCCTGCTTCCATCACCGCTCCTGCTTCCATCCCCGCTCCTGCTTCCATCACCGCTCCTGCTTCCATCACCGCTCCTGCTTCCATCACCGCTCCTGCTTCCATCACCGCTCCTGCTTCCATCACCGCTCCTGCTTCCATCCCCAGGACTGGCTGCTCCTGCATCTTTCCTATTGATGCCACGTGCAGTGGATGGATGCGCATGATGCAGTGGATGCCTCGTTCAGTGGATGGATACGCATGATACATACCTTTTGTGCCTAGGCAAACCATGATGCGTGCAGTTCGCACCCATGCAATGACCTTTGTGTCCTTCCTACCCTGTTCTTTCTCCTCACAGGTTCCTTCAGGGCAATTTGTTATTTTGCGTCTTTGATTCCTTTACCACTTACCTTCGATCCTTGCCACTTCTGGCCGACTTGTGAGTGGCACAGTTTTTTGAGCCAGAGAGGGGAGGGGTGAGAGGGGAGGGGTGGGAGCAGCACACTGGTCTTACTGTCTTGACTTGCCTCAGATTTTCTGCCAGAGCTGTTCTCTCCAAAGCTTCCAACCTCTTTCTTCTCATGCCATCACCACTCATCGCCTCTGCTTCTCTCGCAGCCGCGCGCATGCCACCTACCAGTCCCTACGTTTCTTGTGGGCCTACGTTTGAGTCGACTCAAAATTCAACTCGCCTTATGCTTTGCTCACACACCACTCATCTCATCGTCTCTTTGCTTCCCTCGCAGCCGCCTGCACTACAACTACCTTTACGGTGAAATCCCCGCGTATCTCGTGGGCCTCCCAAAACTCTCCCAGTTGTAAGTCTGCTGGAATCATGCGTAAAAGGCAGCTGCAAGCCTGTTGGGGAATGCATACATGCGTCATATGGCAGTATGCTGCTGGGATGGCATGGCAGGTCACCCTGTGAGCTTGTTGGGGAAGTCAAGCACCATGGTGCTTCATATTCCATTGATCCCTTCTCTCTCCTGCCTCGCCCTCTTCTCCCTTCACTCACTTCTCATACCGGCCTTTGTTTCTCCCCCTTTCTTTCCCCCCTTGCTGTGCTGCTCTCTCCTTCGCCAGCGGGGCTCCCGGCAACTACCTCATAGGAACCGTGCCGCCGCTCGGCCCTCAGCTGCTCGTATTGGACCTCAACTACAACTTTATCACCGACCTCCCATCGGCGGCCTACACCTGGTGCGGTGCCACCCTTAACTGCCTCGTCACGCCCTCCAAGTGCACCACCTCCAGCACGGTTCAGCGGGTTGCGGCGGACTGTGCCTTCTGCGGCACCCCCAACGGCGCGGGGCCCTTCTGCTGGGGCGTGGGAGGAGTGTGCACGCCTGACGCGGCTGCAGCCGTGGCTGCCGGCACTGGGAACACCAACTCGCAGCCCGCGCTCCCCAGGACGTGCGTGGGCGGGCCGGTTGCGATCTTGAAAGAAAGCACAGGTAGGCAAGAGGACAAGGGGCAGGGGGCAGGGGGCAGGGGGCAGGGGGAGGAAAGGGGCATGTGAAGCTGTCCAGCGCAGTGACCTTATGACGGCTCTGGGTCTTGTGGGACTGGGCTGCCCGGGGCAGCGTCTACAGATTGCGTGCCTCCACTTGCTCACGTGCTCCCCCTCCATGCGCCGGGGCTCCCCCTCCATGCGCCGGTGCTCCCCCTCCATGCGCCGGGGCTCCCCCTCCATGCGCCGGTGCTCCCCCTCCATGCGCCGGTGCTCCCCCTCCATGCGCCGGTGCTCCCCCTCCATGCGCCGGGGCTCCCCCTCCATGCGCCGGTGCTCCCCCTCCATGCGCCGGGGCTCCCCCTCCGTGCGCCGGGGCTCCCCCTCCATGCGCCGGTGCTCCCCCTCCATGCGCCGGTGCTCCCCCTCCATGCGCCGGGGCTCCCCCTCCATGCGCCGGTGCTCCCCCTCCATGCGCCGGTGCTCCCCCTCCATGCGCCGGTGCTCCCCCTCCATGCGCCGGGGCTCCCCCTCCATGCGCCGGGGCTCCCCCTCCATGCGCCGGTGCTCCCCCTTCCTCCCACTGCCTGCCCTTGCTGCCCCTCTCCCCCACGTGCCCCTCACCAGTTATGCTCGCCCTCAAGTCTTCGCTCGGCGTCACCCTCACCAACTGGTTGTCAAAAACGCCGTGCCTGATCTCGGGGCAGACCACCACGGTGACAGTCTGGACTGGCGTGCTCTGTGACAGCACTGGCAGCGTCGTGAGCATGTGAGTGACTAAGATAGCAGCTTCACATGCACATGTGGAAATCCTGACTGACTGCGTAACTCACCAAGACAATAATCGCACACAGATACCTGCAGGGCCGCAGGCATGAGTGCAGAGGACTAGGCCCGGGCTCTGGTCGGGTCAGGTTGCTCTTCCGGTGGGCTTGACCTCACCAGGTTCATCCGACCCGCCCCGACCCGACCCAACACTACCCGACCCGACCCTACCCGACCCAACCCGACCTGACCCGACCTGACCCGACCCGACCCGACCCAACTCTGGAGTCGGAATTTGCCAGCAGGACAAACCAACCTGGCGTGATGCTACATACCCGGTGGCAGTGTGACTGGAATCAGCAGCACGGGCATGAGTTGTTGTCAAAGCTGTGACTGACTGACTGCTGTGGCATGGCTTTGAGATGTCTCAAAGTTCAAAACTTTTGAGACGTCTCAGAACTTTAGTTGTTTGTAGTCAAAACTGTGACTGACTGACCACTGTGACACTGCGTCCATTCCATGTATCGCCTGCCATTCATCTGCCCGCCACATCCTCTCATCTGCCCGCCATATCCTCTCATCTGCCCGCCACATCCTCTCATCTGCCCGCCATATCCTCTCATGTGCCTGTCTTCCGTTGCTTGTGCCCTCCTTCACTTCACCATCAACTGGTTGCTGGGCACCTCAGAGCTCTGAGTAACTCAAAGCTCAAGGGATCGCTTGCTTCTCACATCTCCACGCTCACAGCTCTCACCTACCTGTGAGTTGTGTCTGCTCTGCTCTGCTCTGCTCTGCTCTGTTCTGATGTGCTTTCCAGTGAGAGCTTTCTCTCTGCCGTGCTGTCGTATTGCCAGCTGCTTCATTCGCCATTCCTTTCTTGTCATCCAATGGTTGCCTTTTCCCCCTGCGCTCAAAGCCATGCTTCATCCAGCAACGGTGCTTGGCCAACCCCCTCGCCTCCTTGCCTCTCTGCTCGTCCCTCACACAACCTGCAGAACAATCTCCTCAGCTACCGCCTCGACTCCTTCACCACCAACCTAGCATCCTTGCCAGCGCTGGCTGACATGTGAGTGCCAGAGAGTGGCCGACAAAGGGAGGGGAGGGGTAAGACCAGGAGAGTGACGGCGCTGCCTTGCGGACATGTGAGTGCCAGGGCTTTTGGACTGAGAGTGAGGGGTTGAGAGCAGGAGAGTCATGCTGCTAGCTTACCTTGCCTCACCTTTGCTGCCTCTCCCCTTCTCATCTTTCCAACCTTTGCCTGTGTTACCTCGCCTCTCCAACTCGCTTGTCTGCTTGCACACCTCGAGCATCCGTGCACATGGTGCCTTTCATCCCTCCCATATTATCGCCCTCATCGTCTCTGCTCCTCTCGCAGCCGCCTGCACTACAACTACTTGTACGGGGAGATCCCCTCGTTTCTTGTGGGCCTCCCAAAGCTGACTCAGCTGTAAGTACTTTCGGATGCCATGGCCAGTCCGGGTCCTTGCTTCTTTGGAAACTGCGTGGCATTGTTGCCCTCCTCATCCTCCCTTCCCGTCTGCTCACTCATCAAGCCACTTCACTCTTCCCCCATCGCTTCTAGTTAGTCGATTTTTGAGTCGACTAAAAAATCGAAATCCTCATCCTCCCTTCCCATCTGCTCACTCATCAAGCAACCTTCACTCTTCCCCCATCGCTTCTCCCCTCCACCAGTGGCGCTGTCTGCAACTACTTCATAGGCTCCGTGCCCGCACTCGCCGCCGGTCTTCGCACGGTGGACGTGCGATTCAACTTCCTCAGCGACCTGCCAGCAGTGGCCTACACGTGGTGTGGCGGCAACAACAACTGCCTCACCACGCCCTCCAAGTGCGCCTCTGCCGGCCCGGCTCAGCGGGCGGCAACGGAATGTGCCTTCTGCAACACCACCAACGGCGTGGGCCCCTTCTGCGTGGGGCCGGGAGGCGTGTGCACGCTGGACGCCAGTGCACGCGTGGCTGCCGGCACTGTGAACTCGTTCTCCCAGCCCACGCTCCCCATGTCATGCGCTGTGCCGCCCGTGGTCATGAAGGAAACTGCAGGTGGGCAGTGGGCAGTGGGCAGGGGGCAGTGAGCATTGGGCAGTGGGTAGTGGGCAATGGTAGTGGGCAATGGGCAGTGGGCAATGGTAGTGGGCAGTGGTAGTGGGCAGTGGTAGTGGGCAGTGGGCAGAGGGCAGTGGGCAGTGGGCAGTGGGCAGTGGGCAGTGGGCAGTGGGCAGTGGGCAGTGGGCAGTGGGCAGTGGGCAGTGGGCAGTTGGCAGTTGGCAGCTGGGGAGTGGGCCGTGGGGAGTGGGGAGTGGATGGCTTTTGTTGCCATAGCCTGTTGGTGCCTGCCTTGTTGGTACGAGGGCACATGAGCAACGGGTGTGTTTGGATCAAACATGTGCATAGGCATGGGTGAGGGGGGAAGGGGGGATGTGTGACCTCTCAGTGCTGTTGTCACGTAGAGGCAGTGAGTCGCATGGGCTTGTGCTGCCCGGGGCAGCAGCGTCCTCAGGTCCCATCATGGTCCTCTTCCAATTACTCCAAGGAGCCCAGCAGCGTTCTCCTTGGGATTCCAACTCAGCAGCGTCCTCAGGGCCCATGGGTCTCTTCCACTTGCTCACGTTCTCCTTGGGATTCCAACTCCCGTTGCTTGCCTTGTTGCCTTGCCTCCTCCCCCGCGCCCCTCTCCCCAGCCATGCTAGCCATCAAGGCGTCGCTGGGCGTCACTTACACCACGTGGGATGCCACTGTACTGTGCCAGCCCGCGGGGAAGCTCACCACAGCAACAGTGTGGAGCGGCGTGCTCTGTGACAGCACTGGAAGCGTCGTGAGCATGTGAGTCGGCATGCTGGGCTCAGGAGTTGCCCCCCGCATGGAAACGATCCCCTCGTGCAAGTGAAAGACTGTGAGCATATCAGCTAACATACATGCGAGGACGATGATGATTACATCCTTGCTAGTGGTTGCCGCATGTGCTTGTGGCATAAGAGGGAGGATCATCAACAAGGACATGTGAGGGAGGATCATCAACAAGGACATGTGAGGGAGGATCATCAACAAGGACATGTGAGGGAGGATCATCAACAAGGACATGTGAGGGAGGATCATCAACAAGGACATGTGAGGGAGGATCATCAACAAGGACATGTGAGGGAGGATCATCAACAAGGACATGTGAGGGAGGATCATCAACAAGGACATGTGAGGGAGGATCATCAACAAGGACATGTGAGGGAGGATCATCAACAAGGACATGTGAGGGAGGATCATCAACAAGGACATGTGAGGGAGGATCATCAACAAGGACATGTGAGGGAGGATCATCAACAAGGACATGTGAGGGAGGATCATCAACAAGGACATGTGAGGGAGGATCATCAACAAGGACATGTGAGGGAGGATCATCAACAAGGACATGTGAGGGAGGATCATCAACAAGGACATGTGAGGGAGGATCATCAACAAGGACATGTGAGGGAGGATCATCAACAAGGACATGTGAGGGAGGATCATCAACAAGGACATGTGAGGGAGGATCATCAACAAGGACATGTCAGGCATCTTGTCAATCACATGTATTCTCTGACCGCTGCGACACCGCTTCCATAATGTGCCTGCCATTCATCTGCACACCATATTCATCTGCCCACCTACCCCTGTGTGTGTCCGCCCGCTGTCAATTCGGCTCCAACTGTTTCTTGCACCGACTGTTTCTTTTGCCAACTGTTTCTTGCACCAACTGTTTCTTGCACCATCTGTTTCTTGCACCATCTGTTTCTTGCACCATCTGTTTCTTGCACCACCTGTTTCTTGCACCATCTGTTTCTTGCACCATCTGACCAATGCGCATCAGAGCACTGGATGGTGGAAAATGCGACGGCCCACTACCAACAGATATCTCCACGCTCACTGCCCTCACCTACCTGTGAGTTGCGTCTGCTATGTTCTTGTTCTTATAACCCGCATGCATCCTGATGAGATCATAATCTGCTGTCCTATGCCAGCAGCACGCAATGGATTCCCCCAACCCAATACATAGAGTGGCCTAGTCGCGCTATGCTGCATTGCATGCAGTCGAGTGGCTCTCGCAATGACCTCCTTCCCTCTCTCTCTCTCCTCGCCCCTCACAGCAACCTGCAGGGCAATCTCCTCAACTACCGCCTCAACTCCTTCACCACTTCTCTTCGCCTCCTGCCAGCGCTGGCCGACATGTGAGTGCTGCTGGCCGACATGTGTCTGCTGCTGGCCGACATGTGAGTGAGTGCTGCTGGCCAACAGGCTTGTGAGTGCTGGTGGCCGACATGTGAGTGCTGCTGGCCGACATGTGAGTGCTGTTGGCCGACATGTGAGTGCTGCTGGCCGACATGTGAGTGGCAGAGTGTGCCAGAGTCTAGAGTGTGGTCGGCAAGGGAGGATGGGTGGAAGCAGGCGAAGGAAAGTGTTGTTTTGTCTCGCCTGATCCTTTCACCCACTCCTGTTTCTTTCTAAATATTCCACCCTTCGTTCCACGTGCTGCCACTCATTCAATTGCTGCCACTCATTTAATTGCTGCCACTCATTCAATTGCTGCCACTCATTCAATTGCTGCCACTCATTCAATTGCTGCCACTCATTCAATTGCTGCCACTCATTCAATTGCTGCCACTCATTCAATTGCTGCCACTCATTCAATTGCTGCCACTCATTACAATTGCTGCCACTCATTCAATTGCTGCCACTCATTCAATTGCTGCCACTCATTCAATTGCTGCCACTCATTCAATTGCTGCCACTCATTCAATTGCTGCCACTCATTCAATTGCTGCCACTCATTCAATTGCTGCCACTCATTCAATTGCTGCCACTCATTCAATTGCTGCCACTCATTCAATTGCTGCCACTCATTTAATTGCTGCCACTCATTTAATTGCTGCCACTCATGCTCGTCTCATTGTCGCCCTCATCGTCTCTGCTCCTCTCGCAGCCGCCTGCACTACAACTACTTGTACGGCGAAATCCCCTCGTTCCTCGTGGGCCTCCCAAAGCTGACTCAGTTGTAAGTCTGATGAACGCTCGTGCCGAATGGCTGCTGCTGCTTCCACAGATGCATGCACTTCTCCTTCCTCAGCCTTCAGTCATTCCTGCCTGTAACCCATTCTGAATTTCCCCCCCTTATCCTGCCCCCTCCCCCCACCCCCCCCCCCCCCCCCCCCCCCCCCCCCCCCCCCCCCCTCGCCAGTGGTGCTGTGTACAACTACTTGATCGGCTCTGTGCCCGCGCTCGCCTCAGGGCTCCGTTCCCTCGACGTGCGAGGAAACTTCCTCACAGACGTGCCCACAGCCAGCTACACCTTCTGTGGCTGTGCCGGCAACTGCATGCTCACGCCCTCCAAGTGCATCAGCGGTGGCACGGCTCAGCGCCCTGCGACCGACTGTGCCTTCTGCGGCACCACCAATGCCGTGGGGCCCTTCTGCTGGGGGGCGGGAGGCGAGTGCGTGGTGGACGCATCTGCTCTCTGGGCTGCCCGCGTTGTGAACTCGCCCTCACAGCCGGTGCAGCCCATTGTGTGCGTGGGCGGGACCGTGGTGGCCGTTCGGGAAACCGCAGGTGAGCCGCAGGCAATGGATGGCTCTTGTCTTGTCCCCATGGCCTGCTGGAGCGCCTTTTGAGACGTCTCAAAAGTTGTCCCCATGGCCTGCTGGAGCGCCTCGACACAAGGACCTCTAACTGACATGTGATTCTGACCACTTCTGACTCATCTGCTCTGCTGCCTGCCTTTTCAGTCCCTAATCTGCTGCTGTAACCCACTTTTTTGGCCTTCTCTCACCAGCTCGACCCCCCCTTTATCTGCCGGCCACCCCCGACCACTATCCCAGCCATGCTCGCACTCAAGTCGTCGCTGGGCGTGCCGTTCAACACGTGGGCGGCGTCTGTGCCTTGCACCATCAAGGGCGTCACAGCGTCGGTGCCAACGTGGTCCTACGTGCTCTGTGACGCTGCTGGCAGCGTCGTGAGAATGTGAGTGTGCAGTGGTGCTGACGCATGTGGTGTTGTTGTTGGGGCGTAACTAGCAGCATCAGCTGGGCAGCATGGGGTTGATGGGGCTTTGGTGCATCGAGGCATGGAAGCAGGCAGGGCCGCAGCTCTAGAAGCATTTGGAGTATGTGGGGAAACGCAGCAAGGTCGACTTGACCATTCATGTGCCACCCTATGTCATGGGTTTCTGTGTGTAACCCTTCTCACTGTACCTACTTGCCATTGCGTCGTGGCAGCGAGCTGAGCAACACAGGGCTCACGGGATACATCCCTACTGACATCTCCAAGCTCACTGCCCTCTCCTTCCTGTACGCGCATCTCACCCCTCACATACCTGTGACTGCATCTCACCCCTCACATACCTGTGACTGCATCTCACCCCTCACATACCTGTGACTGCATCTCACCCCGCACATACCTGTGACTGCATCTCACCCCTCACATACCTGTGACTGCATCTCACCCCTCACATACCTGTGACTGCATCTCACCCCTCACATACCTGTGACTGCATCTCACCCCTCACATACCTGTGACTGCATCTCACCACAGCAGCCCATCTGTGGTAATCCGAGCAACTCTGTACCTCTGTACCACTCCTCTGGTAATCAGCCTTCTCCTCAGTAAACGCAATCTTTCCCACAGCTTAACTATCATCAGCCAATACGCCTCCGGATGCACTCTCATCCTCTTGTGTCGGTCTCCAGCCACCTACTGAAGCAGCTCTTGCAGGCGCCCCTCGCTGTTGGATTTGAGGTGACTTTTGAGGCGCCTCAAAAGTCGTCACAGCCACCTAATGAAGCAGCTCTTCCAGGCGCCCCTCGCTGTTGGATCTCAAAGGCGCCTAAAGAATAGACACCAAATGCATTCTCACCCTCTTGTGTCGCCCCCATGTCTTCCAATGTGCCTCCCTCCAGCCACCTAATGAAGCAGCTATTCCAGGCGCCCCTTGCAGCCTTCACATCCAACCTCTACACACTCACCGGTCTCAAGGAGCTGTGAGTCATGTTTGAGACTTGTTGTGAGTCACATGCGTGTCATTTTTGAGACTTGCAGCTGTGAGTCAAGGTTGTTGTGACTTGTCGAATCTTAGGGCCATTGGTCCGCCTCTCGCTTGTGTACTTTGCTTGATGTGTTGTCACCACGCTGCCTCCCTTGCTCCCTCCGTCTCTTTCCTCCCATCCTCCCCTCTGGCACCTCGCCCTCTCTCTCGACTGTCCTGATTCGCCCCTTCTGTTCTGAACTTCTCGCCCAGCCCACCTCACACGTCTCTTCTCCTTCTGTACTGCCTCTTGCCCACCCATCACTGCACTGCCTGCCGCCACTGCTCTGCCCCCACCCCACTACTCTGCCTCGCAGCTACCTGCAGTACAACTGGTTCTATGGCTCCGTGCCCACCACACTCCTCGCCATTCCGTCCCTCTCCGTGCTGTGAGCCTGCCTGCCCTCTCATTCGTCACGCCGCTTCACAACTCCCAGTGTCCCACCTCTACCCAGGCCCCCATAACCGAAACATTGCCTTCCCTGCCCCACATTTTCTCGTATCCACTTATAAGTGCTTGTCAAATCGCACCTTCCATGTCAAATCACAACTGCTCTTGTCAAATCACACCTCCTGTTCCCGCATTGCGCCTCCTGCATTGCGCCTCCTGCAGTGGAGTGGGTTACAACTACCTCACAGGCAGCTTCCCAGCGTCGTCCACTCTGAAAGTCATAGACGCACGCGGGAACTTCTTCTACACCATGGGAAGCATGTCCCTCAGCTGGTGCGATGGCCACACCAACTGCTTCACCAATCCCTCTGTCTGCGGCATGGGCGGCACCACCCAGCGCCCCGCAGCAGACTGCGCCATCTGCGGCACCACCAACGCACAGCCGCCATTCTGTGGCGGCAGCGGCGTGTGCGCGCCCGACTCAGGCGCCGTGGCTGTGCTGGGGACGCCCAATGTGATGGGCTCGGCCACGCTCCCCATGGCCTGCAGTGGCGTCCCCATCGACCCTGCTGACGGTGAGTGCATGCACACGCCCGGACACTCACGGGCACTCGTGCAGGCTGTCACCAAATATTATGGTAAGAGCATCATATTGGAGACATGTGCTAATCGGGTGTAGAAGTGGTGTAGTGAGTGTTATTCAATCTGCATGTGGGGTAGTTGGGTTATAGAGAGTAGCGAGCAGTTGGTAGCATTGGAGGGTTACAGGGCGCTTCGGAGACAGTTTCAGTAACCTCGGGAGACAGGCAATCTGGCAAGGGCCAATCCAAGGCCCAGGCGGCTCGAGCTCGACCCAGCACGCTGAGTTGCTCGCGACTGGGCAGCCAGGCACAAATAGCCTAGCCTAGCATAGCAAACCTGTTCTCTCGTCTTGTTCGCCTCATGTAGTGGTTAAGTGTTGCCGTTTTTAAGCTACTTAAGCTAGGTGACTGCGCCACTGTGGGCGGCCTGCGTGTGGGAGCCTGAATCTCTCTCTGGTAGTGGCTGAGTACGAAGAAGGGAACAGGGCAGCAGGAATGGGGACAGCACAAAGTGAGGACAGAAGTAGGAAAGAACGAAAGTGAGGACAGAATACCGGGAAAAGGCAAGAGCAAGAGATGAGTGAGGAAGGAGAGGGGAGTAACTCCGACATGCTGCTGAAGGGTATTTTTGAGAATTCTCAAAAATACCCTTCAGCATCATGGAAGGAGAGGGGAGTAACTCCGACAAGGCACCCGCCCGCCACAGGCACTTTCCGTTGGCATGCGCTTCACTCTTTCCTCGCTAGCCTCTGACCCGCTCGCGTCTGTTCAACCCATGCCCGCCGTCAATCACTCAACCCAGTTATCCCACCTTCCCCACCCGTCTGATCCATGGTCCATGGTCCATGGTCCATGGTCCATGCCCTGTGCCCTGTGCCCTGTGCCCTGTGCCCTGTGCCCTGTGCCCTGTGCCCTGTGCCGTGTGCCGTGTGCCGTGTGCCCTGTGCCCTGTGCCCTGTGCCCTGTGCCCTGTGCCCTGTGCCCTGTGCCCTGTGCCCTGTGCCCTGTGCCCTGTGCCCTGTGCCCTGTGCCCTGTGCCCTGTGCCCTGTGCCCCACCAGCGCTGGTGCTTCTGGCGCTCAAGTCCTCACTTGGTGTGACGCTGAACAACTGGAATGCGGCTGCACCGTGCGCGCTGGAGGGGCAGACACTGCTGCCCGCGCAGTGGGGCGGCGTGCGCTGTACCGCTGCAGGCAAAGTCACGAGCATGTGAGTGGGGAAGGGGATGTGCGTGCTGGGGTCGAGGCACTTTTGAGAATTCTCAAGAGCAGTGGGTGCGTTATGCAAGAGCGAGTGGGAGCACGCGCAATGAGGGTGCTGCTGGTGCTACTGCTCTTGCCTCTGCCTACGCCTTGTGCCTCTCATTCCTCCATTACCTCTCCGGCTCCTCCCCTTTCTTTCCCATGCAGTGCGCGCACATGGCAGGAGCTGCAGGGCGCCAGTCATCTGTAAATCTTGCCACTCTCTCTCCCTCTTTTGCCTCTCTCATTCATCCCCTGCCTCTCGCCCCTGGCTGCGTCCCTTCCTTCCCATGCAGTGCGCTCACACGGCAGAAGCTGCAGGGCGTCATTCATCTGGACATCTCCAAGCTCACCACACTCACATACCTGTAAGCCCACCGCACCACGCTCACATACCTGTAAGCCCACCGCACCACGCTCACATACCTGTAAGCCCACCGCACCATGCTCACTTACCCTACGCCCACAGCACTCAGATGCCATCGTCACATGTCAGAAGACAGTTAAAGTTCAAATGGAGAGATGAAGCCTCTGTGAGCACATATGCCCTCTTCACTTGTCAGTGGATTGTCCGTGTGTAAGGCAACACCGCCCCTGGGGACCCCATGTGTGCGCTGCTTGTCTCACCCCGCCTTCCTCTTCGCCCCCCTCTCTGCCATGGTGACTTGGGCTACAACCTCTTTCAGGGTTTAGGGTTTCGGGTTTAGGGTGCCAGCCGGAGAGGCAAGGCCACTCTGCACTGCTCACTCTCTCGTTCCCCCGTACCCTCCCTGCCGCCTGTAGTGACTTCGGCTACAATCTCTTCCAGGGTCGCCTCGACCTCTTCAATTGTCAGTGCGCTGTCCGTGTGTTACTCGATTCCCATGTGTGCACCTCTCCTCTCCTTCCCCGTCCCTTCTCCTCTCTGCCGCCCGTAGTGACTTCGGCTACAATCTCTTTCAGGGTCGCCTCGACCTCTTTGCTGCGCCACTCAAGCCCCTCACCACCCTCAAGGCGCTGTGAGTCTGGCTACCACCCTGACACATGCTGCGGCTGCCTGTCATATTTCTTCAACTTGTGTAATCCCACTCGCATCGTACCTGCTTCCTGCCCTATTATCCTCCATCACCCCTCCTTTTCCCCACCCTTTCCCCCTCCTCTTGTCCATCCCAGCTTCTTCCACTGCACTATTTCAAACCGTGTAGCATCCCACTTATTCTCCTATGTCCCTTCGTTTCCCGCACCCGCTCCCTTTCCCCCTCCCCCCTTCCATGGTAGCTTCTTCCACTACAACTATTTCGCCGGCTCCATTCCTTCGGCCATCGCCACGCTGCCTCAACTCACCTCACTGTAAGCCACCAGGCACCACCGCTCTTTTTTGAGAAATCTCAAGCACCACCGCTCCTTTTTGAGAATTCTCAAGCACCACCGCTCCTTTTTGAGAATTCTCAAGCACCACCGCTCCTTTTTGAGAATTCTCAAGCACCACCGCTCCTTTTTGAGAATTCTCAAGCACCACCGCTCCTTTTTGAGAATTCTCAAGCACCACCGCTCCTTTTTGAGAATTCTCAAGCACCAGCGCTCCTTTTTGAGAATTCTCAAGCACCACCGCTCCTTTTTGAGAATTCTCAAACACCACCGCTCCTTTTTGAGAATTCTCAAACACCACCGCTTCTTCCCACACTTTAGTTTAGTGTTGTAGATAGGTTACCCCCCTTCCCTCCCTTCCCCCCCTCCCCCCCTGATGGCATCACGCTTTGAACAGGTGCCATCCCTTCTTATGCCCGGCCCGATTCACTCTCTCCCGTCCCCCTTCACCCCCGTGCTTCCTCTGCCCCCTCCCTGCAGGGGCCTCTTCTCCAACTACCTCACGGGCACCGTGCCCATCCCCTCCAAGACCCTGCTCGCGCTGGACGTGGGCTTTAACTTCCTCTCGGGCACCTTCCCGAAGCTGCCACTCATGTTCTGTGCGGGCGACAACAACTGCTTCCTCAACTCCACCGCCTGCCGCACCTACGGCATCGTGCAGCGCCCTGCCGGCGCCTGCGCCATCTGCGGCACTGCTGCCGGCCAGGGCGACCTCTGCTTTGGCGGCTCCTGCTCTCCCAGTGCTGCTGCTGCTGTCGCCGCTGGCACTGTCAACTCGCCCAATCAGCCGTTGCTGCCCATGGCATGCATGGGTCAGTGCGTGGTGTGCTGTGCTGTGCTGTGCACTGCACTGCAAGGCATGGCAAATTCCTCTGCTCTAGCCAACATTTTTCCATTTCTGCGCATCCTTTTGATGTCCAAACAACCTCTGTTAACTCTCTTTGCTAATGGCTCTTCCTCCTTCCCCCCCTTCTCGCACCCTCCTCATGCCTCCTGCCATGCCTCGCCCCTCACGCTCTCTCTTCCTTTCTCTGCCCATTCCTGCTTCTCCGTTTGCAGACAATCCTGCAGCACCAATGGACACAGGCTCAGGTGCGTTCACAGGCCTTATCACAAGTCACCATGCACGCCCAAGTTCCCAGCCCTCTATACTCCGCGCCTCTCATCCTTCACTCTCCTGCACATATACCCCTGTTCTTGTCTGCTAATCTACCAGCCTCCATGCTGTCTCTCGTGCACATACCCCCTCTCAGCTTTTGGGCCAATCTCCATGCTGTGTCTGCCACAGCATGCATTCTCTCACGCACTCCATTGCCCTGCTCAACCTCTCATTCGCTCACCTTGAGTCCCATTTCCACGTCGCCTACATCCCTCCCTCTGCTCGGCCCCTCCCATCGCCCACAGCGCTGGCGCTGTTGAACGTGAAGTCAGCGCTGGGAGTGACGTTCACCAGCTGGCTGGCGGCATCGCCCTGTGCCATCGCCAACTCCTCTGTCACCATCGGAGGCACCTGGACTGGCGTGCTCTGCTCCGCTGCTGGCGACGTCCTCAGCGTGTCAGTTCCCCGCCCCTGCCTTCCATATCCCTGCTCCATGCCCCTGCTCTCTGTCTCCTGCCTCCCCCCCTCCTGCCTATCCCTGCTCCATGCCCCTGCTCTCTGCCTCCTGCTTCCAGCTCCCTCCTGCTGCATGCAGCTGTTTGGTCTGTCAAACTACTTCTGGCCTGCGTGCAGTATCTCCTGGCCTGCTTATTTTGCCTTCTGTGGTAGCCAATCTCAAGCGACTGCGACCTCCCTATCCCCTTTGCCCCTTTCTCCCTCCCCATGTCCTTGTTCCCCCGTCCCCATGCATGCAGCAACCTCTCCTCCTCCGCTCTGGCGGGCAGCGTGCACCCCGACATAACCAAGCTCACTGCTCTCACTTACCTGTCAGTGCACTGCACTCAACTGCCCGCGCTCGCTGCTCCTTACAGTGCCTGCTGCACACTTGCCCGTGTCCTCTCTCACTTGCTTTATTCTCCGCCCACACACCTTGCACGCGCATTGCATTCATCGCATCGCATCGCATCAAATCATATTGCATTGCATTGCATTGCATCGCATGGCAATGCATCGCATCGCATCGCAACGCATGGCATTGCATGTCATCGCATTGCATCGCATCGGAGCCACCGTCTTCCACTTCCACGCTGCCTCTTCCCCGTCCACCCGCTCGCCTTTCCCCGCCCTCCTCCCTCGCCCTCCACCCACCCCTGTGTCTTCTCCGTGCGCCCTCTCCTCTCCCATCCCTCCCTGCAGCGACCTCTCCAACAACCTGCTGCGCACCAGCCTTGATAAATTCGCTTCCATATTCTCCAGCCTCAAGACGCTCCAGCAGCTGTCAGTATCGCCTCTCTCACCCTCACCACCACCACCCATGCTTCTAGTATCCCTTTCTGTTCTGTTATTTGCTTCCAGTCATGTTTCTCTCAGTCAGTCTTGTTGCTCGCACTCGTTGTGCCCCGGTGCCGGCTCCAGCACATACACTACGGGCACAGCCACTCGCACAGCCATGCACTACATGCTACCTCCATGCACTCTCAGTATGCGCTCTGCATTCATCTCTGCCTCTTGCTTTGCATGTTCTCCCTCTCTCCTCTCCCCCCAGGCGCCTCAACAACAACTGGTTCTTGGGCTCTCTGCCTCCGACCCTCATGTCCCTTCCCGCCCTCACTCTGCTGTAAGGGTCCAAACCACATGCACAATTGACCAGCCAGTTTCAGCATTTCAAGCAAGCATGCATGCATGCCCTAGCAACAATCTGCCACCACCTAGACACATGCACACCAGCCACCAGAGCCAGTTTTCCACAACATTCATCTGTTTTTGAGTCGACTCAAAAACTGTTTTCCACAACATTCATCAGTCCACTGCTTCTGCTCCCCCTGCCTCCCACGCCGCCACCCACTTCCCATGGCACGGCAGGGACATGCACGCGAACGCGCTGACAGGGTCACTCCCGGCCGTGTCATCGTTGCTGCAAGCTCTCTACCTGCACGACAACTTCCTTGCCGGCAGTTTCGCAGCCGGTACTCTCACCGCCTGTGATGCCAGCCTCAACTGCATGACCAGCGCCGCCGCGTGTGGCGCCAGCAGCACCACCCAGAGGGCCGCTGCTGCCTGTGCCATCTGCGACAGTGCGGACGCGCAGGGGCTGCTGTGCTGGGGCGGCATGTGCCAGCCTAACGTCACCCCCACCACTGCCCACCCTGACGGGCTGGCCCCGCCGCCCATGTTCTGCTCTGGTGCGTCTCCTCACACCCCTTGGTGGTCGCTTTCCCAGCGATCGCTGGAATCTCTTGCTGTGGTTCACAGTGGCCTTCTCTCGCCTGCTAATCCCCACAATCCCTGCTCGCTGCCTCCTGCTTGTATGCATTCAGTATGCAGCATACTCACTCCCCTCTCCTTCCGTGCTGTTGCCCCTCATTGACTGAATGCCTATGGATACTCCGGCTGGTTTCTAATCTGAATATATCTCATTGTCTCGGAATGCCTTTGATTGGTGTCTGCTGCAGGGGCTCCGGTGGTCAACATGAGCTCTGTTGATGGTGAGAGTGCCGTGCCTCGCACCACCATGCCGCCGCGCTTCACCTTGCTATCCCATGCCATGACATTCCCTGCCTGCAGTTCCCAGCCATGACATTCCCTGCCTGTAATTCCCAACCATGCCATTCGTCATGTGCTCCTCGTCACTCGTAGCACCACTCCCCATCCACCATCCGGTGCCCCACCCCACCGAGCAGCATGCCACCTCCCCCAACGCCATGCGCCCCTCATCCCTTCAATCTTTCCATTGCCTGCTCCCCTTCTCCACCCACCCACCCCCCACCTCTTTGGTGCACGGCAGCTGGTGCGCTGGCGGCGCTGAAGAGTGTGATGGGGGTGACGTTCACCACGTGGGCGCCCGCCACCTACTGCACCGTGGCGCCCACCGCTGTCATCGCCGGCACGTGGGACGGCGTGCTCTGCAACTCCCTCGGCAAAGTCGTCTCCCTGTCAGTCCGCCTGCACTCGCCCTTCCTGATCCCCTGCCCTTGCTCTGCTCTGCCTGCCCCTTCTCGCTCCACACGTTGGTTGAATCTGTCTCTTAAAATGCCACTGCAGACCGTCTTTCTCTTGATGACCTCACTCTGCCTACCTTCCGCTGCCACTTCCCTCTGCTCCCGTGTCTCGCTCCTTGCACGGTCGTCCACGCGCATGCCGTATGTTTCACCTCGTCTCCAACGTACCACTCTCAATCGCTGTCAGCTGTCGTGTACGTCTCCTTCGCTCATCAATCCCGTGCTCATGCCTTGTGTTGTCTGCGCCCCACCATGTCTGCTCGTCCTGCAGGCAACTCCCCAACAGCAAGCTCACAGGCACTCTGCCGCTCGCCGTCTCCGCCCTCACGGCGCTCACTGCCATGTGAGGCCCCTTCCCTCCCTGTCCACTACCACCTCACTTTCCTCACTGCACCCTGTAGCCCGCACTCGCTTGCCATCAACTGCCGTAGCCCTCACAGCACTCACTGCCATGTGAGCTGCCCTCCGCCCTCATTGCCACTTCCCTTTCCTCATCGCACCATGTAGCCCGCGCTTGGTTTCCACCAACTGCCCTGGTCACTATGAAAGCATACGCCTCCCAATCGTTGCATTCTCAGCTGTCCATCGTCTCCACCACTCTCCACCACTCTCCACCACTCTCCTCATTCTCTCTCCTCTCCGCCCCTCCCCTCATCCCCTCTCCCCTTCGCTGCCCCTCCCCCCAGCGACCTCACCTCCAACCTCCTTCAGGGCCGTCTGGACGAAGTTGCCACGCAGCTGCGCCTGCTCACCAACCTCAAGTCCATGTGCGTCTCCCTCACCCTGCTCTCATGGGACGTCTCGAAAGGAGTCATTTCAATGCTGCGTGCATGAGGCGGTTTGCATGTTCTCACAAAGGCTATACCCGGCCGGCTCTGTAGCACTAGCGGGTGCTGCAGCATGTGAATGTGCTCGCACTCATTGTGGGGTGTGTGTGTGTGTGTGTGTGTGTGTGTGTGTGTGTGTGTGTGTGTGTGTGTGTGTGTGTGTGTGTTTCCTGCCTCTCGTACAACTTCGCAACCACTTGTGCCTGCGCCTCTGCCCACCCAACCCCTCACCATCCCATCCCATGCCCTCAGTGATCTCGCCTACAACTGGCTCTCCGGCTCGGTGCCTGCTTTTATGCTCACCCTCCCCAGCCTCACGGAGATGTAAGCGCCACCACCCCTCTCCGCTGTTCCTTCCCCTCGCCTGCACTTGCTTCTTTTTGCGCCTCTCCTCCTCAACTGCCTTCTGACCATCGCAATGCCAGAAACCCATCAATTTTGTATCCCCCCCTCCTTCAGACCCGTTCCTTCCACTCTTCTCCATCACTCTGCTGACCCATCCACTCCCTGCACCCACCCCTCCCCGCCTCTCCATCTGCTCTCCTCCGCAGCACCCTAGGCTACAACTACCTGACGGGCGCGCTGCCGAACGTGACGTCACCGCTGGCAGTGGTGGACGTGCAGTTCAACTTCCTCGCCGGCACCTTCCCCACGCTCAACCTCACCCTCTGCGCCGCGCGCATGAACTGCTTCCTCGACGCCACCAAGTGCAAGAACCCCAACCGCGCCTCCGAGCTCCCGCGGGCCACCACAGCGTGCGCCATCTGCAACACGACCAACGCGCAGGGGCGGCTGTGCAGCGGCGGGCTGTGCACCGTCAACGCCACGGACCTGGTGGCACTCGGCGCTCCCAACAGCGCCGCGTCGCCCTCCCTGCCGCTCATCTGCGTGGGCGCGGCGTTTGTGGCGATGGACTCGGTGCAAGCGGGCGCCATGCTGAACCTCAAGGCGTCGCTGGGAGTGACCTTCACCGACTGGAAGGCTGACTCGCCCTGCTCCCTGCCTGGTGCTGTTGCTGCTGGGTCGTGGAGCGGAGTCACCTGCGACGCCACTGGAAAAGTGCTCGGCATGTGAGTGCTAAGTGCTCGGCATGTGAGTGCAAAGTGCTCGGCATGTGAGTGCAAAGTGCTCGGCATGTGAGTGCAAAGTGCTCGGCATGTGAGTGCAAAGTGCTCGGCATGTGAGTGCAAAGTGCTCGGCATGTGAGTGCAAAGTTCTCGGCATGTGTGTGTGCGTGCAGACATGAGGGAGCTGCAAATAAACGCCTGCAGCGCAACGCGTTTTCTTGATCACTGTTTTTATCGTCAAGTCTGATCTGTTCTCTCTGCACTCACTCGCTCTCTATGTGGCCTTTCTTGCTTGTTTGATCTGCAGAGTCCTCAACTCGCAGATGCTAGCGGGCAGCATCCACTCAGACATCTCCAAGCTCTCCACGCTCACCTCTCTGTGAGTCCTCACTCTCCTCACTCTCCTCACCCTCCTCACTCTCCTCACTCTCCTCCCTCCACCTCCTCTGCCTGCACTCTGCCATTCCAATATCTGCTCGCTCGCTTGTCGAAATTTGAGGCGCCTCAAAACTAGACTCGCTGCCCCTGGCCTGTTCCTTGCTGCTCCTGACTGCTCCTGGCTGCTCCTGGCTGCTCCTGGCTGCTCCTGGCTGCTCCTGACTGCTCCTGGGTGCTCCTGCCCGTGTCCCCAGACTAAGGTGCCCTTGTGCATTGTGCCGTGTGTGCTCGTGCCTTTCCTGCGTGGCTGCGTGCTGCAGGGACCTGCAGTCCAACCTGCTGCAGGGGCGGCTGGACTCCTTCACAGCAAACATCAAGACGCCCCTTGTGCTGAAGGAGCTGTGAGTCACCAATACCCGCCAACACTCCCTGCACCCATGCTGCCATGCATGCAATGCGTATTGCATCCATCCACGTAGCTATCCGTGCCCGCATTGGGCCATGCCCGCATTGGGCGATGCCCGCATTGGGCCATGCTCGATCTGTCCTACAATGCAGCAATCACTCACTCTGCATCATTCGCCTATCCCCTTCCTCTCCCACAGTTCCCCAACGCCTTCTGAACCCCCTGCGCCCCGCCTTGCACCCTCACCCATACGTGTGCCTGCAGCACGCTGCAGTTCAACTACCTGTCCGGCCTGTTCCCAACTGCCCTCCTCGCCCTCACCACCCTCTCCAAGCTGTGAGCGCTCTCCCTCCTCCCTCCTGCTGTCCCCCTTCCGCCTCACCTTCCCACACTCTCCAATCACGCAGCATCTATCTCACCTCGTTTCTCCTTCCCCACTCACGTCTCCCTCCTTTTCCCTCTCCACACTGCCCCCACCCCCATCCCCCAGCTCCGTGGGCTACAACTACCTGACGGGCCCCTTCCCCACTCATGTCTCTCTCCACTGCCCCCCCTTTTCCCCCTCTCCTCTCCCCCAGCTCCGTGGGCTACAACTACCTGACGGGTCCCTTCCCCGCGGTGCCAGCATCCGCCAAGTCACTGGACGTGCAAGGCAACTTCCTGTCGGGCGCCTTCCCCACCAACGAGCTCACCTACTGCGCTGCCACCACCAACTGCCTCACCGACGCCAACGCCTGCGCCTCCCTTGGCATCACCCAGCGCACCGCCACAGACTGTGCCATCTGCGGCACCAGCTTTGGGCAGGGCACGCTGTGCGGGGGAGTGCCATGCCTCGTCAACACCACGGGGGTCACCGCGCCTCCCACTGCCACGTCTCCCCCTCTCAACCTCTACTGCACGCCGGTTGCACTGGACACCAACACCAGTGAGTGCAGCAGTGCTGCTCCTGCCCTGCATGCACTCCACCCCCTCTTGTGCGCTCTTCCCTCTCTGCCCACCTTCCCCACCATCTCCATCCCTCCGGCTCATCCTCATACCACTTTTGAGGCGCCTCAAAAGTCAAAAGCCTTCCCCACCAGCTCCATCTTTCCGGCTCATCCTCATACCACCACGACTGTGCCCCCACCCACCACTGTGCCCCCACCCACCACTGCGCCCCCACCCACCACTGTGCCCCCACCCACCGCTGCGCCCCCACCCACCACTGCGCCCCCACCCACCACTGCGCCCCCACCCACCGCTGCGCCCCCTCTCCTCGCCTCCCACGTGCAGCCACAACGCTGCTGGTGCTGAAGACGGTGCTGGGAGTGACGGCCACGGACTGGAGTGCAACGACGGTGGTGCTGCAGCCCAAGGCGCTGAAGAGCAGCAGCGTGCCCCTGGCCACCACTGTGGGCGCCTGCACCGTCGAGGGGCAGACCCCTGCTCCTGGCTCCTGGACCGGCGTCTTCTGCAACTCCGCTGGCGCCATCGTCGCCCTGTGAGTGCCCGCCTGCTGTGAGTGCCCGCCTGCTGTGAGTGCCCGCCTGCTGTGAGTGCCCGCCGGCTACGAATGGCTCGTCATTCTTTTGAGAATTCTCAGAAGTGACTCCTTTCCTTCCTAGCGCATCGTTCTTATCCTTCCATTCCCCCCTCCCTTGTCCCTTTTTCTACTCGTTCCCCTGACCCAACCTGCAGGTTACTGCCGAACCAGAAGCTGACTGGAAGCCTGTCGTCGGACATCAGCAAGCTCACAGCTCTCACCGCTCTGTAAGCCTCCCCTTGTGCCCATCCTCGCCCATTCGCGCGATAGAGTACAGCGTGTGTGCGTAATCACCTCTTCCCCTCTCAAAATTACCTGCTTCTCGTGCACAATGCTGCCTCAACGCCTTCAGAGCTAACCTGCCACAATGCCTCCCATTGCTCACAATGCATGCATGCAGGGATCTGAGTGCCAATCTCTTCCAGCAGCGCTTGGATGTGTTTGTTTCCCTCTTCAGCACTCTCAAGACACTTAAGTCGCTGTAAGTGCTGCACTCACCACCACGTGCTGCACTCACCACCACGTGCTGCACTCACCACCACGTGCTGCACTCACCACCACGTGCTGCACTCACCACCACGTGCTGCACTCACCACCACGTGCTGCACTCACCACCACGTGCTGCACTCACCACCACGTGCTGCACTCACCACCACGTGCTGCACTCACCACCACGTGCTGCACTCACCACCACGTGCTGCACTCACCGCCACGCGCTATCTCTGCACCCACCCAAGCGTGTCAGAGCACCAGCAGTCACCACTCCGCCCCTCACATCGCTGCCCTCACCTCACCCCCGTGCCCGTCCGCCCTGCCCCCGCACAGGTCGCTGCAGTACAACTGGTTCTCCAGCTCCATCCCCTCCGCCCTCCTCGCCCTGCCAGCCCTCTCCACCGTGTGAGTGCCCCTCACCACCCTTTCCCTCTGCGTGCCCCCTTCTGGGGAACCTCTTTTCCGCCACGCGTATTCTTTCCCTCTGCGTGCCCCCTCACCACCTGCTCTCTGCGTGCCCCCTTTGGAGAAACTCTTGTCAGTCTCACGCATGGTATCCCCCGACTTTGTCGCTGCCACCACCTGTCACTCACCATCCACCACTGCTTCAACGCTCTCATGTCTCCCCATCTTCCCCCCTTCCTCCTGCGGCTGCTCACAGCAAGCTGAACCGCAACTACCTGACGGGGGTGGTCCCAGCCGTGGGGGCAGCGGTGAAGTCCCTCAACGTGGCGGGCAACTTCCTCTCGGGCTCCTTCCCCACCACCGGCCTCACGGTGTGCGATGCGCGCTCCAACTGCTTCGCAGACGCCTCCAAGTGCACAAACACCAACGGCACCGCGCAGCGCGCCGCTGCCGACTGCAACGTCTGCGGCTCCACCGGGGCTGCGGGCACGCTGTGCGGCGGTGGCTTCTGCACGCCCAATGCTACCATTCCGGCCGGCACGGGCACGCCCAACACGGAGGGGCAGGCGGTGCTGCCGCTGTTCTGCCAGGGTGGCCCCATCGAGCTCACCATGCGCGGCGCCATGCTCAACCTCAAGGCGTCGCTGGGGGTGACGCTCACTGACTGGCTGGGCACCTCGCCGTGCAACATCGCAGGGCAGAGCACCGTGCCGGGGGCGTGGTCTAACGTGGTCTGTGACACCGCGGGCAAGGTCGTGAGCATGTGAGTATAGAAACCAGCTGGCATTTCAGCTCTTATTGTGGGCTAAACTTACAGGGTGAGGAGAGGAGGCCCGTTGGGCACAGCTGTATTGACGAGCGTGGTCCAGCGTGGACTGTGACACCGCGGGCAAGGTCCTGAGCATAGTTTTGAGTCGACTCAAAACTAGGGGCGTGGTATAACGTGGTCTGTGACACCGCGGGGCAAGGTCTTGAGTGGCAACCAGCAGGCGTTTGGGCTGTCTGCGCTGAAGCAGCGCCCTGAAGCGTGTGGGTTACAGCCATGGCATGGCATGGCATGAACGCGCCTCTGTCTTGCATTCCTCCCCTCTCATCCCTCTCACCTCGCTCCCCCCTCTCACGCATTCTTCTCTCGCCCCTCTCTTGCCTCTCTGCAGCGACCTCACGAATCAGCTGTTGAAGGGCAGCATGCATGCTGACATCACCAAGCTCACCACTCTCACCTCCCTGTAAGCTCACCACTCTCACCTCGCTGTAAGCTCTCACCTCCCTGTAAGCTCACCACTCTCACCTCCCTGGAAGCTCACCACTCTCACCTCCCTGTAAGCTCACCACTCTCACCTCGCTGTAAGCTCACCACTCTCACCTCGCTGTAAGCTCACCACTCTCACCTCGCTGTAAGCTCACCACTCTCACCTCGCTGTAAGCTCACCACTCTCACCTCGCTGTAAGCTCACCACTCTCACCTCGCTGTAAGCTCACCACTCTCACCTCGCTGTAAGCTCACCACTCTCACCTCGCTGTAAGCTCACCACTCTCACCTCGCTGTAAGCTCACCACTCTCACCTCGCTGTAAGCTCACCACTCTCACCTCGCTGTAAGCTCACCACTCTTACGCCACTGTCATCTCGTGTCTCTCCTTACTGTAGGAGATCGCCTCTCTCTCTCACCTGCGTTTTCTCCCTCTCCCCTCTTCTCTCTCCCTGCCTGCCTGCAGCATACTGGACAGCAACCTGCTGCAGGGCCGCCTGGCCTACTTCACAACGGCCTTCAAGGGGCTCTCAGCACTCAAGCTATTGTCAGCCGCTTCTGCCCCACCCACCTGCCCGTCCCACTAGCCCTTCCCTCGGCTGCCCATGCCATCATCCCTGCCGCATACTTCATCTGTCTTTGCAGCACTTTCACCCTCTGCTCTCAGCTGTTCTAGTTGCTCATTTTTTCTCTCGCTTGTGTGTTGCTGCTGCGTGACTTGCCCTCACTCACTGCTGCTGCCTGTGCCCATGCTTGCACTACCTCTTTCCCCTCCCCCCCGTCCCCCCCCCCCCGTCCCCCCTTCCCCCCCCCCTTCCCCCCTGCCCGCCTGCAGCAAGGCACGCTTCAACTTCTTCGCGGGACCGCTGCCTTCAGCGCTGCTCACCCTCCCCACACTCACCAACCTGTCTGTACCGCTGCCACCCTAGTTGCTTCCCACCCCACCCCACCCCCCTCTCCTTACATGCCACCTGCTCGTTTTCCTCCTTTGTGTTACCAGTCCCCCCCCTTAGAGAAAGTACACAAAGCTGTATGCTTAATTTGACACTTTGTTTCCTCAAGATCCACGCAAAATGTTGCTGTTGCTCAGGCGTTGTATACTTTTCCCGCCTCCTTGACGGTGCTGCTAGACAGGCCATTCTGCCCTGCCTGCGCTGGGCCCTCTCACATCCTTGTCTCTCTGCGCTCCACCTGCGCATGCATTGCTGTGAAACCCCCCCTCTGCCAGCGACATGAGCTACAACTACCTCACAGGCACCGTGCCCACCACCGTTGGCGCGGCGCTCAAGTCACTGAACATCGGAGGCAACTTCCTGTCTGGCAGCATCGGCACGCTCACCGGCGTGACATGCTCGGCAGCACTCAACTGCCTGACCTCGCAGGGCAGCTGCACCACCGGCGGCGTTCTCAACCGCGCCGGCTGTGGCATCTGCGGCAGCCCTGATGGCCAGGGCACTCTGTGCGGCGGCGGGCTGTGCGTGCCGAATGCTACGGATGCTGTGGCGGGTAACAGCGTCCCCACGCTGTCAACTCCCATCATGTCTATGTATTGCACGGGGGTCATCATCGATGCCGCCTCAGGTGATGCACTTCCCTGCCTGCACCCTTTTTCCACGCCACCTTTATGCACCCTCGCTATGCCACCACCATGCCATGCATTGTGTGTGCTGCTCAGCAGCCAATCGTCCCTTCCCATGCATGCTTCCTCTCTCCCCGTGTCTTGCTCTCCTCTTAAACCTCCCGCCCTTGTCTGGCTCCTTGTCTGGACCAACCCTTACACTGCACCAGTCACGGCGCTGGGCAACATAAAGGCAGCGCTGGGAGTGACCTTCACGGACTGGACGGCCCCTACGGCGCTGCTCAAGCCCAAGGCGGCTGGCAGCACTGGCAGTGGCAGTGTGGCGCTGACAGACTGGCTGACCACGGGTGGCTACTGCACCGTGGAGGGGCAGACCCCCGTCGCTGGCTCCTGGTCCGGCGTGCTCTGCAACGCCCTTGGCCAGCCCGTCAACCTGTCAGTGTTCTTGCACCTAGGTGACTTTTGAGTCGACTCAAAAGTCAGCTGGCTCATGGTCCGGCGTGCTTTGCAACGCCCTCGGCCAGCCCGTCAGCCTGTCAGCGCTCCTCTTGCACACTCGCCTGCTCCTGCCCTCCTCTGTTTCCCACTTCATGCATCCGCTGCTTGGTCGGACGCACAGCCTGTCTTGCTGTTCAAGCCACCACCAATGCACGCAGCCGTGGCAGCACGTAGCTCGCCTTCCCACCATGCTGCTCCCTCCCTCCTCCCCACGCCATGCTGGCAGGAAGCTGGACAATCAGAAGCTCACGGGCACTCTGCATGCGGACATCAGCAAGCTCTCAACGTTGACCATGCTGTGAGTTCTAACCCATGCCGCACTCTGCTGAATGTTGCCCATTTGCTGCCGTTTGAAGAGCACTCCTCGCATGAGCACTCCTCCGCACGGTAGGTAGGCAGGAGTCGCATGACACCCACCCCACCCCTCGCCCCACTCCTCCTCCGTGCTCCCATGTTCTCCTTTTGAGGCGCCTCTTTTGACGCGACTTTTGAGGCGCCTCAAATGGAGTCGCATGACACCCACCCCTCGCCCCACTCCTCCTCCGTGCTGTCATGTTCTCCCTTCTCACCCTCTCCCCTTCCTGATCCCCCTCCCCGCCCTCCTCTCACCTGCTGCCTAATCTGCTCCCTACCCAGGGATGTGAGTTTCAACTTCTTCAGAAATAACATCGACACCTGGGCCTCGCCCCTTAAGCTCTCCACTAACCTGCTTTCTCTGTGAGTGCACTGTCAACCTGCTCTCTCTGTGAGCGCACTGTCAACCTGCTCTCTCTGTGAGTGCACTGTCAACCTGCTCTCTCTGTGAGTGCACTGTCAACCTGCTCTCTCTGTGAGTGCACTGTCAACCTGCTCTCTCTGTGAGTGCACTGTCAACCTGCTCTCTCTGTGAGTGCACTGTCAACCTGCTCTCTCTGTGAGTGCACTGTCAACCTGCTCTCTCTGTGAGTGCACTGTCAACCTGCTCTCTCTGTGAGTGCACTGTCAACCTGCTCTCTCTGTGAGTGCACTGTCAACCTGCTCTCTCTGTGAGTGCACTGTCAACCTGCTCTCTCTGTGAGTGCACTGTCAACCTGCTCTCTCTGTGAGTGCACTGTCAACCTGCTCTCTCTGTGAGTGCACTGTCAACCTGCTCTCTCTGTGAGTGCACTGTCAACCTGCTCTCTCTGTGAGTGCACTGTCAATCTGCTCTCTCTGTGAGTGCACTGTCAATCTGCTCTCTCTGTGAGTGCACTGTCAACCTGCTCTCTCTGTGAGTGCACTGTCAACCTGCTCTCTCTGTGAGTGCACTGTCAACCTGCTCTCTCTGTGAGTGCACTGTCAACCTGCTCTCTCTGTGAGTGCACTGTCAACCTGCTCTCTCTGTGAGTGCACTGTCAACCTGCTCTCTCTGTGAGTGCACTGTCAACCTGCTCTCTCTGTGAGTGCACTGTCAACCTGCTCTCTCTGTGAGTGCACTGTCAACCTGCTCTCTCTGTGAGTGCACTGTCAACCTGCTCTCTCTGTGAGTGCACTGTCAACCTGCTCTCTCTGTGAGTGCACTGTCAACCTGCTCTCTCTGTGAGTGCACTGTCAACCTGCTCTCTCTGTGAGTGCACTGTCAACCTGCTCTCTCTGTGAGTGCACTGTCAACCTGCTCCCTCTGTGAGTGCACTGTCAACCTGCTCTCTCTGTGAGTGCACTGTCAACCTGCTCTCTCTGTGAGTGCACTGTCAACCTCCTCTCTCTGCGAGTGCACTGTCAACCTGCTCTCTCTGTGAATTTCTTGCCAACCTGCTGTCGCTGTGAGTGCCTTGTTATCATGCTACGTCCCTTGCTTGCCAGAGTTATGCAGTCAATCTCAACCCTGTCCTCCCTGCCTCTCCCCCTGCCCTTCCTGCAGCCGCCTCAACAACAACTATCTCTTCGGCTCCGTGCCCCTCTGGCTCGTCTCCTTCGCCAAGCTCACGAACCTGTCAGTGCCCCCACCTTGCCTGCCCGCCCGACCCTTCCCAACCTGGCGTTGCCTTTCCCCATCCGCTCTCTCATCCACGCTGCCCCCCTTGCTCATTCGTCTTTCACCTCTCATCTGTTGTACTCAACCTGTCCGCTTCCTCATGTGCTGCATGCCCCTGCTCCCTTGCCCTCCCTTCTTGCCCCATGCGGCCGTCCCATGTCCCCCCCTCATCCTCCTTCCCACCTCCTCCTTCCCCCCCGGCCTGCCTGCAGCGAGCTGAGCATGAACGCGCTCACCGGCACGTTCCCGTCACCCATCTCCACCGCTCTCAAACGCCTCATGGTGGACCAAAACTTCCTGGGCGGCACCTTCCCTGCCAACAGCGCCACGTACTGCACGGCCTACTACAACTGCATCACCACCTACACCACCTGCCCCACAGTCTACCCCAACCTGCCACAGCCCAGCTATGGTTGCCAGTTCTGTGGCACCTCCAACGCACTGGGTACAGCGTGCATGGGCAACCCATGTGTGCCCATCACGCCGTCGCCCATCACGGCGGTCAACAAGTGGAACCCTGTGCCTGTCATGCGCTGCGACCCTGTCCCCATTCAAGCCACCCAAGGTAACCCACCCATCCATGGCCAACCCATGTGTGCCTGTCACGCCGTCGCCCATCACGGTGGTCAACAAGTGGAACCCCGTCCCTGTCATGCGCTGGGACCCCGTGCCCATCCAAGCCACGCAAGGTAAACCACCCCTGCAACTTGGCCTCCCAGTGTAACCCACCCACTGCGTGACGTGAACCACGACTTGCACATAAGCCACGGGTTGCGCCCCCCCCCGTATGTCAACGACTCAGCCAACGTGCACTTATGAAAATTCTCAATAGCGGGCCTACATCCCCGGCACGCTGCCCCTGTCCTTCATGCACGACTTGCCCTGCCCACTCATGCGCAATCCCTCCCCTCCCTCCCCTTTCTCCCCACTGTGCCTCCCAGCGGCGGCACTGCAGGCGATGGTACCGGGGCTGTGGACTCAGCCGACGTGCACCATCGCGGGGCAGGCCTATATTGCCGGCACGTTGCCCCGGGTCTTCTGCAACCCCTCCGGCATGGTCCTCGATATGTGCGCCTGCCTTCTGCCACTCCCTCCTCGCCCCCTCCTCGCCCCCTCCTCGCCCCCTCCTCGCCCCCTCCTCGCCCCCTGCTCGCCCTGCCTGCCTCTGCCTTGCAAGTAGCAACCCCTGTCCGTCCACTCCCTGCACTCCTGGATGCCCCCCTGACAGGCAGGGGGGCATGCCCCATGCAAGCCTCATGCGTGAAGACTGCCTTGAATCAAGCTGCACACACTATGTTGTCCACGTTTGTACCGAACAGTAACCTCCCACGGGAAACACCGCAATGCATGCTCCTTGTCACAAGGTCATGTGTCTGCTACAGGGAACACCACATGTGACAGCTTGCCCGGATGTTCTCATGTTCTTGATGTTTCGTTCTGCGCATGTGCCCCACCCCACTCATTCCCTCCCTGTGTGCCACGTGAAATGTCACCCCTTGTTTTGAGTCGACTCAAAACATGCCCCACTCATTCCCTGTGTGCCACGTGAAATGTCACCCCTTCCCTGTGAAATGCCCCGCGGTGTGTCTCACTCACAGTGTTCTCAACGGTGTCAAGGCGTCAGGCTTCTTCCCCCCGGACTCCTCGAAGCTCTCTGCGCTCACCAGGCTGTGAGCTCCACTTTACACACCGCAGTGTTCCCATCACACACCGCAGTGCTTTCACTCCCATCACACATCACAGTGCTTTCACTCCCATCGCACACCACAGTGGCATTGCATTCGTCTCACAAGTCACCTGACGTCGACGTATGTGTTTGTGTGCTGTGCTGTGTGCTGTGATGTATGCTGTGCTGTGTGCTGTGATGTGCCGTGCCTGCTGTGCTGCATGGCAGCGACTTCTCGGCCAACTTCTTCACAAACCGCATCGACACATTCCTCGCGCCCTTCATTCCCATCAAGACCCTCAACACCCTGTAAGCCACCCACACTTGCACCCTGAGAAGTACACCTTTGATGTATTACCACTCTCCCGCTGCCTCTCTGCCTGCACTCATTTCACCCACTCTCTCCCCACACTCCGTTCACTCCTCTCCCTGCACTCCCTTCACCTCTCTCTGCCGCCACTCACTTCACCTCCCTCTGTGCCTGCACCCCCCTTGCCCCCCTATCTTCTGCACCCACGCATGCAGCCGCCTCCATCAGAACTACTTGTCAGGCTCCTTCCCAGCCAGCATCTCCGCTCTCACTGCCCTCACGGAGCTGTAAGCGCCTGCCCTCACTACCTTAACCCCCTACTCTGTAAGCACCTGCCCTCACTACCTTAACCCCCTACTCTGTAAGCGCCTGCCCTCCTCCTACTCTGTAAGTGCCTGCCCTCACTACCTTAACCCCCTACTCTGTAAGCACCTGCCCCAGTTGCCCCTCTTGCCCTTCCTTACCCGAAGCCTCGTTCGTTCATTTCATACTCATCTCCGCTCTCACTGCCCTCACAGAACTGTAAGCCCCTACCCTCACTCTACCTCAACCCCCTACTCTGTGCCCCATCGTCCTCCCTCCAGCCTTGCCTTAGCCACTCACTTAAACTCCTCATTTCCACTTCTTCTTTTCCCTGAATCTCCACCACTGCCCACTGCTGTGCCACGGATAACGCAGGCGGCTGAACCTGAACTACCTTACGGGCAGCATGCCGACAGCGCTACCTGCCAGTCTCAAGGAGATCGACGTATCAAACAACTACCTGGTGGGCACCTTCCCCACCACCACCGCCACCTCCGTCGCCTGCGCCAGCAACTGCCTGCAGGACGCCTCCAAGTGCCTCGCCGGCTCCACTCAGCGCGCTGCAGGCGGCTGTGCCATCTGTGAGACGCCTGACGCGACTGGCAGGATGTGTGGCGGCGGCACTTGCACGCCCAACGCCACGGCGCTGATCGCAGCCCAGACGGTGAACCCAGACACGGCGCCGCTCTACTGCCTCGGCGCGTCCATGGATCCTGCCATGGGTGAGTGTGCTGCTATTGGTGACTGGGCTGGGGTATGGGGTGTGTGGAACAGACTTGGTACTTTTTGAGTCGATTCAGTCCTTGCGCGTCCGCCCAGCCACGCTGCTCCCACGTTTTTCACCCACTGCCGCTCTGTGTCTGCTCCCTCCCTGCTCTGTCCCTCTGCCACCATCCTTCCCCCCTCTCAGCCCCCACCCAACCCTCCCAACCCCCCACCCCACCCACCTCCCCCAGCGGCGGTGCTGCTGAACATGAGGGCATCTCTGGGGGTGACGTTCACGGACTGCTGCCTTCGTGTCCCTCCCCTGCCATTCCTCCCCTCACCCCCTCCCCTTGCTCCCCTCCTTGCTATTCGCAGCGGCAGCGCTGCTGAACATGAGGGCGTCACTGGGGGTGACGTTCACGGACTGGGCACTCGACGCGCCATGCACCATCCAGGGGCTGCCGCCGCTGCCAGGCGCCTGGTCCAACGTCGTCTGCAACGTCTCCGGCAAAGTCATGTCGCTGTGAGTGCCTCTCGGGGCAAATTCATGTCGCTGTGAGTGCCTCTCGGGGCAAAGTCATGTCGCTGTGAGTGCCTCTCGGGGCAAAGTCATGTCGCTGTGAGTGCCTCTCGGGGCAAAGTCATGTCGCTGTGAGTGCCTCTCGGGGCAAAGTCATGTCGCTGTGAGTGCTTCTCGGGGCAAAGTCATGTCGCTGTGAGTGCCTCTCGGGGCAAAGTCATGTCGCTGTGAGTGCCTCTCGGGGCAAAGTCATGTCACTGTGAGTGCCTCTCGGGGCAAAGTCATGTCGCTGTGAGTGCCTCTCAGGGCAAAGTCATGTCGCTGTGAGTGCCTCTCGGGGCAAAGTCATGTCACTGTGAGTGCCTCTCGGGGCAAAGTCATGTCGCTGTGAGTGCCTCACTGCACTCCCTTTGAGGCGCCTCTCTTCATACCCTGGGGGGCGGCTCAGAATCGCTGAAAAACTTGTCTGCGAGACTCAGGTTTCACATGTGTCCTTGTGGGTGGTGTTGTTCTGTGTGTGCCTACATTTGAGGCGCCTCAAAACTTTTGAGTTTTCAAGCGCCTCAAAAATCAACTCAGGTTTCACATGTGTCCTTGTGGGTGGTGTTGTTCTGTGTGTGCATGACCAATGGCAACGTGCAGCAATCTGGCGCAGCAGAGGCTCCAAGGGACCATGCATGCGGACATCTCCAAGCTCACTGCCCTCACCTACATGTAAGCACAGCTGCACCGCACGTGCACATGATCACCCTCACGACCATGTGAGCCACACACCTGCACGCTCAAGGCAATCCCGCGTGCTCTTGCACTTGTTCTTGTGCGCTCTGCTGCCGCCTTTCTCTCATCCCACGCCGCTCATCTCTCACCTCTCTGTGCTTGCGTGTGCTGTGCGTGGCTGTGGCAGCAATCTGCGCTCCAACTTGCTGGAGAGCCGTCTGGACGTCTTCACAACCAACTTCAAGGCGCTCACCTCACTCAAGGAAGCGTGAGTGCCGCCTGCATGGGATGGGATGGGATGTGATGTGATGTGATGTGATGTGATGTGATGTGATGTGATGTGATGTGATGTGACGTGATGTGATGTGATGTGATGTGATGTGATGTGATGTGATGTGACGTGGCCACCTTCAAGGGCCTGCACTGCGCTGCACTGCATGGCCTTGCCTCCTTTGCAAGGAAATCCATTTTTTGCCGCTGCCCTGTCCGTTGCATCACTTTTTGAAAATCATGCTTTCTTACACCCCTCCCACACTCCACCCTCTCTCTCTCACCCTCCCGGCTTCTCCTCCCTCTCCCCTGTGCAGCTACTTTGACTTCAACTGGTTCACAGGGCCCATCCCGTCCACCCTCGTCACCATTGCCACCCTCTCCACCTTGTGAGTCTCGCTGCTCTCATCGTTCTCGCTCACACCAGTGCCTTTCTGCCTCTGTCCTTCGCCAGCTCTCTAACAGACCCAGCCTACCCTTCGCTGAGCCCACCAGTTCTCCATTCACGTGCTTCCACACTAATCCCCCCTCCCTTGCCCACCCTCCCCCGTCCCCCTCACGCAGTGGAGCGAGCTACAACTATCTGTACGGCGCCATGCCTGCTCCAGGCGCGGCACTCAAGTCCATTGCCCTGGACGGCAACTGGCTGTCGGGCACCTTCCCCGGCGCCGGCTTCTCCTCCTGCTCCGCCACCAGCAACTGCCTCGCCAGCATCGGCGCCTGCACCACGCTCGGCACCGTGCAGCGCGCCGCCGCTGCCTGCCCCGTCTGCGACACCGCCGACGGCTCGGGGACCGTGTGTGGAGGCGGCACCTGCGCTCCTGACACCGCTGTGCCTCTCAGCACCAGCACTCCGAACAGTGCCACGGCGGCAGTGCTGCCGCGGTTCTGCGTAGGCGTGCCACTGGACGCCACACAGGGCAACATCCTGCTGGCGCTCAAGACCACGCTGGGCGCCACCTTCTCTGATTGGACCGCCGCCACGCTCGCCGCCCCCAAGGCCACGTCGCCCAAGCCCAAGACGGGGGGAAAGAGGCGCGCGCTGCAAGGGAGGGGGTCGGGGCTGCAGTACGACTGGAAGGCGGTGGGGTCGTGCACCATCCAGGGCCAGACGCCCATTGCCGGGTCGTGGACTGGCGTGCGCTGCTCGCCACTCGGCCAAGTCGTCGCCCTGTGAGTGCCACTCACCGCTCCTGCTGCCCTCCCTCTCCCTATGCTACCCCACCATGCGGCTTGCCTGTGCGCCGCTGGTGCTCCTCCTGCTGCCTTTCACTCACCTCCCTCCCTGCCCCTGTGTGCCTCTGCTGCTGCTGCTCCGTGTGCCCCCTGGTGCTGCCTGAAACCCGCTGTGCAGGGACCTGAGGAGCCAGCTGTTGAGTGGCACAGTGCACTCAGACATCAGCAAGCTCTCCACCCTCACCTCGCTGTAAGCCATCCCTCACCTCGCTGTAAGCCATCCCTCACCTCGCTGTAAGCCATCCCTCACCAGCCCATATTCCATGTCACGCCATCAGCTGTGCTGCTCACAGCCCTCGCATCGCTGTAAGCCAACCCTCTCCTCGTTACTCCCTCACCCCCCACCTTACTCCTCCCCCCCCCCAAAACTCCCCTCAACGGCCAACCCCCTGCTCGGCCCCCCGGGACCTCTGTGCAGGCGCCTCACGTCCAACCTCTTCTTCAACCGCCTCGACTCCTACATCGTGCCAATCACAGCCACTGCCACCCTCAAGGAGCTGTCAGTGCCGCCACACCTCCTCCCCTCCATGTCCCATCCCCCATTACCTCCCCCCACCCTCTCTCTGGTTGCCTCTTTGCACGTCTCTGCTCTTTCTGCTCCTGTGCTCCTTTACTTCCGCTCTCTCCTGTGCTCCTATAATTCGGCTCTCTGCTGTCCACCCGTTCTCAAAACTTTGTATGCACGTGTATGTGTGCACGTGTGCACGTGTGTGTGTGTGTGTGTGTGTGTGTGTGTGTGTGTGTGTGTGTGTCTGTGTGTGTGTGTGTGTGTGTGTGTCTGTGTCTGTGTGTGTGTGTGTGTGTGTGTGTGTGTGTGTGTGTGTGTGTCTGTGTGTCTGTGTGTCTGTGCGCGCACGCGTGCATGTGTGCATGCGTGTGTGCGTGTGTGCATGTGTGCGTGTTTGCGTGTGTGCATGAGTCCGTGGGTGCGTGTGTGCGTGTGTGCATGTGTGCATGTGTGCGTGTGTGCATGTGTGTGTGTGTGCATGTGTGCATGTGTGCATGTGTGCATGTGTGTGTGCATGTGTGTGTGCATGTGTGCATGTGTGCATGTGTGCATGTGTGTGTGCATGTGTGTGTGCATGTGTGTGTGCATGTGTGTGTGCATGTGTGTGTGCATGTGTGTGTGCATGTGTGTGTGCATATGTTTGTGCATGTGTGTGTGCATGTGTGCATGTGTGTGTGCATGTGTGTGTGCATGTGTGTGTGCATGTGTGTGTGCATGTGTGTGTGCATGTGTGTGTGCATGTGTGTGTGCATGTGTGTGTGCATGTGTGTGTGCATGTGTGTGTGCATGTGTGTGTGCATGTGTGTGTGCATGTGTGTGTGCGGGCACCCTTATCTCTCTCTCCACCAGCCACATCAACTTCAACTGGTTCTATGGCACCGTACCCACCACGCTCGTCAACATGCCAGCCCTCTCCATTCTGTAAGCCCAGTTTTGAGGCGCCTCAAAACTAGACCTCAAAACTACCCACACCACGCTCGTCAACATGCCAGCCCTCTCCATTCTGAAAACCCGCACCCCACACCCTCCTCCCCTCAACATCCTTTCCCCACCTACCTACCCCCACTACCCCATCTCACCCCCTCCCGTCCTGCCGCTTCAAGCTCCCATGCACCCACCCGTTCCTAACACACACCCGACGCTTCGCCTGCGTTCGTGCGTGCGTGCAACCCCCAAACCCCAGTGTGGTGAGCAACAACTACCTCACAGGCACGCTGCCCAAGCCAGGGGCGTCACTCAAGGCGCTGGACACGGAGTTCAACTTCCTCTCAGGCTCCTTCCCTGTCGCCACTCTCGCCTACTGCACGGCGCGCGCCAACTGCTTCCTCGACGCCACCGCATGCCTGAACCTCGACGGCACCGTGCAGAGAGGCAGCGGGTGCAACGTGTGTGGCTCGAGCAACGGGCAGCTGCCGCTGTGCGGCGGGGCCGTGTGCACGCCGGATCCCTCGGCGTATGTGGCGTCCAAAGTGCCTAACAGTGCCACCGCTCCCACCCTTGCCCTCAAGTGCCCTTCCTTGCCCCTCGACGCCACGACCTGTGAGTGCCCCCCAGCCCATGCCATCCCCGCTGCACCGCACCGCACCGCGCTGCCTTGCCTCGCACCGGCCCTACTCTTGCACCTGCAGTGCGCCGTGCTGCGTGCTGCCTTACCTGCTGCTCTTATGCGTATGTACGTATGGGAGTGCAAGGGCGTGCATGCATGCATGCTCACCCGTGTCTGTTTTTGAGTCGACTCAAAAATGTACGCATGGGAGTGCAAGGGCGTGCATGCATGCTCACCCGTGTCTCCTCACGCTGAATCCCCCCACCATCTCCCCCCAATCCCCCCCCCCCCCCCCCACCTTCTGCATGCGCCCTGGGAGCAGCGGCGGCGCTGGTGAACATAGGGGCGGCGCTGGGAGTGACGCACACGGACTGGAGTGCCGGCAGCGGCTGCAGCATCCTGGGGCAGAGCCCCGCACCCAAGTCCTGGCCGGGCGTCTGGTGCAGCGGCAGCGGCGCCGTCATCTCCCTGTGAGCCTCTCCCTCCCTCCCTCCCTCCCTCCCTCTTTCCCCCTGCCTCTCCTCTCTCTTTTCTCACCCTCTCTAGGCTTTTTTCTTTTACCATGTGAATCATGGCTAGTAAGACTAACGCGGCCGGAAACAAACGGAAAGTGAATGTCAGGTTACAAGGACATGACGAGAAGTGGAAGGAAGAAGCATTTTTGTTTGGCTCTCTGTATGTTTTCTGTATGTCTCTCTGTATGGCTCTCTGTATGTCTCTCCTTCTCAGGAGCTTCGCCTCTCATACCGCTCATCTACCTCCACTCGCCCCACCCGCTGTGTGCATGTTGCCATGGCAGCATTCTGGACAACCAGAAGCTTCGAGGCACCATCCATGCAGACATGACCAAACTCACCAGTCTCACCTACCTGTATGTGCATCACCTACCTGTATGTGCATCACCTACCTGTATGTGCATCACCTACCTGTATGTGCATCACCTACCTGTATGTGCATGGCCTCATGTCCAGCTGTTACTTCTGCTCTCCCCCATTCTCCCATGCTCGCCAGCAAGTCACCTATTCCCTCCCCCTCTCCGTCTCCTCTCCCAAGTGCTCGCTCCCCCCCCCCCCCCCCCCCCCTCGATGCTCCTTCCCCTCCCCGCCCCCCCTCCACCCTCCCCCTCCTTCCCTGCGTGCAGGCATCTGGTGTATGAAGTAATGTTTTGAGACGTCTCAAAACATTCCTCCCCCCCCTCCCCCTCCTTCCCTGTGTGCAGGCATCTGGGCTACAATCTGCTGTACGGCCGCCTCTCCACCTTCGTGTCCAACATCACGCCGCTCACCTCCATTGTCACCCTGTGCGTCCCCTCGCCCCTCTCCTCCCCTTCCACCCTCATCTCACATGCCTTCCACCATCCGCTCACATGCCTCCCGCCATCCGCTCATATGCCTCCCGCCATCCGCCCACATGCCTCCCACCATCCGCCCACATGCCTCCCACCATCCGCCCACATGCCTCCCGCCATGCCATCCACTCACCTTCCCCTCACTTTGCCAACCATTTATAGCACTACCTTCCTTTTCCCCTCTCTTTGCTCATGCGTCCTCCTCTCCATGTGTGTGCGGCCCCCCCGCATGTGTGTCCCCCTCTGCCTGTGCGCGCCTCTCTGCCTGTGTGGCCTTCTCTCGCCCGCCAGCAACCTCAACTTCAACTACCTCTATGACAGCGTGCCCTCCACTCTGCTCAACATGGCATCACTTACAGAAATGTCAGTTGCAATCACTCCCATTGGTAACAATTACACGCTTCAGGACAGCTGTCAGGACGGTTGTCAGGATGGCTGTCAGGTGCTGAAATGGCTGTCAGGTGCTGAAATGGCTGTCAGGTGCTGAAATGGCTGTCAGGTGCTGAAATGGCTGTCAGGTGCTGAAATGGCTGTCAGGTGCTGAAATGGCTGTCAGGTGCTGAAATGGCTGTCAGGTGCTGAAATGGCTGTCAGGTGCTGAAATGGCTGTCAGGTGCTGAAATGGCTGTCAGGTGCTGAAATGGCTGTCAGGTGCTGAAATGGCTGTCAGGTGCTGAAATGGCTGTCAGGTGCTGAAATGGCTGTCAGGTGCTGAAATGGCTGTCAGGTGCTGAAATGGCTGTCAGGTGCTGAAATGGCTGTCAGGTGCTGAAATGGCTGTCAGGTGCTGAAATGGCTGTCAGGTGCTGAAATGGCTGTCAGGTGCTGAAATGGCTGTCAGGTGCTGAAATGGCTGTCAGGTGCTGAAATGGCTGTCAGGTGCTGAAATGGCTGTCAGGTGCTGAAATGGCTGTCAGGTGCTGAAATGGCTGTCAGGTGCTGAAATGGCTGTCAGGTGCTGAAATGGCTGTCAGGTGCTGAAATGGCTGTCAGGTGCTGAAATGGCTGTCAGGTGCTGAAATGGCTGTCAGGTGCTGAAATGGCTGTCAGGTGCTGAAATGGCTGTCAGGTGCTGAAATGGCTGTCAGGTGCTGAAATGGCTGTCAGGTGCTGAAATGGCTGTCAGGTGCTGAAATGGCTGTCAGGTGCTGAAATGGCTGTCAGGTGCTGAAATGGCTGTCAGGTGCTGAAATGGCTGTCAGGTGCTGAAATGGCTGTCAGGTGCTGAAATGGCTGTCAGGTGCTGAAATGGCTGTCAGGTGCTGAAATGGCTGTCAGGTGCTGAAATGGCTGTCAGGTGCTGAAATGGCTGTCAGGTGCTGAAATGGCTGTCAGGTGCTGAAATGGCTGTCAGGTGCTGAAATGGCTGTCAGGTGCTGAAATGGCTGTCAGGTGCTGAAATGGCTGTCAGGTGCTGAAATGGCTGTCAGGTGCTGAAATGGCTGTCAGGTGCTGAAATGGCTGTCAGGTGCTGAAATGGCTGTCAGGTGCTGAAATGGCTGTCAGGTGCTGAAATGGCTGTCAGGTGCTGAAATGGCTGTCAGGTGCTGAAATGGCTGTCAGGTGCTGAAATGGCTGTCAGGTGCTGAAATGGCTGTCAGGTGCTGAAATGGCTGTCAGGTGCTGAAATGGCTGTCAGGTGCTGAAATGGCTGTCAGGTGCTGAAATGGCTGTCAGGTGCTGAAATGGCTGTCAGGTGCTGAAATGGCTGTCAGGTGCTGAAATGGCTGTCAGGTGCTGAAATGGCTGTCAGGTGCTGAAATGGCTGTCAGGTGCTGAAATGGCTGTCAGGTGCTGAAATGGCTGTCAGGTGCTGAAATGGCTGTCAGGTGCTGAAATGGCTGTCAGGTGCTGAAATGGCTGTCAGGTGCTGAAATGGCTGTCAGGTGCTGAAATGGCTGTCAGGTGCTGAAATGGCTGTCAGGTGCTGAAATGGCTGTCAGGTGCTGAAATGGCTGTCAGGTGCTGAAATGGCTGTCAGGTGCTGAAATGGCTGTCAGGTGCTGAAATGGCTGTCAGGTGCTGAAATGGCTGTCAGGTGCTGAAATGGCTGTCAGGTGCTGAAATGGCTGTCAGGTGCTGAAATGGCTGTCAGGTGCTGAAATGGCTGTCAGGTGCTGAAATGGCTGTCAGGTGCTGAAATGGCTGTCAGGTGCTGAAATGGCTGTCAGGTGCTGAAATGGCTGTCAGGTGCTGAAATGGCTGTCAGGTGCTGAAATGGCTGTCAGGTGCTGAAATGGCTGTCAGGTGCTGAAATGGCTGTCAGGTGCTGAAATGGCTGTCAGGTGCTGAAATGGCTGTCAGGTGCTGAAATGGCTGTCAGGTGCTGAAATGGCTGTCAGGTGCTGAAATGGCTGTCAGGTGCTGAAATGGCTGTCAGGTGCTGGATTGGGTTGGTGGGTGGCTGTGAGTGATGCCCTCGGCCCTAATCGAAGCGCCCTTGGTTTTGAAGTGTTGGAACACCAAGCTTTGGTTACCCGAGCTCAAGCTCAAGCACCTGGCCGTCAACCACAACTTCTGAGACGTCTTAAAACTCTTCCACTCACAAGTCACAACCTGTCCACCAACCCTCCCCGCTCCCCCCCTCCCCCAACTTCCCCCCTTCAGGCGTTTGAGTGCAAACTACCTGACGGGCACGCTGCCAGCCGTGCCCACCAAGCTCAATTACCTGGCCGTCAACCACAACTTCTTTGCGGGCGCCTTCCCTTCCCAGACCTTCCAGTTCTGTGACATCCGCAGCAACTGCTTCTCCGGCCTTGGCACCTGCTACAATGCCTACGGCGTCGCTCAGCGCACCTCCGGCTGCTCCTTCTGCGCCTCGTATAACGCCGCCCCGCCCCTGTGCGGCGGCGCTCCGTGTATTCTCAATGCCACAAGTGTTCTGGCGGCTGGCACAGTGAACAGCCTCACAGCTCCCGTGCAGCCGTTTTACTGTGGCCCCGCTACCATCGATGCCACTGCTGGTGAGTGCACACCCACATCTGTGCGTCACATGCGCTCTGTGTGTATTCTCAACGCCACGGATGTTCTGGCTGCTGGCACAGTGAACAGCCTCACAGCTCCCGTGCAGCCGTTTTACTGTGGCCCCGCTACCATCGATGCCACTGCTGGTGAGTGCACACCCACATCTGTGCGTCACATGCGCTCTGTGTGTATTCTCAACGCCACGGATGTTCTGGCTGCTGGCACAGTGAACAGCCTCACAGCTCCCGTGCAGCCGTTTTACTGTGGCCCTTCCATGCCACCATCGATGCCACTGCTGGTGGGTTCCCACTCGTTTTAAGCCGAATCGATACTCGCAGCCCTTCTATTTCGACCCTGCTACCATTGATGCCACTGCTGGTGCCCCCATTCGCCACATGCACACACCTACACACACTTTCATTCACGGCGCTGCGAGTGACGCAGAGCGACTCCCACTGCCCCTCACTGCCCTCCCTCTTGCCTCGCCTCCCGCATCTTCCCCTCCTTTCCCCTCTCCCTCTCCTTTCCCCGGGTGCATGGGAGCAGCGCAAGCGCTGCTGGTGCTGAGGGCGGCACTGGGAGTGACACAAACAAGCTGGCTGGTCGACTCGCCGTGTGACGTGGCGGGTAACCCGCCCATGCCCGGCAGCTGGGCGGGCGTGGGTTGTGACACCACCGGCCAAGTCCTCACCCTGTCAGTGCCGCACGCACGCCCTGCATCGTCTGTTCATTCTCTGCAAGGGATTCAGCTGGATTTCGCTTGTTGTTTCGTGATCCACTGGATACCTGCCTTGCTCCTTTAATTTGCTGACCCATTTCTCATTTCTCATTTCTCAGATCTCAAATCTCATTTCTCATATCGCATTTCTCATCATGGCATGGCAGGGAGCTGCCCAACATGGGGCTGCGGGGAGATCTGCCTGCTGACGTGTCCAAGCTCACTGCCCTCACCCGCATGTGAGCGCCCTCCCCCCTGCAAACGCTTTCCGCTCCCGCACTTTGGACACACGCACCATCTATCCATCACTTCGCAACCTCCTCCCTTGCTCTCCATGCGGAATGGCAGGTGCTTGTTCATGCAATCGCGTGACCCTCGTGCCCCCCACCCCCCCTCCCCCCTCCCCCCCCCCCCCCCCCCCACCCCTCAAATCTGCAGCAACGTGTGCCATCCCCACGCACACCCATGCACGCTTCCCTGACTGACTCTCGTGTTTTGCTCCCCTTAACTCTACTGCGCTTCCCACCCCCTCCCCAGCAACATGGCATCCAACCTGTTGGAGGCGCGGCTGAACGAGTGGGCCACGGTACTCACCACGCTCAAGGCGCTCAAGCACCTGTCAGTGCCCTCCCCGTCCTGCCCTCCCTGCCCTGCCCTCCCTGCCCTGCTTTGCCCTGCCCGGCTTGCTTTATGCTCGCGTTTTTTACCAGTCTCCTAGCGCCTCACCACCTTCCCTTGTCCTTTCTCCACCCCTCACTTCTCCGCCCCTCACTTCTCCACCCCTCACTTCTCCACCCCTCACTTCTCCAACCCTCACTTCTCCACCCCTCACTTCTCCACCCCTCACTTCTCCACCCCTCACTTCTCCACCCCACGTTGCTCCTATCCTGCCCAACTCACCCCTCCCAAACAGCGCTCTCAACTACAACTGGTTCGCCGGCCCGCTGCCATCCTACCTGCTCACTCTTTCCACCCTCACAACGCTGTAAGTGGCACGCACACTCATGCCCACCCACGCACACACATGCATGCGCACGTGCACACACACACAGTTGTTTATCACACACTGATAGGCATGTTGCGCCTGTATGCCTGCTAGGCGCCTCAAAAATAGGCATGTTGCGCCTGTATGCCTGCTATGTGCTATGTGCCCTTCTCCGTTGGCCCCTGCCGCCCTGCCTGCAGCAACCTGCAATTCAACTGCCTCACACGTGCCACTCACTATTCTCTCGTCTCACCACCCTGCACCCTGCACCTCCCTGCATCCCCCTGCAGGGATTTTTTTAGAATTTCTACAAAAATCCCTGAGAATTCTTAAAAAAAACTCTGAGAATTCTAAAAAAATCCCTGAGAATTCTCAAAAAATCCCTGCAGGTTAACTACCTCACACGTGCCACTCACTATTCTCTAGTCTCACCACCCTGCACCCTGCACCTCCCTGCATCCCCCTGCATCTCCGTGCACCCTGCCGTCCCGCTCACAGCAACCTGCAGTTCAACTATCTCACCGGCAGCACCACCGGCGTCCCAGCAGCGTCCCTCAAGACCACCATTCTCACCATTCTCTCTTTTCCCGCCCCACCCTCACCCCTTCCCCCTCTCCCCCACCTTCAGCAACCTACAATTCAACTACCTCACCGGCAGCATCACCGGCGCCCCCAGCAGCGTCCCTCAAGACCATCAACGTGGCGTCCAACTTCCTGGCTGGCACCTTCCCTGCGTCCTCCACCACCATGTGTGACGCGCGCAACAACTGCAGAACCTGCAGTTAAACTACCTCACACATGCCACTCACCATTCTCTCTTCTCCTCTACCCCTCCCAACCCTGCCCCCTCCACCCCCACCCCCAGCAACCTACAATTCAACTACCTCACCGGCAGCATCACCGGCGTTCCAGCAGCGTCCCTCAAGACCATCAACGTCGCCTCCAACTTCCTGGCGGGCACCTTCCCGGCGTCGTCCACCACCATGTGTGACGCGCGCAGCAACTGCCTCCAGGACGCCTCCAAGTGTGTCTCCTCGGGCTCCTCCGCACAGCGCACTGCCACTGCCTGCATGATCTGCGGCTATGCGAACGCGTCCACGCTGCTGTGCGGTGGGGGGGTGTGCGCGCCCAACACTACCCTTGTGCTGCCTACCAAGACGCCCAACAGTGCTTCTGCTGCCGTGCTGCCACTCATGTGCACTGGCGTTCGTGTCGACCCCGCTGCCCGTACGTCCCGCTGCCACCTCCCTCTGCCTCTTCCCTCTGCCTCCATTCTCTGTTTCCTCCTGCTGCCTCTCTGTTTCCTCCTGCTGCCTCTCTGTTTCCTCCTGCTGCCTCTCTGTTTCCTCCTGCTGCTTCTCTGTTTCCTCCTGCTGCCACTCTGTTTCCTCCTGCTGCCACTCTGTTTCCTCCTGCTGCCACTCTGTTTCCTCCTGCTGCCACTCTGTTTCCTCCTGCTGCCACTCTGTTTCCTCCTGCTGCCTCTCTGTTTCCTCCTGCTTCCTCTCTGTTTCCTCCTGCTGCCTCTCTGTTTCCTCCCTCTGCCTCCTCTCTCTGCGTCCTCCCGCTTTGATCTGCTGTTCACACACCTACTCCCCTCCCATGTGCCATGCACTCTGCCACCTCTGCGCTCCACTCCCCCTCACCCACTCTCCCTCTCTGCCTCTTCACCCCCCCTGCGCCCCCCTCCCTCACAGTGCCGATTCTGACAAGCTTGAAGACATCGCTGGGAGTGCCACACCAGGGGTGGGGTGTGCAGACGCTGTTCGCAGTGCCCCCCTCAACCACTCTCCCTCTCTGCCTCTTCACCCACCTACTTGCCCCCCTGCACCCCCATCCTCGCAGTGCCAATTCTGACAAACTTGAAGACATCGCTGGGAGTGCCGCACCAGGGGTGGGGTGTGCAGACGCTGTTCGCAGTGCCCCCCTCAACCACTTTCCCTCTCTGCCTCTTAACCCACCTACTTGCCCCCTGCACCCCCCTCCTCGCAGTGCCAATTCTGACAAACTTGAAGACATCGCTGGGAGTGCCACACCAGGGGTGGGGCGTGCAGATGCAGTGCACAGTCACGGTCATCTACAGGGGCCCGCAGGACATGTCGGCTGTGAACTGCAACATCCCCCTGCTAGCCCCCCTACATACCCCCCTGCTTGCCCCTGCTTGCCCCCTGCTTGCCCCCCTGCGTGCCCCCTGCTTCCCCCCCTCCCCCCCCCCCTTCCTACAGTGCCGATTCTGACAAACTTGAAGACATCACTGGGAGTGCCGCACCAGGGGTGGGGCGTGCAGACGCTGTGCACAGTCACGGGCATCTACAGGGGCCCGCAGGACATGTCGGCCGTGAACTGCAACATCCAGGGCGCTGTGGTGGATATCTTCCTCAAGCAGCGCTTCATGCGCGGCATCATGCACCCCGACATCTCCAAGTTTACTGCCCTCTCCGCCTTGTCAGTGCACCCTTTGATCTTTTGTTGAAACTCTTATGGAGATCCACAGCTGGCTATGGTTCAGACCCCTTTTCTGTCATGCACCCCAACATCCAAGTTCACCTGTCTCACTGCCCTGTCAATGCCGCTCGCCCCGCCGCATCTCCCCGCCGCTCGTTCCTGCCGCTCTCAGTTTTCCGTTCATTCCCCTGCAGGGCCATCGGAGGTTCCCCCTCCACACGGACTTGCGGCTCTGCTCTGCCATGTGCTCATGCCTGCCACCCCTCACTCCCTACTGCCCACTGCCCACTGCCCACTGCCCCGCACCATGGCCCCCTACAGGGATGTGTCGAGCAACTTCCTGTCAGGCCCGCTGGACCCTTTCATCTCGCCCCTCAACGGCCTCACCGCGCTGAAATATCTGTACGCCCGCCCTTCATCATGTCCCCTCGCTCCTCTCCCGCACTTTCCCGCAATCCGTGCTCTTCGCTGCTCTACATGTCCTCTTGTTTTGAGGCCCCTCAAAACTAGACTTCATCATGTCACCTCGCTCCTCTCCCGCACTTTCCCGCAATCCGTGCTCTTCGCCGCTCTACATGCCCTCTTCCCGCTCGGCTCTGCTCTCAAATGAAAGCCGGGAGGAGGACAGCAGCAACCTCTGTTCACCGCTTGTCTCTGCTCATTCCTAACCCTAAACCCTACTGTGTGGGAGTTTCCCTCCCCCCCCCTCCCCCCTGTCCCCCCCGTGTGTGCTGGGTGCAGGGTGATGAGTTACAACTTCTTCTCAGGCTCGCTCCCCTCCACCATCGCTTCCATCAAGAGCCTCTACATGCTGTGAGCTCCCTCCCTCGCCCTCTACATGCTGTGAGCTCCCTCCCTCGCCCCCCGCCCCCTCAATCACCCTGCGTGGATTCCCATCTCTCCTCTACATGCATGTGCCCTGAGGTTGACGGCACTTCATCAGCAAGTACCCTGTCGCCAGCTGGCTCTTCTGTGCCCCTCTCCCACCCCGTCCCCCCATGCCGCATGCGCACGTGTGTGTATGTGATCTGTGCGTGCGTGATGTGGTCTCTGCACGTGGCGTTAACAGGAGCGTGGGGTGGAACTACCTGACAGGGTCGGTACCGGTGCTGGGGACATCAACCCTACAGGTGTTAGACCTCAAAAACAACTACTTCATTGGCAAGTTCCCCATCACCGCCAACTAACTCTCAGCACCCCTCTCCTACCCCGTCCCCCGCATGTGCACGTGGTGTTAACAGGAGCGTGGGGTGGAACTACCTGACAGGGTCGGTGCCGGCGCCGGGAGCAGCGTTGCAGGTGATCGATCTGGAGAACAACTGGCTCATCGGCAAGTTCCCCACCACCGCCAACTGGTACTTCTGCACGGCACGCGCCAACTGCTTCACCGACCCCACGCCCTGCGTCAACAACAACAACCAGGGCATCACGCAGCGGCCCTCGTGTGCTATTTGCAACAGCGCGGACGCCACTGGAGTGCTGTGCGGCGGCACTGTTGCCTGCCAGCCGGACCCGGTGATTTTGAAGTCTACCACGGTCTTCCCAACGTCCACCACGCCTGTGCTGCCGCTCACCTGCCCGCCTGTTCCGCCCGTCACCACTGACGCCACTGCAGGTACGACTGCGCTGCGCCTGTGCCTCATGCTGCTGGCACCATGCTGCTGCTGTCCCAAGTCCATGCGATTCACCACTGCTGCCCGTGTTCTTGCCCATGCGTCTCACTGCTGCTGCTGCCCACACGCATGCCTGTGCATCATCTCTCATGCTTCCCCACTCCATGTGCTTCCCCACTCCATGTGCTTCCCCACTCCATGTGCTTCCCCACTCCATGTGCTTCCCCACTCCATGTGCTTCCCCACTCCATGTGCTCGCCCATGCCTCTCATCACGCCTGTTCGTGTGCCCCTTTGACCCCCCCCCCCCCCCCACCAGCATCGGCACTGATGAACATCAAGACGGCGCTGGGAGTGACGTACACCAACTGGGCGCTCTCCTCCACCTGCACTGCAGTCGGCAGCTCTGGGGGCGGTGGTTTCACCGGCGTTGAGTGCAACAGTCTGGGCCAGCCCGTCAAGATGTGAGCATGAGAGGGGGGGAGGGAAGGGGGAAGATTGCAGAAGACTTTTGAGACGTCTCAAAAGTAGGTTTCACCGGCGTTGAGTGCACCAGTCTGGGCCAGCCTGTCAAGATGTGAGCATGAGGGGGGGAGGGAAGGGGGAAGACAGCAAAAGGGATGGTTGCAAGGCTTGCTTCTCCGCAACTGCCTCTTTAATGGGGAGCATTGCAGGAAGAAGGCTTGGAGTGGAGGGCAGGGGAGGGGATCTTTTGAGTCGACTCATAAGTCACAGAAATCTTCAGTCAAACACTCTTGTGTGTTTTTCTTTGGATTTCTCATCCAGCCCCCCTGGATCCGTTTTTTGAGTGATTTTTTAGAATTCTCAAAAATCAGCCCCCCTGGATCCGTTTCCCCATCCTGCTCCCACCATCACTCACTTCCCCTTCATTCTCTCCACTTGCTTCAATCTCTCACACCACCAACCCCCCCTCCTCCCCATGTTTACAGCGCCCTGGACAGTCAGAAGCTGTTTGGCATTCTGCATGCTGACATCACCAAGCTCACTGCACTCACTTTCATGTAAGCATTCACCGTCATGTAGAAATGTACATTCATCTGTTACGTTTATATAAGTACTCAGATGCATGCAAGCACGACTTTTGCCTAAGCACTCACAGTTATGTTAGAGCAAGTTTTGCTTAGGAACAGACATGCATATATGCAAGATTTTTGCCGCCTTCCTATCCCCCCTTCCCTTTGCCCCTCCTCTATCTCCCTTCCCCACGTCCTGTGCGCACGCCTCCGTGGATGTTTGGTGCAGTTCGCTCGTCATCGCTAGCCATGACGAGTTTTGAGTCGACTCAAAACATGACGAGTTTGCTCGTCAGATTGCAACCCCCTACTCTCATCAACCTGCAATCTCTGCCCCGTTTTGAGTCGACTCAAAACTAATCTCTGCCCCGTTTTGAGTCGACTCAAAACTAATCTCTGCCCCGTTCCTTTCTCCCCTGCGTGCCACCTCACCTGGGTGCGTGCTGCAGCTCACTCAAGTCGAACCTCTTCAGGGCGCGCTTGGACGAGTTCTCCAGCAGGATCCCCGCTCTCCCCAACCTCGCAGTGCTGTGAGTCGCCTCCTATCGCTGCAGGCGCATTGCTGTGCATTGGTTGCTCTGCCTCCACCCGCCCCACCACGGTTCACAGGTCAGGCCACAACATTACTTGCTGTGCGAACTTACCCCCTTTTACCACATCTTGTCTTGCTGCCATATTCCCACTGTTCCATGTCCTTCTTTTGAGGCGCCTCAAAAGCTGTGTCCGTCTGGTTTCTGTTGTGTGTCAATGGGTGTGTGCGCGCTGTGGTCTCTGTGCGCACGTTTGTGCATGCATGTGCGTGTGCGTGTGTGCATGTACGTGTGTGCATGTCCATATGTGCGTATGCGTGCACATGTGTGGACCTGCATGTGTCTGTGTGTGTTGCGTGCAGCCTACTGGACTTCAACTGGTTCTATGGCAATCTCCCTCCTGCAGTCATCGGCATGCCCAAGCTCACACGCCTGTCAGTATCTCACCAACCACCACCTCCCTATTTCCCTCTGCTTCCCTGCTCCTTCACAAACCGCCTTTCACCTGAACAAAATTCCTTTTCGTTACATTCCGAGCCACGAATCAGCTCATCGTATTTGCACTTCCATCCTTCCAGGTGACTTTTGAGTCGACTCAAAAGCCATGAATCAGCTCATCATATTTGCACTTCCATCCTTCCAGGTGACTTTTGAGTCGACTCAAAAGCCATGAATCAGCTCATCATATTTGCACTTCCATCCTTCCAGGTGACTTTTGAGTCGACTCAAAAACCATGAATCAGCTCATCATATTTGCACTTCCATCCATCCTCTCTCCTCCAACCTTCCTCCGCTCTCCCTCTCCCATCGCCCCCCTTCCCACCCCTGTCCCATCCTGCTGCCACCAGAGGCCTTTCCTACAACTACCTCACATACCGCGTGCCGCCAGTGTCAGCAGCACTCAAGGACCTCGACGTGGGCTTTAACTTCCTCTCGGGCTCCTTCCCGGCCAACACCGCCACGTCATGCGGTGCCAACAACAACTGCTTCCAGAGCGCCGCCACGTGTGCCACCAAGGGCACAGCGCAGCGCACATCTGGGTGCAATTTCTGCGAGTCCACAACGGCGCAGGGCATGCTGTGCTACGGCCGCGGCGTCTGCACCGTCAACGCCACCGTGCCTTTCAACGCCGGCACGCCTAATGCTGTCGGCGCTGCCACGCTGCCCCTGGCTTGCGTCAGTAAGTGCCGGGTGCTCAGAGGGGGAAGTGACGGAGTGAGATGCTGCTAACTGCTGGCTGGCGCTGCCACGCTGCCCCTGGCTTGTGTCAGTAAGTGCCGGGCCTGTGTTCTCAGGGAGAGAGGCCGGGGGAGGAGGGGGAAAGCTGAGATGCTGCTTACACTGGTGCATTCGAGGCTGGTCCTGTTGTCACATTCAGCTTCTTCCTTTCCTTCCGTTGCAACTCACTGTCTCCTCCCTCTCTCTGCCTCCCCCTGCTGTGCGCACCTGCCCACCTGCGCCTGTGTGTGTGCGTGCAGACATTGTGTGTGGCTCTGCCTCGCCTATCTTTTGTCCCAACGACTGGCGCTGCACTGGTCTGCAGTGTGTGATGAACTTTGTCAACTGCATTGGCTACCTCTGCGTGTAGAGGTAGCCAACGCTGCAGCTTGCCTGCCAGACGCCTGCGTGCCTTGAGGCAGGGCTGTCTGGTTTGCTGCAGAGCTAGTTGCTTTGATGCAGGGCTAATAGCTTGCTGCTGCTGTGCTAATTGATTCGCCGCAGCAGTGCTAATTGCCTCGCTGCAGCAGTGCTAATTGCTTTGCCGCAGCGTGAGCTGCTTGCTGCTGCTGCTGCTACCCTAATTGCTTTGCTGCAGTGCTAATGGCTGGTCCTCATTGGTTAGTCATCTGAAACAATTGAGGTGGCCTTTGATGCTTGAAATGGCATTCAGTTCAGCTATGAATACTATTATACTAGGCGAACCTCATTCCACACCAGGACCTGCCAGAGAATTGCTTTGCAGTGCTTCATGATTTATACTTCAAATTCAGATTTCACAAACAAATTCATAATTTGGTTCTGGAAAGTTGGTGCTGCTGCTGAGGGGAACATTGTGGTGAAGTGCAATGCAAAGGAACGTTGTAGCATTGTGGAAAATTGCAGTGGAGTGGACACAGATTGCTCGAAATGCAAAGCCTGCGGCGACGAGCACGTGAAATTTGATACCGGTATGCTTTTGAGTCGGCTGAAAAGCGAAATGCAAAGCCCACAGCATGGAGCACGCGGAATGCTTATGCTTAGACACGAAAGGAAGATGGGTGGGTGGGTGAAATCTGACCTGGAACCAGGGTGTATTCAGTACAGCGTACAGCAAGCAACACGGCATGGCGACCACAACACACATCACCTCTATTGTTGGAATTCCCTCAGCAGAACCCTACAACAGAGTGGTGTTAGTACTTTGAGCGATGGGAGTTAGGGTCCTTCATTCCCTCCTTCCCCTTCATCCTCCCCTCTCTCCTCCCATTGTCCCCCCTCTCCCCTCCCCCCCTTCATCACCCTCAGCAGCTGCATCTCCCTCCTCAACTCCCTCAACATCTCCCCAACCTCTTCTCGCTCCTTCCGAGCCTCCTCCCGAGCCTCTTGTGCCTCACGCCGAGCCTCCTCAACCTCCTGTCGTGCCTGCTCCCAGACCTCACGCCGAGCCTCCTCCCGGGCAGCATCCACCTCTCGCCGCACCTGCTCCGTCCAAACCTCGCGACTCGCCTTCTCATGACCTTGGTTCGGCAACCGAGCCATAATCCCACGTTCGAGCAGATCAAACCGCTGAGTCAGGTCCGTTTGAAGGGCGCCCATGCGCTCTTGCAATGCCATCATGTCCCTCTTCTGCCGAGACAAGGCCACAGCAGTGCTTGCCCGCGCCATGAGGTCTGAACGGGACAGGTTCTCTCCTGTTTCGGAGAGAAGGACCTTGACGAGTGCAGGCAGGTCGATGGAGTCGAGGTGGTGGGTGTAGCGGGGAGGGACAGAGCGTAGCTGTTGGGTGGGGTGGGGTGGGGTGGGGTAGGGTTGTGTGTGGTTGAGAGGGGTGAAGACAGGTATGAGAGTAAGAGGTTCTCTTTTGTCTCGGAGAGAAGGACCTTGACGAGAGCAGGCAGGTCAATGGAGTTCAGGTGGTGGGTGTAGCGGGGAGGGATAGAGCACAGCTGTTGGGTGGGATGGGGTGGGGTTGTGTGGGGTTGAGAGAGGTGAGGAAAGAGTGAATGTGAAAGGTTATCTCCTGTCTCGGAGAGAAGCACCTTCACAAGAGCTGGAAGGTCGATGGAGTTCAGGTGGTGGGTGTAGCGGGGGGGAGGGTCTGAGCGCAACTGTTGGGTTGGCCGGGGCGGGGTGGGGTTGGGGTGGGGTTGGGTGAGGTCGAGATAGGTGAGGATAGGTGTGAGTGTAAGCGAGGCCTTTTTCCTGCCCTTGAGAGAAGCACCTTGACTAGTGCACGCCGGCAGGTCAACAGATTCCCGGTGGTGGGTGTAGCAGGGCGACACAGACGGCAGCTGTGGGGTTGAGCGCAGAGGGGAAAAGGGGCTCACCCTATAATGAACCATCCAGGTAAAGTGTGTGCGTGTGGTTGAGTCCTGTTTTGGGCTGCTCGGTGCTTCATGACTCATCAAACGGGCTGATTCAACACGTTTCACAATCCCACAGTCCCACCGCACCACACCATCCCAGTGCAACTGCACCACGCCATCACACAGTCCCACACCAGCCCACCACCGCACCTTCTGGGCAAGTGCGCATTGCAGGATGTCAGAGAGGGAGAGAGCTTTGGGATGCCTCCCCCCCCACGGCCACCACCCTCTGCCCCTCCTCCAGCAAATCTCCTTGCCTTACCAATCCCCATCATTACCACCGTGACCACCCTCACCACCCCATCCACCACACACACCTTCCGGGCGAGTGCACGGTGCAGGATGGCAGAGAGCGATAGCGTGTTGGAGTGCCGCCCCCCCCCACCGCCACCACTCTCTGTCGCTCCTCCGGCGAATCCGCCCACCAGAAGCTCATCCGCCTGCTCACCCCCTACACCGCCCACACCACCCCACCCCACCCACCACTGCTCCCACCAACACACCTTTCTGGCGAGTGCACGCTGCAGGATGGCAGAGAGCGAGAGCGCGTTGAGGTGCCTTTCCCCCACCGCCACCACTCTCTGTCTCTCCTCCAGCGAATCCGCCCGCCAGAAGCTCATCCGCCTGCGCATCGTCCGCACCACTCCACTCCCCGCCCTGCTGCTCCTGCTGCTGCTTCCCTTGCTGCTCCCCGTCCCTTCACCAGCAGCAGATACTCCCGTGCTGCTACTCCCACCATCCCCCACCACCTCCGTGCTGCTCCCAAGCCTCTCACCCTCCTCCTCTCTCTCACTCACGCCTGGTTGAGTTCTCTCCGCTTCAGCCATCCCCTCGCCTTGCACTGTGGTCGGACCTTTAGCCCCTGCTCCTTCCAACCTTAGGGGCGCCTCAGAGATTGTGTCCATGCTGGAAGCTTCAGCCCCTGCTCCTTCCAACCTCAGGGGCGCCTCAGGGATTGCGCCCATCATTTCACCCAACCCCAACATCCCTTGCCTATGCACCCTCGTCACAGCTTCACCATCGATTATCCCCTGCTGTTGCACCCTCGTGTAGTGAGGGTGTTTTTGAGACGTCTCAAAAACACCCAGCCCCAACATCCCCTGCCTATGCACCCTCATCACAGCTTTACCATCGATTATCCCCTGCTGTTGCACCCGCATGCCCTGCCCCTGCTGTTGCACCCTCATGACCTGCCCCTGCTGTTGCACCCTTACCAAAGCTTTAGCATCTCTCCCTTCCATCCCAAGCTTCTCCTCCTTCTCCTCTCTCGCACCCACACCAGAACCCACTCCCGCTGCTTTACCATCTATCATCCCCTGCGGTAGCACCCCAACCAGAGCTTCACCATCCCTCCCTTCCAACCCCAGCTCCCCCTCCCTTTCTACATGCCCTCCCCCTTGTCGCCCATGCTCCAATCCGCCTCTCCTTGACCCATCATTATCCATGCCATCCGCGCCCCTGGGCACCTTCACACCCTCCCTGCTGCTGCCGCTACTGCCCACACTACTGCTCATACCACTGCCCATACTGCTCCCAACACTGCCGTTCCTGCGGCTCCCATCACTGCCCTGGCTGCCACTGCTGACGCTGCTGCTGCTGCCCCCACCACTGCTCGCATTCCTGCTGCGGGCCTCCCCTGCCCTGCTGTATTGAAGGCTCCTAGCGACGCTTTGCTGTGCCGACTGCCACAGGCTCTTCTGAAGAGAGGAAGGGAAAAGGCCCGAGGAAGGGAAAATGAGAAGGGGCGGAGAGCATGGAGTGGGGGGGTTGATCAGGGAGGAGTGGCAGTAGCGGCCGCCTTCCCTCTTCCCTTTTTGAGTCGACTCAAAAATCGACTAACTACACGCGGTTGATCAGGGAGGAGTGGCAGTAGCGGCCGCCTTCCCTCTTCCCTTTTTTGAGTCGACTCAAAAATCGACTAACTACACGCGGTTGATCAGGGAGGAGTGGCAGTAGCGGCCGCCTTCCCTCTTCCCTTTTTTGAGTCGACTCAAAAATCGACTAACTACACGCGGTTGATCAGGGAGGAGTGGCAGTAGCGGCCGCCTTCCCTCTTCCCTTTTTTGAGTCGACTCAAAAATCGACTAACTACACGCGGTTGATCAGGGAGGAGTGGCAGTAGCGGCCGCCTTCCCTCTTCCCTTTTTTGAGTCGACTCAAAAATCGACTAACTACACGCGGTTGATCAGGGAGGAGTGGCAGTAGCGGCCGCCTTCCCTCTTCCCTTTTTTGAGTCGACTCAAAAATCGACTAACTACACGCGGTTGATCAGGGAGGAGTGGCAGTAGCGGCCGCCTTCCCTCTTCCCTTTTTGAGTCGACTCAAAAATCGACTAACTACACGCGGTTGATCAGGGAGGAGTGGCAGTAGCGGCCGCCTTCCCTCTTCCCTTTTTGAGTCGACTCAAAAATCGACTAACTACACGCGGTTGATCAGGGAGGAGTGGCAGTAGCGGCCGCCTTCCCTCTTCCCTTTTTTGAGTCGACTCAAAAATCGACTAACTACACGCGGTTGATCAGGGAGGAGTGGCAGTAGCGGCCGCCTTCCCTCGCCCTGCTGTAGAGAAGAGAGGGAGGTAATGGACGCATGGAAACGCGTGCTTCTGAGATGCTCTCTTAAAATGAGAGGGAGCGAATGGAAACCCGGGGCGAGGAGCTTGATCCCTGATGATGGTGGCCGCAGCGTTGGCAGTAGAGCAGGAGCACATGGAGCGAACATCACCAGGGCATGTGCTGTGGTCGTGTGTGCTCCCGATGGGTAGTCAAGAGCTGGGTGATTTTTGAGACTTCTCTCACCTCCATGACAATGTGGGCCGTGTCCACTGCTCCCAGGCGAATGAGGTGCCGCAGCATTCGGCTGTACTCGCCATAAGGCGTTGCGACGCGGCGGAAGAAGCGCAGCACGATGAGGTACATGTCCTCGTATATTGCTGACGCACTCTCTGCTGCGTCCTGGGAGAGTGGAAAACGGCCAAGAGGGAGGGGAGAGGGGGGAGGGGGGGGGGGGGAAGATAGCATGATCAGAGGGAAAGAGGGAAGAAGCACAGCAAGATGAGGTACATGTCTTTGTATATTGCTGACGCACTCTCCGCCACATCCTGTTGAAACGAGTAAGTGAGAGTTCGGCGAGTGTGGGACGGGTGGGAATGCGAAAACAGTAAGGACGGTGTTACAGCGTTGAGGAGCAATCCAATGCTTGCGTTGACTGGCATTGACTGACATTGACTTGTGTTGACTGACGTTTGTCTACTATAGACTTGCACTGACTCACTCACCTTGACATCCATGAAAGCGCCAACGATGATGGCGATGAGGAAGTTGAAGAGCACAAAGAAGAAGATGATGACGAAGGAGAACCAGAAGATCACTACCGTTGACTACTGTTGATCACTGTTGACTTGCGTTGACTCACCTTCACATCCATAAAGGCATCGACGATGATCGCAATGAGGAAGTTGAAGAGGACGAAGAAGAAGATGATGACGAAGGAGAACCAGAAAATCATCGCTGCAACATACTGCCAGCCCTGCATATGCTGGAAAAAGTACTGCACACTGTTGTCGCTGAGGATAATGAGGAAGCACGTTTGCATGGCACTCCACAGGGTGCTGAACTGTTGTAGAGAGAGAGGGGGAGAGGGGGAGAGGGGGAGGAGGGAGGGAAAGAGAGGTAGGAGTGATACATCTGCATGTGGTGGTGTGGGACGGCCGTACTGCCAGCTCCCCATGTGCTGAAAGCCACACTGCACGCAGGTCTGCATGGCTCCCCACAGGGTGCTGAACAGGAAGAGAGGGGTGGAGAGAGGGGGGGAGAGGGCATGATACATCTGCAACTCTGTATGCACTGGAAGGAACAATGCATGCTGTTGGGAAACCGGGAAACCGGGATACCGGGAAACCGGGAAACCGGGAAACCGGGATACCGGGAAACCGGGAAACCGGGAAACCGGGAAACCGGGAAACCGGGAAGCGGGATACCGGGATACCGGGATACCGGGAAACCGGGAAACCGGGAAACCGGGAAACCGGGAAACCGGGAAACCGGGATACCGGGAAACCGGGAAACCGGGAAACCGGGAAACCGGGATACCGGGATACCGGGAAACCGGGAAACCGGGAAACGGGGAAACCGGGAAACCGGGAAACCGGGAAACCGGGATACCGGGATACCGGGATACCGGGATACCGGGATACCGGGATACCGGGATACCGGGATACCGGGATACCGGGATACCGGGATACCGGGATACCGGGATACCGGGATACCGGGATACCGGGATACCGGGATACCGGGATACCGGGAAACCGGGATACCGGGATACCGGGATACCGGGATACCGGGAAACCGGGATACCGGGATACCGGGATACCGGGATACCGGGATACCGGGATACCGGGATACCGGGAACCCGGAACCCGGGAACCCGGGAACCCGGGAAACCGGGAAACCGGGAAACCGGAAACCGGGAACCGGGAACAACCGGGACACCGGACACCGGGACACCGGGACACCGGGACACCGGGACACCGGGACACCGGGACACCGGGACACCGGGACACCGGGACACCGGGACAACGGAACCGGGACACCGGGACACCGGGACACCGGGACACCGGGACACCGGGACACCGGGACACCGGGACACCGGGACACCGGGACACCGGGACACCGGGACACCGGGACACCGGGACAACCGGACACCGGGACACCGGGACACCGGGACACCGGGACACCGGGACACCGGGACACCGGGACACCGGGACACCGGGACACCGGGACACCGGGACACCGGGACACCGGGACACCGGGACACCGGGACACCGGGACACCGGGACACCGGGACACCGGGACACCGGGACACCGGGACACCGGGACACCGGGACACCGGGACACCGGGACACCGGGACAACGGGAAACCGGGAAACCGGAAACCGGGAACCGGGAACCGGGAAACCGGGATACCGGGATACCGGGATACCGGGATACCGGGATACCGGGAAACCGGGAAACCGGGAAACCGGGAAACCGGGAAACCGGGAAACCGGAAAACCGGGACACCGGGACACCGGGACACCGGGACACCGGGACACCGGGACACCGGGACACCGGGACACCGGGACACCGGGACACCGGGACACCGGGACACCGGGACACCGGGACACCGGGATACGGGATACGGGATACGGGATACGGGATACCGGGATACCGGGAAACCGGGAAACCGGGAAACCGGAAACCGGGAAACGGAAACCGGGAAACCGGGAAACGGGAAACCGGGAAACCGGGATACCGGGATACCGGGATACCGGGAAACCGGGAAACCGGGATACCGGGATACCGGGATACCGGGAAACCGGGAAACCGGGAAACCGGGATACCGGGATACCGGGATACCGGGATACCGGGATACCGGGATACCGGGATACCGGGAAACCGGGAAACCGGGAAACCGGGAAACCGGGAAACCGGGATACCGGGATACCGGGATACCGGGATACCGGGATACCGGGATACCGGGAAACCGGGAAACCGGGAAACCGGGATACCGGGATACCGGGATACCGGGAAACCGGGAAACCGGGAAACCGGGAAACCGGAAAACCGGGATACCGGGATACCGGGATACCGGGATACCGGGAAACCGGGAAACCGGGAAACCGGGAAACCGGGAAACCGGGAAACCGGGAAACCGGGAAACCGGGAAACCGGGAAACCGGGAAACCGGGAAACCGGGATACCGGGAAACCGGGATACCGGGATACCGGGATACCGGGATACCGGGATACCGGGATACCGGGAAACCGGGAAACCGGGAAACCGGGAAACCGGGAAACGGGGAAACCGGGAAACCGGGAAACCGGGAAACCGGGATACCGGGATACCGGGATACCGGGAAACCGGGAAACCGGGAAACCGGGATACCGGGATACCGGGAACCGGAAACCGGAAACCGGGAAACCGGGAACCGGGACACCGGGAACAACCGGGACCGGGACACCGGGACACCGGGACACACCGGACACCGGACACAACCGGGACACCGGGACACCGGGACACCGGGACACCGGGACACCGGGACACCGGGACACCGGGACACCGGGACACCGGGACACCGGGACACCGGGACACCGGGACACCGGGACACCGGGACACCGGGACACCGGGACACCGGGACACCGGGACACCGGGACACCGGGACACCGGGACACCGGGACACCGGGACACCGGGACACCGGGACACCGGGACACCGGGACACCGGGAAACCGGAAACCGGGAAACCGGAAACCGTGAAACCGGGAAACCGGGAAACCGGGAAACCGGGAAACCGGGAAACCGGGAAACCGGGATACCGGGATACCGGGAAACCGGGAAACCGGGAAACCGGGAAACCGGGAAACCGGGATACCGGGACAACCGGACACCGGGACACCGGGACACCGGGACA